CCCGTGCATTTGCAGTTGCGGATGATGGGAGTTGCACCGGCGATCTTATTGTACCTGCTATTGTCACTACACTTACTGGCAGTTGCAGTTTTTATGAAGTTTATTTCGCCACCACCCCAGATGAGTTATTTTACACCAGAGATTCAAGTCGTTCAGATGTTACCTATGTAAATTCTGATGAACAAGTGTGCCTACCAGGTTCTGAAGGTGCAAGTGGTATCCGTAAGTGTTGCTCGTGTTCTGATGGTAACCGACCAAGTTTTTCAAGTTTAGTAGTCTTTGTCTGTCTTTGCTAACTGTTGCATTGCCCTCGATTTATCGATGGACAGGGGAGGTTTCTTTTAGTGTCAGCGATGTGGAAAATAGTCAAATCTACGATGCAAATAGCGATGGTCCTGAAGCCCCGAAAACTCAATTCTGTATCGAATTGTCTGTGGTGGAAACTGAATCTCAGACCCAAATCAATGCTGTTAATCACAAAATAAGCTTCACTCATACGGCTTCAGGGAATTTTGGATCATTCAATGTTGACGTCAATTTGGATGGAGACACCTCGGTATCGGTTGTGGAGACTGAGAAAGAATTGAATACAGGCTATGACATTACCGCAGATCTGTGCAGTGTCGACACTAGATACAAGCTTGGACAACCATTCACTGTGTGTGTTTATTCTCCTGACGATAATATGCAAATTGAAGGCCTCAGCAACGTGGTATGCAAGGGTCGAACCCTCATTGGTGCTGATGGTAACACTGACTTCCTGACTACGATGGAGCGTCGTGATACTCATGATTTCCAATTCTCTAGTATTGTCGTTGACGCATACTTCACCGACCCTCAAACATACGAAAATGGTGATCAATATTTTAGTTGCAGCGGTGATGTGGAACTGGCCACATATGCAACTGGAGCTGACGGACGCAAGTTGAAGAAGACCTTCTCACTTGTTGGAGAACGTCGCCTTAAGGCAGATAATGAAGAGCACAAGTTTGTGACTAAGATTTCCATTGGTGCCGAGGGTGGCAGTGCTGATGCGACTACTTCCCCTGGTGTTTTGCCGGGATGGAGTGCCGTTGCTACTGCAGCCGGTGCCGTGGCAACTGTTGGTGCTCTGTTCTAAAACGACAATGCACATTTGAAGTGTCAAAACAAAAAGAAAAATCAAGAAAATTCATGTCCGATTCGCCCGACCCGCCCACTGAACCCCAACCCCAGGCGCAAAACAAAAGAAAAATTACTACGTAGGAAAAATAAAATAATTGTGTTAGTTTCAAAGAAAGATTTGAGTGCCAATCTATTCTGGTTCTTGACATTAAGACCAATGTACCGTACGTACGAAGGAAGTACTTTTAAGACAGCATCGTACGTACAATACATGATAGTACGAACACAGCAGTGAACAAGAGAGAATCCGACCCTACCAAAGCCAAACAAAAAATTCAAAAATCCCGGCCCGAATCCAAACGCAACAAGCACCGCACAAACCACAGCGACGAAGCCGACAAAGCCAAGAAAGCCATGGCTACCGCTTCCGGAATGACCACCTCCCGTCCCATGGATGCGAAAGCACGGAACCCAACGGCACGGGCACGGTGTCTTTCGGTGATCTTTCTGGTTGGCACCTCCTGCCTCTTCCGCTTCCCGTGCGCCGCCGGCTTTGCGGTTCCACGCACCACCACCGTGGCGGCCGAGCCGGCAGGAGCTCCCGCGAGTGAATTCGGACACGAGCGCGAGCTGCAGCTTGGGCGCGAGGGGCCCGCGCCGGGGGATCCCTGGGTGGCCGGGAGGGAGGCCCTCCGCCACCGGGAGTGCTGCGTCGTTTCCGTCTGCTCGCCGGAGGACCACGGGGGCGACGAAGACGAAGCCTCCCTCTCGGACGGCCTCCGCTGGCTGCAGCACCGCCTTGCGGACCACGGCCCCTCCGACGTCGACCTCCGCGCCAGGATCGACACCACCACCCCCGAAACAGCCCTGGAGGACTGTGCGAGGGTCTGGGACGCCGTGAACGTCGTTGTGCAGGACGAGGACGAGGACGAGGACGAGGACGACTACGGTTCTGACGGCGGTGGAAGCGCCGCCGACGGGGACCACCGTTCCGTGGCGGCCCTCGCGGAGCTCGCCCGCGGGGTTTCCTCCCTCGCGGAACGCCCGTCCGGGCAAGTGCACGTGTACGCACGCATCGTCTGCGCGTCGGGCTACGAGGCCCGGGACCCGCCCTTCCACACGGACAAGGCACCCCTGCGGGGCTACGTGACCCTCCGGGGGGTCGGGACGGAGTTTGTCGACCGGCCCTGCAACCCCCTGGAGTACGCGGGCCTCCGGGCGCTGGGGAAGCTTGGCGGCAGCGGCGATGGCAAGGGTTCCCCGTCGCTGCGGTGCGCCAGGGAACTGGAATTCATCGTCATGAAGGGGGATTACTACTACGAGTACGCCCGGGAGCGGTTGCGGGACGCGGCGGGCGGCGGCGCCGGCACCGAAGCGGGTGCCCTCCCGCGGCTCCCGGAGACGGGATGGTGGCAGCGGGAGTTCGCCTGCGTCCACCGGTCCCCCCCGGGCGGAAGCCGCCGCCGGGTCATCGTCTCCTTCGACCTGGCCGACGGAAGCGACGACCGGGAGTGGCACGATTCCGGCCAGAAGCGCCAGTGGAGGAGCGGGATGACCCAGCGCAAGTCCCGCCTGGTGGCGTGAGGCGCGGGGTGGAGACAAAGGCAACGACGACAACGGCGGGGGCCGAAGCAGTTCCTTCCGAGCGGCGCTCTCGCGGCGGTCTCGAGGCGATTCCTCCGATGCGCGTTCCGCGCCTCGCACCGGCAGCTACCACCGGTGCTGCACCACCCGTTGCCGAGGAGTTGCGGTGGCTTCGAGCGGGAAGCCGCGGTGGCTCGGAACAGGTGTCGAGGCTCCCGACAACCACAGCACGTTTTGTCCAGTAGTCCCACGAATGGTTTGTGTGGTGGTCCTATGGCGATGCCGTGCAGCACACCGGGTCGGGGGTCTCGTGTGGCAGAGCCGAGCCGCACCCTTTTGGCCGTTCGGTACGAGTATGTACGCACCCTATTCCGGATCGATCGACCCGTTCAAAACCAAGGGGGAAAGGTCATATCGGCTAGAATAATAGAGGTAGTGGTGTCATTTCAAATGTAATGCGTACTTCAAACGAGACGAGTTTTTCGAGCCGTGTGCACAAACTCCATTTGAGCAAGCAACTGTTCCGAGTGGTGTGATATCAATTTTCCTGGGTTGCAGACGCATGTATGTCCCAGCTAGGAATGCAAATGACTTCGGAACGAGATACGTGACCGGCGTACTAATAATTGGTAGAACTAAATTTATTGGTCGGTGGAGCGATTCGCAAGTCTAACGATCGAATTGGCAACACAAGGCAAAGCATGCCCCAATGCTAGATAGGAATGGAAAATTATTTGTTCAATCGATAGATAGACCAATGCTTGCTCAGTATATTCTAGAATCTCTTTCCTCTACGAAATCCCTTTTGCTGCAAGCACGAGGGTTTGCGTCGCATCGCAAAAAACGGGTTCCAAGGCAAAGCACGCAGGGAAGGATTTCTACTTTCCGTAGATTCCCTTGACTCCGCTGGCCAGCTGTTCCACCGTGTCCTTGGCGTCTCCCAGGAGCATGTCGGTGTTATCCTTGATGAAGACCGGGTTGTCGACCCCCGCGTATCCGGCGGCCAGGGACCGCTTCATGACGATGACCTGCTTGGAGTTCCAGACCCGGAGGACGGGCATGCCGGCGATCTGCGAGTTGGGGTCGTCCTCGGCCGCCGAGTTGACCGTGTCGTTGGCCCCGATGACCAGCGTGACGTCGGCGTCGGAAAAGTCGTCGTTGATCTCCTCGAGTTCTTCGACAATGTCGTAGGGGACCCCGGCCTCGGCCAGGAGGACGTTCAGCTGGCCGGGCATGCGGCCGGCGACGGGGTGGATGGCAAAGCGGACCGACTTTCCGTTCTTGATGAGGGTGTCGGCGAGTTCCTGCAGCGGGTACTGGGCCTTGGCGACCGCCAGCCCGTATCCGGGGACGATGATGATGCTCTCGGCGTCGCTGAGGAGCTGGACCGTGTCCTCGACGTTGGTCATGGTGGTTTCTCCCTCGAACTGGACCGCCTCTCCGCTTCCGGTGGCCTTGGTTCCGTAGCCTCCTAGGATGACGCTGGCAATGTCACGGTTCATGGCGTCGCACATGATCTTGGTGAGGGCGGCTCCGGAGCAGCCAATCAGGGCTCCCACGGTGGTCATGATGGGCATGTCAAGCATGAATCCCTCGGCGCAGAGGGCCCATCCGGAGTACGAGTTGAGGACAGTAATGACCACGGGCATGTCGGCTCCGCCGATGGAGGCTGTCATGTGCCATCCAAGGGCTCCGCTGGTACCGAGGGCACCGGTCAGGGCCGCGACTCCGACGCCCGGACCAGAAGCTCCAGCAAACAGGGCCCCGGCTCCCACGGTCGCGGCTCCGAGTCCCGCGTTGATCTTGTCGCGGTGTTCCAGCTTGAGGGGAGCCGAATCCATGCGGCCGTCGAGCTTTCCAAAGGCCACCAGGGATCCGGTGGTGGTCACGGATCCGATGACGGTGGCCAGGTAGATGCTGGACATGTGGAAGCCGTCGAGTCCGGCAAAGTCCGAGTTGATGTAGTCGCCAATGGCGGCCGCCGATGCCGCAACCCCGACCAGCGAGTGAAAGGCGGCGACGGTCTGGGGGAGGGAGGTCAGCTCGACCCTCTGGGCGATGGCCTGGCCGGCAACGCCTCCGACTCCCATCAGTCCGACGAGCGAGGCCGTCGTGCCAAAGGACGGATGCAGGTGTCCAAAGGTGGAGGCGATTCCCAGGGCGACCCCGGCCTGTCCCGAGACGGCACCAAGACGGGCCGTCGATTGGGAGGCCAGGCCACCGATTCCTCCAATGCACAGGAGGGAGGCAAGAGTGGACGCGGCCGTGTCGATTTCGGGGAACTTACCGGACATGGTTCCGGCTCCGTACAGACCCAGGACTCCCAGCGTGGGGTACGTGTAATAGTTGTAGTATTCGGGTGGATCATCGGGCCTCTTGAACATGTCGAGCATCTTGGAGGTGATGATGAATCCCCCGACAATGTTGACGGTACTGAGGGTAGTGGCGGTGGCTCCTAACAACGTAGCGGTCGGGCTGGTGCTGTGGGCGATCAGGTGCATTCCACCCAGGGCTGTGGTTCCGGAAATGGCGTTCGTGACGGCCATGAGTGGTGAATGGAGTGCGTGGGCGACTCCCATGACTACCTGGGCTCCGATGACGTTCGACAGCCAAAAGGTGGTGAACATGTTGGAAAAGGCAGCGTTCGGGGCAACCGCGCCAAGCGCCAGGATGCTCGTGGACACGTAGGCGGCCTGCTTGGCGCCGTCCAGGTATTCCTTCTTGTAGTCGATTTCGGGGACTACCACCTCTTCTTCCGCCTTTTTCTCTACCACCGGTGGAGGAGCCGGGGCCGGGGGAGGGAACATGAGCTTGCCCTTTTCGACGACGAGCATCCCACGGATGGCCTCATCGTCGTGATCGATGTAGAAGTATTCGGGGACCTTGGTGGTTTGTGGTCCCGCGCTGAGGAGCAGCTTGGAGATGTTGTTGGCGTAGAGGGAGGACGAAGTGGTGGGAAGCCGCGATGGCAAATCGGTGTAACCGATGCAGGTTACCCCGTTGTCCGTGACGATTTTCTGGTCCGCGACGGTCGTCTCAACGTTCCCACCGGCTTCTGCGGCTAGATCCACCGTGACGGATCCCGATTTCATCTTGGAGACCATTTCCTTGGTGACCATGATGGGTGCCTTGCGGCCTGGAATGAGTGCCGTGGTGATGACAATGTCCACCTCCTCACACTGCTTGGTGAGCATTTCTCGGGCGGCTGCGTGCCACTCGGCAGACATTTCCTTGGCGTATCCGCCGGCTCCGGACCCGTCCTCCTCGAAGTCGACCTCGAGGAACTGGCCTCCCATCGCTTCGACCTGTTCCTTGGTGACGGGACGAACGTCAAAGGCCCGGACGATGGCTCCCATGTTTTTCGCGGTTTGCACGGCCGCCAGCCCGGCCACTCCCGTTCCCAGAACCAAAACCTTGGCCGGGGGGACCTTTCCGGCCGCCGTCATCTGTCCGGCGAAGAATCGGCCGAATTCATTGGACGCCTCAAGGACGGCCCGGTATCCGGAAATGTTGGCTTGGCTCTGTGGTTTTCGGTCGTGGCAGTTGCGATCGTTTTCATCATTGGTTTGATGATGCGGGCAGATTGCGATTGAATTTTTTCAATTCATTGTTTTATTTGATTGTTTTTTTTAAATGTTGGTTGTTGTTTGGACAAAGGTGGCGAATAGTATCGAAACAATAGAGTTTGATGAGATGGAGCATAACAAAGAAGAGAACAGAGCAGAACAGCGAACAGCAAAGCATCGTGCACGCCGAACCAGATAGCACCGAACTCACCGAAAGAGCGTCGTAGGTCTGTCCCCTCGACAGGGTCCTCGGGATCATGTCCATGGCAAAGGCCGTCGTTCCCTTGTCCTGCAGCTGCTTCAGGATTTCCTCGTTCTGGCGGGGGTACAAAAAGGAAAAGAGCGTCTTGGACGAGTCCAGCAGGTCCATCTGCTCGGCCGTCGGCGGCCGCAGCTTGAGGACGATGTCCGATTGCTTCCAGACGTCCTCCGCCGCAGAGCCCCCGGACACGATGGTCGCGCCCGCGGATTCGTAGTCGGCGTTGGAGAAGTAGGCGGATTCCCCCGCGCCGTCTTCCACCAGCACGGTGAACCCCGGCTTGGCGAGCCTCTTGACCGACTCGGGGGTGGCGGCGACGCGCTTTTCGAGCGGGAAGCGCTCCTTGGGGATCCCGACCGTCAGCTTGGAGTAGGGGGTTCCCCTGGCGGGGGGATCCTCCCCTGGTTTGGACGAGAAGCAGGCCCGGAGGACGCTCCCCGGGGAGGCGGCGCTGCGGCGGGTCGGCGGGAGCTGGTTCCGGAGGCCACTGTTGCCGACGAAAAGGCGTATCATGGCAGAGTACCGTTGGCTGTGTGCAAGGAAACGGGGGCTGTCGTGTTTCGTATCGTTCGGAACGTAAAAATGGATGTGATGGGAGGCGAGGCGGCTCGGTTTGAAACGAATGCTTTACCACTGCGATGCGATGCGTCGAAAGAGGCTGATGACAATACTAGAATTAAAAATTGAATCAGTGCCCAAATGTAATGTTTAGATTGTTCTCGATGACGACAACAGCTTTCTCTTGTGTCCGAGAATGAGTTGAGTCCACTTGCCTTGCCCTGCGCTGCGATCTTTGCAATGCCGCTATTCAACGGAGCAACGCGATTAGTGCCTTTCTCGACAGGAGAAGAAGTCACTCTCCCACCCAAAAAAAGATCCAATCATCCATCAGATACGCGAGCGAGTAGGAGCCCCTCGTACAGTGTGTACCGTATGAACGTACGTACCACTCATACTGAGAAAAAGACCATGCAGAAAAAAACATCATCATCACACACCGAACCAAGAAACGAGAAAAAGGAAGAACAACGGAATTCAAAATTCAGTTCAAATTTCACGTCATTTCCTGAAGTTTCGACCAATCAGAAGCGATGTCGAAAAGATACCGAACCAATCGAAACCGGCTGCACTCGTCTGCCCCTTGGCGTGGAGTGAACGAGAAACTTCGTATAGTGGCTTTCCGAATAATTTCGAAGGGCTTTGAATACGGAGCACAAGCTACTACTAGTAGTACTGCTGGTGGTACCACTGGAACAAAGATGATGCCATGGCCACAACACTACAAGAAGAAGTGGAGAGCAATCTATGGCAAAGACAGGGTCCATATCAGACAATATAGAAAGCAATAGTGGTCAGCCATGCCACAACAAGAACACCACCAAAAGAAACCTTCTTCTTCTTCTTGTTCTTTGTTTCTGTTTGTTCTTCTTCTCCTGCCTCCTCTCCACTTCTTCTTGTTTGCACTTATTGATCCTTTCAGTGCATCATTTTCAAGTGAATTAAAGGAGGAAGTAGAAGTGGAGTTTGTCCTTGTCTTTCATTATTTTGGCTTGGCTAAGCTTTTCCTTTTTTGTTGCTTTGCTTGTTTTGTTGCCTTGTTTTTGTTGCTTTCATTTTTTTGGCTTTGCTTTGCTTGCTMTTTCTTTCTTCTTTACTTTGCTTGGCTTGGCTGATGATATCTCTACTTGGATGCTCTCTTGGAAGGACACAACAAAGTATGCATCAGTCACCCACCAACTTCTTTTATTTTGTGCCGAACAACTAGTACTACTACTAGTAGCATCTCCTACAACGACTAGTAGTAGTACCAAAACCTCAATGATACTAGTATTTTTTTCTGGAAATGATGGACACAGAACTTGGTTCAAGTGGCAGTACCATACGGAGGTGGGATCAAATCCAACCAAAGTGAGAATTTTGATTTAGTGGTAGCAATCTCCTCACCAACCTGGGAATTTCAGTGGATTGGCTAAGGTTACTGCTAGTACTAGTTGAGCTTTGGATTGTTGTACTGTTACTAGTATTCTGCACCAAGAAATTTTATTCCATATGATAAAACCCAAACAAGGAGGACCACAAGCTAGTACTACTAGTACTAATAGTAGCAGTACTCATGATGTATTGGAAGTAGCAAGTGGTGGAATGGCCTTGGGAATTGCTTGTGTGATCACAATTCTTCTTCCTGCTGTTCCTTGTGGTAGCAATCTGTTTGATTTTCCTCATTGCCCTCTGAAACCATGCATGTGGTACTTGAAGGATATTTTGTGTTTGTCAGTACTATTTCCTTACATACTAAATTTATGTTTCTTGCATGCATCAAGCAATGACAAGAGAGAAGTAAGATCTCTATCACCACTACCACCGAACAATAATCTGTGTCCCCCAAAACATTGTGGTTCTGTTTTGATCCAGTTTTTCAAGAATATGGAAGAACAATATATCCACCCTTTTCCAGAATTGCATATCACACTCCTAGGCAGGAGAAGAGATGGTTCTGGTCACGTATTAAGTTCTTTCATTATTCTTAGTTCACTCCTTGTTAGCAGAGGAAGAGGAAGCTACCAGTGAATGGTTCCACTGCCTCATAGTAATATTACAATTACTATCAACCATCTCCCCCTACTTCTGGTACTCTGGGCAGTCTGTTTCTCCTCACACCAAGATTTGTAAAGAACAGGAGGAGCTATACAAGTAGTACAACTAATAGTACTTTTGGTTGGTGCTTCTTGCCAACATGGCATCAGCACTTGTTACTACAAACAAACTACTACTGACAACCTTTCATAATGGATCCCTTTGCAAGCAATATAACAAGAATGGAACTAAAAAAGGAGATTGTAGTAGTACTACCACAAAGTATTTCAACATTAATATGATTGCATCAAACAGTCACATATGTTAAATGTGTTATTTGGTAGCATTCTCTCAAGACACAAAGAAGCACACAAGAAGAAACATAACCTCCCAGAAATAGTATTCTTGTGCAAGAAAAAGATAATCACATTTTTCCTTTAAAAAAATGAGTGGAAGAACCAGATCATAGTGTTGATGTTCATCTCACCACAAATAGGATACATTTTGTATGACAAACAACAAAAAACACTTCTTGTTTGTAGTATTGTCATCTTTTATAACCACCACCAGTATTCTGCACCCCATTTTGTCTTGGAGACAGATAATAAATCCCATCACCACCAGCAGAGGAGGAGCAATTACATCATCACTTGTGAATTACATCATCACTTGTTGGTGACTTATCATTCATGTCTGCACTCTACTACTACTGCTGTTGCTTCAAAACAGCTTTTTGCGAAAGCAAACATGTTGTGTGTTCCCCCCTCTAATCCTACTACTAGTAGTTGCTTCATTAGGAACCAACAAAAAAAGTAACACTACTAATACTAGTACTACTAGTAGTACTAGTAGTAACAGCAGAAACAGAGGAAATTCCATAAAATGTATGCATCCCTTGGAAAATTTAGTGTCCTAAGTTTATCAACAAGAAAAAGAGCTTGATTCTAATACTAGTAGTACTGTGACGTAGTAGTAGCTATTTGGTGGCACAGGAATTTTCTTCACACCATTCTTCTTCTGCTGAGGAGGATGACAAAATACTACTAATACTACTACAAGTACATAGTATACTACTTGCGGCATATTTTGTTTTCTCCATTGTATTTTAACATGAACAAGGAAGGATAAGAACATGGTGCCCAGTGTCAAGAATCCAACAGGCAAGAACACAGCACACCAATCTTCCCAGCACAACAAGAACAATGGTGGTGATGCTGCTATTGCTTAGTAGTACTACTACTTGACCTACTAGTTGATCTGTGGCAACAACCTTTAGGTGCCCTATCTTTGCATTATTTCTATAATGTCACCAATATGTTCCAATTTGTAGTAGGGGCTAGAAGCAGTAGTATTGACATGATTTTTAGGAATACTAATAGTACTCGTACTACTTTTTGTACGTAGGTAGAGTACTATGTGCTGTTCGACCGTGATCGGGCTCGCTCGCTTGCATGCTTGCTATCCCGGCATTGGTCACAAGCGACAAAAGTAGGTACGAAGTACGTACGTCAGTACGGTAGGGGATAATTGCAAGGAGTGTCGACGACAAGGCACTCGGGCGCGCGCCAGAACCTAATTTCTGTAACCTAGGACGGTACGGTACGTACGTATGCAAATCCATCTATTGAAACAGGAAGAGGCTTTTTCTGTTCGCAGAAGCGTTATCGGTACCGGTACGTACAGTACGATTACGTACAGTACTCGTACATAGTAAAGTGGGACCACCGACCGGCATGTACCGTTTAGTACACTCAGTACTCAGTACCGTTCTAAAAGTACTCGTACCATACGTACGGGGTCTCTCACAAAGTACCGTACGATACCGTCGCTTATGAAAAAAGGCTTCGCAGAATCAATCAATCCGCTCGAACCGTACCGTACGTACCGTACCGTACCCTAATACATAAAGCAGAGGGAATCGAAAAAATATTTGCTTCGTACGACTCCTGATTCGTCGCACCGTTGGAGGTAGCGTGCGTACGGTAGAGTAAAACCGACCAATACGATTGTAATGTTCCGGAACGTGCTTGGGCCTTAACTCCTAATGCAGCACTCTTCCTCGTTCATTTTTTGCTCTGCGTAAAGTAAGTACGAGTTTACTGTACGTAATAGGCTACTTCATATTCGTAGATTCTTCTTGTTCCCGATCGAACCGAAGATGGAGCAGAAAACAATAAAAATGAATCGCATCGAATTGTGACGATTCGTACTGTACCGTACGGTATTCCCCTATCGTACAGTACAGTATCGTATGATACCGTACTCGTACATTACGTACCGAGGCTATTTTATCAAAAGAAACCGCGTTCGAGGAAACACCCCTCTCGAACTGCAATCGAAACGACCCCGAGAGTCGTTTCCCATTGCAAGCCCTTCTCGCAGAAGAGGTTTTGTCTGGAATCCTTCGTGTTTCCTCCCAAAAACACCCATCCACACACCGTGTGCTTTCCAGAGTTGTCTCCGCACCCCTCTTTTCGAGGAACGGGAAGGAACGAAACGAAACAAAACAAAACAAAAGGACGACACCGATCGGCATTCACCACGGAAAGGAGAAAAAACAGGGAGAGGAGCAAAACGCGCCGAGAAGAAACCGGCCGCGCACGGGATAGGTACGAGAGACCGATCCGACCGTAGGCGCTTCGATTCGAATTGATTCGATTCAATTCGATTCGATCGATCGCAAGGAACGCGTTTTAGGGACATCGGGTCTGAAGCGGATTGCGATTGCAACCCTCGAAACAGAGAATGCCCTTTCTCTTTCCGGCCCTGGCCGCAGCCAGCTGCGACGTTTTCATCCTGTACCTCGGGCACCGGAGCTACCTCCTCGAACAGCGATACAGCGCTGGTAGCTACGATGCCGATGGCTACAACCACGACGATGCCTACGCCTCCGACGACAGCGTTGCGGCCCACCGCAGGGTCTACCACTACGGGTACATCGTCTGGCTGGCGGCACTGAGGCTCGTCCTGCTGCTGGTCCCCCTCCCGTACCACTCCTTCTTTGGGAAGGCCCTCCGCTGCCCGGTCCTCTACCGGCTGGTCTACGGGGGGACGCTGTGCGTCGTGGTGGTCCACGGGCTGGCGCTCCTCCTGATCGATCCGCAGAGCTTGGGGTCCCTCGCGACGGCGATCGGCAACAACGGCGGTGGCAACCGCAGCGACACCCTCCACCACATCCTGGTCACCCGCAGCCTCTGGGTCGCCATCCTCCTGACCCTGGTCTCGACCCTGAGCCACGTGGCCCTCTTCTTCCACGTCCGGTCGACCGCCCCCTCCGATGCGGACTTTCTCGCGGGGGGCCGGCGCCGGCCGAGGGTCCTGCTGTACTACGCCAAGCAGAAGAAGCCCCCGAAGCAGCACCACAACGGCGAGCGCGTGGGCCTCCTGAGCGGGAGCGTCGCCGGGGGATCGAACCACCGCAACCGAAGCAGCGGCAATGGCAATGGCAACAGCAACAGCAACGGCGGCCGCCCCCTGGTCATCGGCCTCCCCCTCGGCAGCAGCGACAAAGAACACCAGCCCCCCCCCGCAGACGACTGCAAAGACTGCGACCACTACGACTACAACGACCACTGCGAGGGCGACGACGATCCCGCTCTCTTTGCGGGCTCGTGGCGGCCGGGCAACGCCTCGGCGTCCGCCTCTGCCTCCAACCGGGCCTTTCGCACCTTTTCCCGCAAGGTCATGCTCGAGATCCAGGTCCGCCTCCGCAAGGCCCGGGCCGAGTGGACGGCCCGCCTCGAGGAGTACCAGATGCTACAGCAGGCCCCCCTCCTGGCGGGCGGCTCGGGAACCGGCCACGCCCACGCGGCGGCGGCGGTGGCCCCCTTCCGGGTCCTCCTCGAGCTCTACGCCGGGGACAACCACCACCGGTTTTCCAGGCCGCGCGGGAGCACCGGTGGCAGCGTGGGCAGCACCAGCACGGGCAGCAGCAGCGGGACAGGAAGCCAGCCCCACCGGCACAGCCCGATCGACAGGCTCGGGGCCGCCTACGACCTGGACAACGGGGAGGCCCTCATGCCCTTTGTCCCGCAGCTCCTCTCCTTTCTGCTGCACGGGGCCTACGAGTCCTCCCACCCGCTGGAGGAATGGATCCTCCGGGCCTGCCGGAAGAACCTATTCTTCGCCCACAAGTGCTACTGGTTCCTGAGGGCCTGGTCCCTCGGGTCCACCACCACGGGCTACATCCGCAGCAGCGGCAACACCGCCAGCAGCGGGAGCAACGCCACCGCCGACGCAAACCCGTCCCCCTCGCGGACGCAGGCGCAGTCCCACACACACGAGGCGGCGGGGGGGATGGTCTCCCGTCTGAGCCACTCGAGCAGCCTCGCGAGCTTTGCCACCCAGGAGGACGAACCCCCCATGGCGGCCTCCCGGCTCCTACCGGAGGAGCGGGCCGTCATCGAGGACCTCCTGCGGCGGATCATGGCCTGCGGGGAAACCCCGGCGAGGCTCCTGCACGCGGGAGACGCGGGCAGCGGTGGAGGCGCCAGTGGAAGCAACAGGCCCTCCTTTCCCTTTGGGGCGTCCCCCCCGGAGGCACAAACGAACGAGGCCTTGCTCTCCCCCCTTTCGCGGAGCCTCTTTCGGGACGAGGACGGCGACAGCGATGGTGACGGACCCGACCATTTCCAACCTCCGCAGCAACAGCAACAGCAACAGCCGCACCACCACTTCCACCTCACCCCGGCGCAGGCCGCGGCCTCGGGCCTCATTCCCACGAACCCCCTGACGGGAGATCCGTCCCAGAGGCACTTTGACTGCCTCTCCGCCCGGCGGAGGCACGGCTTCCTGCCGCTCGACCACAACCCGGCTGCCGCTGCAGTCCCCAGCGGCTCCTGCTTCGACTCGACCCCCGTCTTTATGGACGCCCTGGTTACGATCGCCGACAACCTCTTTGGGGTCCCCCGCGAGCAGCGTGCCGCCGAGCTCGCCAAACAGCTCTCCCTCCTGGAGGTCGAGGCCCTCCCCTGCAACGAGATCTACGTGCCCCTCCAGAACCTCCATCACCGGGTCTGGAGGATCGTCGAGGAGGAGTCCATCGCCATTAGCACCAAGGAGCGGGTCCCCTGCATCGTTTGCCTGGAGGTCGTCGACTACCGATCCGGCGGAGGGGCTTCTGGCTGGGCCGGAGGGGCGTTGTCCCCTTCCGGTGGCAGCGTTGGTGCCACACAGGGCGTGGACCCCCTCGCTCCGGGAAGCGGCATCGCTCCGCCGTCCCAGCAACCGGCGCCGACGTCGCTGCTCCAGCCGCCGGCCCCCAGCGAGCGCGAGCTGGTGGACCGCTGGAGGAACGCCCCTCGGGAGCCCTACCGGCGGGAGACCACCTTTCACAAGATGAAGCACGGGATCATCATGGGCCAGAAAATCTCCATCTCGGAGCTCCGAAACCTCCAGCCCAACATCCACAAGATGAAGGCCTCGATGCAGGAAATGCAGGAGCACTTTGTTCACAGCGTGGCAGCGAGGATCCGCCTGCCCAGCGACGAGGGACGGAAGGAGGAAGACCGAAGCGAGGCCGAGGAGGCCGTCGAAGCCGGCCTCGACCGGGAGAAGGCGGTCCTCTCGTCCGAGGCGGCAACGAGCTACGGCGGGGCCGAAACCGGGGACGGGCCGAGCTCCCCCACCCCCAATGGTTCCCCGCTGCAACAGCAACAGACATCCCAGCCGCTGTCACCGAGATCCCCCCGGGCCACGATCCAGCAGGGAGCGATGGGACAGTGGACCAAGTCGCCGGCGCCTCGAAAGCACCACGTAGCGGACGTTGCGGAGGCTCTATACGGGGCCGCCCCCGAGGATCTCTCGGCCCCTGCGACCGGCAGCGGTTACTACTACCAACACACCACCATCAACGACCACATTGGCGGGGGAAGCAACGTCAGCCGGCGGCGGTTCTCGCGATCGTCGTCGGCAAACAACGAACCCCACCGGCACGGAGGATCCGTTCCTTGTGCCGAGAAACCTCTGGACGAAAGCACGTCGTCGGGCGGTGGCTCGTTTTCCAACGGCCTCGACTACGATTATGACGAACACGACGACGACGAGGAAGACGAACGCGACCGCTATGGAGGAGGCATGCGCCACAGGGATGGCGGCCCCGGGGAGGCCTCGTCCCACCGCAGGCGCAAGCACCGGCATCCGCCAACTAAGCCGCCTCCCGTCGTTTTCAAGGAGAACTGGAAGGAAAAGGAAGACCGGCTTCGGTCCTCCTCGGCCTACGGGCACCACCCCGGGTGGAGGCTTCTGCCGGTCCTGATCAAGTCCAACGACGATCTCCGACAGGAACAGCTCGCCTCGCAGCTGATCCAGCGGATGGCTCTCATCCTGGCCCGTGACAAGATCGGCGTCTGGCTCTGCCCCAACGAGATTCTGGCGCTGGAGGCGAACGGCGGGATCATCGAGGCCATCCCCGACACGATTTCCCTCTCCGCCCTCAAGAAGAACGATCCCGACTACACGGACCTCAACGGCTTTTTCGAGCAGTATTTCTGCGAGGACGACGCCCTAGCGGACGCCAAGGCCAGCTTTTGCGAGAGCCTCGCGGCCTACTCGATCGTCTGCTTTTTGCTGCAGATCAAGGACCGGCACAACGGGAACATTCTGCTGGACAACCGGGGCCACATCATCCATATCGACTTTGGGTTTTTCTTCCTGTCTTCCCCGGGCAAGAACACCGGGTTCGAGAGTGCCCCCTTCAAGCTCACCCGGGAGTTTATGGGCGTCCTGGGGGGCCCCGATTCACACCTCTTTGCCGTCTTTCGGAACCTGTGCTACCGGACATTTCTCTCCCTCCGCAAGCACTGCCACGAGATCATCGTGCTTGTGGAGATGCTCCAGCTGGGCAACGAAGAGCTGGCCTGCTTTCGGGGCCGCCCCGAGGACGCCATCCACGAGCTCCGGCAGCGATTCCGGCTGGACCTGAACGACCGGGCCTGCCTCGAGTACGTCAACGCGCTGATCGACGAGAGTTTGGAGAACTGGAGGACGAACTGGTACGACAGGTACCAGAGGTACTGCGTCGGGGTGCTGTGACCGGACTCTACGCAGTGAACAAAAGTAAGGAAGAAACGAAGCAGTCGGTTTACAGTCATAAATGCTACATAAACGCCTGCATGTACAGAAATAGGAGCTTGTTAAAATAGTCATCGCCCGTCTCGGTTTTTGTTTAGGGCTCAATCTGCAACGTTAGGATCGCACGCGGCATAGTGTGTAGTTCTGCAGTGCCATGCGCAACGGCACATTGGTTCAGTAGCGGTCCGTCGTGTGTCTGTTGGTTCGTTTCTTTTTCTTTGCCGGTATGCCTGTTGTGCTGGGAGCCGACGCACTCCCCACGATTCCAACGGAGGGGAAAGCGCAGCACGGCACCCGATCGATGGACGCTTTCCTTTTGCGAAGCCCTTACTCTCCGTTGAGCAGGCTCGGGACCTTGACCATGCCTTTTTCTTGCCATTCCATGGCCCTCCACATGCGCTCGATCTCCTCCTCGGATCCGAGCACGCTGATGGAGTTTTCGGTGTCCTCATCGTTGCTCTCGAGCTTGATCTGGAACTCGTCGACGCGGTCGCCCGACCTCCAGTAATAAACTCCGGCGTAGGGCGACAGGAGGCACAGGTAGTACCAGTTTGGTTCGCCAATCACGGGAAGAACTTCCGGAACAATTGAGGGATACATTAAAAAAGAACGGCAGGGTGAGTGATGGTGCTGCAAGACAAAAACCAGGTGGCCAACACGTTGCGTGTGGTGGTTGTCGATAATATCGAGAAACTCCGCAAAAGCGAAAATTCAAGACGAAGAAGCATCCGAGAACTTCAACATGCCTTCCAATTATATTCCTGTGATCCGTTCCTCTGGGTGAATCAAGTTCTTCCTGCAGTTCCAACACAGCCCGACCAATGAACTACCGAACGAAAGATCCATTACCGGTCGTGGTCTCGCACGCAAAACATTCTGGGCATTCTTACTCACCGAGGTTATTGAATTGGATCTGTAAGACAAGTGCGAGAGACGCCAGACCCACAAAGGAACAAAAGACCAAAAAGCAGGCCTGCGATATGCTTCGCTGGACGACTCCCTGGAAGGTAATGGTTTCACCGGCATCGACGACTTCGTAATTGTTGGCTTTCATGTAAGCCATGATCTCGCCGGCCTGCTCCCGTAGTCCCTTTCCGTCGGGGGCATTCGCTCCATCGGAAACATAGGTCTTTTTCTTCAACTTTGCCTTGGTCGATCGCTTGATGGTCGACCATAGACCGGGGAAGGAAAACAAGTAAAGACCAAGAATGACGTAATAGGAAGCCTTGCTGTAGGTAACCTCACCGGAAGTCCCAGGAATATAGTTGTCTGCGGCAGCAGTCCAGAAAGTGCTGGCTGTGTCCACAGCATCGGCCACGTTAAAATCCAATGGAGCCATATTTGCGACGATGATGCGGTTCCTGCTTTGCTCCATCGAATTCACAACGATGGAGGGGGACGGAGCGAAGGCCTGTGAGAGGCCGAGACCTGCCAGGGAGAGGAACACCAAAAACTTATTCATTGTTGCAAAAGCTCGCTAATAGTTTACTTTTCGGCGTATGATTGATCTGATGCAAATTGTCCAGTGGATTCGCTTTGGGTTGTTATAATCGACGCTGAATGTATAAACATAAACCTCAATACGGAAAACACATCATGCCGCAAACAATCGGGTAAGGTTCAATTCTAACGTACGGTACGCTTGCAGCAACCACGGTACGATAACAGTTGTAGTATCAGTTCGTACAGTGGAAAAACATCGATGATGTGATGTATTTCGGGGGAGGTAGATTTGCGGTTTCGAGAAGAACGGTGGCTGAGTGTCTTTCCCATCGTACGTCATCATTTAATTTTTTTTATTTATGCTAATCAATGAGATTCCATTCGACTCATTCGAATTCGAACGAAGACACAGTTTTCGGGGTTTTCTCTAGCAAACAGTCGAACAAAGGGGGGAAAACACTTCAGAAGGGTATTTTTTATTTTTCAATACAGAGTACGGTACGTACCGGGTACCAGGGGTCATGACCCCTACCCTGCCGGGTACTACGTACGAACGTTTAGAACTTCGTATGTTACTTGTGCTTCCCATCTCCTTTTCAACATTTAGGACGTGGAGGATAGCAGGAGCGAGTTATGACCCATCAGCAAGATCACAACAGCTTCACGTACTACAAACATTTACCAGACCTAGCGTACACACAACGCACCATTGATATTATTGTTACGTAGATTCAATTACTAGAAAATGCGTAGAAATCGGTGAAGTATCCCACGACTCGCGTTTGCGAAGTTTCAACAAAAAGTTAGACCGATAAGTAATAATACTTCGTTTATTGTTGGTACCGGTACGTTTTTTTCGTTCCTGGTATGAGCAAGTGTACGAGTAGTCAAAAGCTGCCTCTATTGTGCACATGAACGCTGTCCAGGCACGAGTAAAAGAGCGGATTTGCATCATCTATGCGATTCATTCGCACGTAAGATAGCACTTTAACTCGGCCGCTACAAAACGCATTATTCAGTTTAGACTGTTGACCAAACACAGGCGAAGCTAAGGATGTGCGACAGAAACATGGACTTCGTTCCAAAGAGAAACCAATACGAAAGGTTAGATCTCAACTTCGAGGAAGAGAACACAAGATTGTTCCTCTCGCTCCTCGAAAAACAGCGCAAAGAAGAGTTGCCTCTGTCCATTTGCAAACAGATCAACGATTCCATAAACATTACCCTGCATCCGGATTGCGATGCCGCCGATGAGTTTCGGGAGGCCGTAGACATCATCGAGAATGAAAACTTCAACGTCGCCTTCGTCGGTCCCTTTTATGGTGACGAAAATCTAACAGACATTGGGCGTTGGTTTTTGTCGGTGCTGCGAACGGAGGAAAAACTTCCTGCTCTGATCCACAGTGAAATAGACTGGATCCTCCTCAACGCGGCGGAAGATTTCCTCCACAATGCCTGGCTGAAAATCGACAGCAAAGAAAAAGCCTCCGAAATGATTCGCTTGTTTCCCACCCTTCTCCCAAACTTCGAAAACAATATCAACGCGGGCGATCACCCGATCATTCTACAATCGCGCTGTGACGAAAGCATCTCTCACACAATAAAGCGTATGTCACTAATTCCCTTCACGGCGAAGCTCGGATTCAAGCTGAACCAGTTCGAGAAATGGGAGCGCGGAGGGGTGCTTGCCGAACCCGAAGACGGAGGGAACAACGTTTTACAGAACTTGTGCTCGTCGTTTGATAACAAGTTCGCTGGGTGCTCACCTGAAAAGGACCAAACCCTTGTCGAAGAGACCGCTCTTGGGGTAATGAAAACATTACGCCGAATGAAGTTGTTCAAGAAAGGCGATATCCAACGATACAATCTCGTTCAGAAACTCTTCTTTGACGAATCACGCTCCTGGCCTTCTGAGAGCAAAACAGAGGACCATGTTATATCGGAAAAGCGATTTCGCTTCCTTACGGACTGGGATCCAGAAGCGCTGACAGCACCATTCCGGGACGATGACAAAGACAACGAGGGACTTCTACCGATTCACCACTCTACTGACTATGGATCGATTGATAATTTTCTTCTGTACTTGAAGGCCGGAATACGTCATTTCCCAAACAAACTCGGTTTCGTTTTCTCCAAACGAGTCCACACGAAAACAGTTCCCAAGCAAAAAGACAACGAGTCAACAGCATCCGCAGGAGTCCAGAACGAGTCAAGGTATATCAACACTTATCAAATACCCTACTTCAAAGCCTGCGAAAAGTTCGGAGAAGAAAATGTGGAACGAGAAGTAATCGATAAAGTGCTAGCAGATTGTCCCGAAACCCAAGACCCCAAGAAGCTACTACTGCTGGGAGCCGAAGAAGACGTTGACCTGAGTGGACTGTATCTTCTCTTGCGCAGAGATCCCGCACACTGGTCTACCGTGGTGTCGAAAAAGGGCAGCAGCAGCAACACCAAAAGTTCCAAACGCGATATGGCGATAAACGAGAGCGTCGACAGAAAGCGAAGAAAGATGGAATGCTGAGGACCGCTTGGACGGAGAATCATTTCCCAAAACACAATTTAGACAAACTGTAGAATTAAATGTACTAAAAATATACGATAGAAATACCCCTGGTGGCAAAGACCGAAGTTGTTTTCGAAAGTACGATGTGTCTTTTGCAGCTTCCTATACCGTTTTGATTACAGAAGAAGAATCATTTCAAACTCTTTCGAGTGCATCGGCTCTTGTGACGGAAACGCAGAAGAGTTCTCCGCAGGCCGCTCCGGATGGCACTCGCCCATCGATCGACGCGAGTTGGCCTCGGCAAAGAGACCGTGTGACCGTGGTGGCTCCAAACGAGCAAGCCGGCAAAAAAAGGTCTTGGGGGTCCGGCGGCTGCCTCCGTTCTCCGGATGGGTGTCACCGGTAGATCGGGGAGCTCATGAGAAAGCGGTTGATTTTTTGCATCGTGGATCGGGTCGGTTCGGCAACGTCCCGGTCCTGCCGGATCAGGTGGAGCGCGATACGGATGCTCTCCTTGTCCGCGAGGCGTTTGGGGTTACTGCTAGCGCCGGTGGTGGCACCGCCGCCACCGCTGCCATCGAGTTGCTTGTGGACCCACAGCAGGAAGGCTTCCCTCCCGTCGGGTTCCAGAAGCCTGCTTACGATTGCCTCCGGGAGTCCCGAGGACAGATGCGTCGTTGGGGTTCCCTTCTCTTCTGGGTCGTCTTTCCCGGCCCCGTCTTCCTCGCCCACGCCAGGGGCCTCGCCGAGCAGCCCGGACAGGTCCCAGGCCCCCTCCCTGGTGGCAAACCCGTCCCGCAGGGACAGCGGGAACCGCAGTGGGCAGGCCAGGACGGCAAAGACCAGCGCGACGGCCACGGACCGGTCCCTCCCCTGGGCGCAGTGGACCAGGACCCTCCTTTCTCTCTGCAGGTGGTGGACCAGAAAGGCCAGGCCCACCGGCATCCACCGCTCCAGCTCGGTCCGGTCCCGCTTCCCCTCCTCGACCGGGAGCCGGAGGTACCAGCCCCCGCCGCCGGCGAGGCCGCCGTACTCCTGGTTGGTCACGTTGAGGACCGCGTCAAAGGCCTCCCAGCAGCCGGGGGGCTTTCCGGCACGGCGGCTGCCGATCCAGAGGTCGGTGGTGCCGATCTTGTTGCTGTAGGACCGCGCCGCTGCGTCCGAATCCGGCCGGGCGTCCGCTTCCTCTTCCCCCGCCTTCTGCACCAGACGATCGATCGCCGCGTCGACCCCGTCCTCGTCGAGTCCCGGGTCCAGGAGGCTGCTCTGGTTCCTCCAGAACAGGGCCGGGGTGAGCTTTCGTGCCCAGGACTCGTGGTCGTCGGCCGCGCCGGGGGTGTAGTAGTACGGGGCCGGAGCTTTGCCGCCGTCGCCGTCGCTTCCGTCGCCGGGGGAAACCACTTCCTGGTGGTGCTTGTCGACCTTGATCGGCTCCTCCGTGGACCCCTGCCCGAAACCAGTCGGTGTCTCCACGAGCACGTACCGCGAGGGATTGTAGCAGAGAATGACAAAGGAATCCCTCGTTGGGGACTCTTCGTCGGTGGGGCCACCCCGATCGCCAACGCCGCCGGCATTGGGATTGGGTGGATAGAGGTTCCCCCCTCGGTCCATCCACGCCACTTTCAGCGGCTTTTCCAGGAGCTCGACCAGCCGGGAGGGGTTGACGATCGCCCCGCTCCGGAAAAGCGTGTCGGCCCGTTCCTCGATCAGCGCCGACATGGCGGCGTGTTCCGTGGCCGAGACGACGCCCCTCGGGGTATAGAGGTTTGTGTCCCAGCGGGCAGCGGTGGTGCCGCCGGCGGCCTGGGCACGGAAGCGCTGGGCGATTCGGTTGAGGACGGCCGCCCAGATGGGGATGGTCCGAGAAAAGGAGTCGGGCAGGACCTTGCGGACCGACGAGTCCACCAGGACGCAGCCGCCGTCGCCGACTCCCGCGGTGTGCTCCAGGAGCTCCAGGTTGAGGCGCTTCAGGCTAAAGTCCCAGACGTTCGCGTGACCGTCCGTGCTCTTGAAGTAGCAGGACCGCGGCGAATGGTATCTGTAGCGGGATGGGGGGTCGTCGTCGTCGTTGTCGTCGTCGTCGCTTCCGCCGAGTGGAGAAAGAGGGGGGACGTACCAGGACCCGCACCGCTCGTTGGCCACGGTGCTCCAGTTCCGGAGCGCGTGGGAGACCAGGCCTCCGGTGTGGTCGGCGGCGTTGCTTCCGTCTGGTGGGGCCACCAGATGGAGGCGGCGGAGGTCCTCCACCGCCTGCGCATCGCGGCGGATCGACCAGAGCCGGTTCTTTGCCCGGCCGGCGGTTTTCTTGMGCGTTTTCGGTTGCGGCCTTGCTCCGACTTTTCGGTCGCCTATTTCCGGGTGTTCCAATCGTTGTGGTTGCCGATGGAAAATGTCGCCTTGGCTCGTTTCTCCCGAACCATCTTCATTGCCATTGTTCCGTACGGCATTCGCCATTCTATTTCGTTTGTTGCACTCCGCCAGGATGCAATAGCACTAGTACTGTTGAACAGAACAAATCAAGGCGATTGATCGATGATAACGGTGATGGAGCAGTCAACATGGAAATATTTTGTGGAATTGTGTGTTGCTCGACACAAGTCCTCGTGTCGTTCACTGTTTTCGATTTTCGACGACAAGAATTTCGAAAGTGATGGAGCGCAATTTTTGATGGATGTGGAACAAAGAAGAACGTTTTTTTCATAAATTTTTGTTCTGAAGTTTTTCCGTGAGATGGAATGCCTAGACGGACATCTACGGCGCCACAAGTACTTGTCATGTCGGTACGAGAAAAACGCCAAAACTTTTCTTGGGGGTACTGGTACACTACCAGAGTATGCAAGTAAAGTATGCACATACTTTGGACATAAAATATGTACGTACCGTGGTCACCTACATACCATACGTAGGCTACTCCTGGTTGGTATCGAATCGAACGCTGTGCACGTGCAATGCAGGATGACTGGTGAAAGGGACAGTGTAGTGACTGCATGCTGGGTCCGGTTTTTCCTTTTCGATCTTTGCGGAGAAAAAGACGTCAAAAAGAATTTTCGAGTCGGAAGGATACGATAGTGTTCCTCATGACACAAACGCCAAACAATAACATATTCGTACGGGACATCGAACATCCAGAGAAAGAATGAACGGCACCGAAATGCGATGAGCAAAGCGAGGACGTAAACACGAACACCATTCAACACAGGACAACACGAGTACATACCGTTGGCCGGTCGAGAGTGCTCTTTTGGTCGGACTTCCACGGAATAACATAGCGATACTACTACCAACCAATGATAATGCGTCCCCGACCATAAGAATATTACCGCAAACGAAGAGAACAGAACGCAACAAGAAAAGAGAGAAGAGAAGAGAAGAGGGCAGAAGAAAACGAAAGAAAAGGAAACCTTCTGTTCGTTCCGTGAAGGGGTTCGCTGCACTTGCATTCGGTTCGATTCGGCTCGAACGCGACGGCTTTTCTTCTTCTTCTTCTACTACTACTACTACCCTAAAAGCAACCAAAACCATGGCCTCCAAGCGTCACTCCGGGCCCGGTCAGTTTGCGGCCCTGTTGGACGACGACGACGACGACTCGTCTTCTTCGTCCGGCTCCTCCGACCAGGACGGCAGCAACGGGCCGCCGCCGCCCCCCGACGGGGAGGACCTGTCCTCGTGCTGGGCCGACGAGGAAACCGTCCTGGAGTGCGTCTACGGCGAGGAATGCGAACGGTCGACGAGGGGGCGGTCGGGCCGGGCGGTGGCGCGGGTCCGCGTCCGGCCCCCGGACCTGGCCCCGGAGGAGATCGGCTGCTCCCTGACGCTGGTGGTGAAGATCCCCAGGAACTACCCCTACGCCGTCCCGGGGATCCGGCTGAGGGAGACCGTGGGCCTCTCCGGGGCCGGGACCGCCCAGCTGCTGGAGCGGCTGCAGAGGCGCGCTTCGGAGCTGGCGGAGAACGGAATGGTGATGGTCTGCGAGCTGGTCCAGGTCTGCGAGGGCTTTCTGCTGGAGCACAACGTCGACCCCTCCATGTCGGCCTGGGAGCAGTCGAGGGCCAGGGAGGAACGGGAGCGGACCGAGAAGGAGGAGGCCGCAAAGGCCCGGGAGCGGAGGCTCTTGTCGCTCATCGAGGAAGAAAAGTCGGCGGCGACCGCTGCCGGAGCGGAGGGTTCAGGCGGAGCCCAAGGCGACGGCGGGAAGCCCCCGGAGGAGATCCAAAAGGAGCTGGTCCGACAGAGGGAGGCCCTCGAGGAAGCCAACAAGCACCGGAGGCGGAACCATTCCGGTGCCCTGCTGTTCGGCGGTCTTGCCGCAAGCCCCTCGGTCGGCCAAGAGGAAAGCGACGGTGACGATGAATACGACGAATACGGGGACGAGGATGACGACGGCGACGTCGTCCCGTCCTCCCTCGCGTCGTCGTCCTCCCGGTACAAGACGGACTTTATCGAGATGGAGGTCCTCGGCCGGGGGGGCGGGGGAGAGGTCGTCAGGGTCCGGAACCGGCTGGACCGCCGGATCTACGCCATCAAGAAAATCATCCTGGAAAGCGAAAAGGGCACCCTGGCGCGCTCCGGAAAGGCACAGAACAAGAAGCTCCGCAGGGAGGTGACGACGATCTCGAGGATGATGCACAAGAACATCGTCCGTTACTACCAGGCGTGGGTGGAAGGAAGCAGTGACGGGGCCGTGGAGGAAGGAGACGAAGAGGAAGACGGCGGAGGGGAGGACGACAACAGCAACGGTGGCGGTGAACAAGATAACAACGCCGGTGGTGTCCCGGAAGACCTCCTGAACCCGAACCTTGAAGGATCGAGCGACGACGAGGACAACAACGACGAGGGCTGGTGGACGCGGTCGCCGACCCGTTCGGGCGCCCGCAAGCGGTCCCTGCCGCGAACGCAGAGCGCGTCGCGGAGCAGCAGCGGTGTGTCCGGCATCGGTGGCAGCGGCGGAGACGACCAAAGCTCCTCGGAGGCATGGTCCAGCGACGAGGACGGGGGTAGCGAGACCGCGGCGATTTCCGGCTCGGTGGGCGAGGACGTCCGGCTGTTCCCCCACAACTTTGATTTTACGCACCAGTACGATGGCCTCTTCAAGAACGTGCAACCCGCCACCGACGACGAGGACGAGGACAGCGGTGCAAGCAGCTCCAATGACGAGGCGAACGACAACGGTGGCGGTGAGAACGGCAACGAACACGACGACGACGACGACGACGACAGCAGCGCCTCGTGGGGGGACGACTCTTCCGTGAAGGTGGACCACACCAAAAAGCAGAGCATTTTGTACATACAGATGGAATACTGCAACACGACGCTGCGAAAACTGATCGACGACAACGCGCTCCCCGAAATGTCCGATTCCGACGTCTGGAGGCTGGTGCGCCAGATCGTGGAAGCCCTAGTGTACATACACGACCGGCGGATCATCCACCGCGACCTGAAACCCGGAAATATCTTTCTAGACTCGGAAGGAAACATCCGGCTGGGGGACTTTGGCCTGGCCACCACGAGGCGGCAGGACCACAGCCGCGCGTCTCCCGGCCCGGACGATGCGGAAGAACTACCACCGGACGAGCGGGAGGTCCTCTACGAGGCCATGGAGGGCCTTGGAGTCCTGCTGGGAGAGAACACCATTCTTTCCAGGTCGGTTGTATCGCACACAAGTGGTGGCGGGGAATCCCTGACCGGTGGAGGTAAGCAAAGCAAGGAAGGGGGATGCTTTGTTGGTTGACTTTTGTGTCTATTTTTTGTCTTTTGTTTCGTTCCATTCCAGAGTTCTGAGCTGCTTTGTTGTTGTCTACTCCACTAGTCGGCACCACGTTTTACAGAGCCCCAGAGCAGGCGGGCATACTGTCCGCAAGAAAGGGCCGCGGGAGCGATTCGTCGTCCTACGGGGTCAAGGCAGACATATACAGCCTGGGCATCGTGATTTTCGAGATGTATCACCCCAGGTTTGGCACCTACATGGAACGCTCGGAAACGCTGAACCGACTCATTTCCGGGAAACCCGGCGAACGATTTCCCGCGGACTTCGCCCCCCAGAACGCCAAGGACATAATCACCTGGTGCCTCGAGCGAGATCCGGCAAAGCGCCCCTCCGCAAAGGAGTTGCTCAAGGTAAGGAATACCAACATACTGGAACGACTCCGCGAGTCCGGTGGAACGTTGCTTGGTGTGTTTTGGACGCGTCTTTGTTCAGACTGATACAAATGTGTTGCTGTTCGTTGCATTTTTGCGTTACCAGAGCGACCTCCTCCCTAGAAAAATAGAAGTAGAACAGCGATATCTGGAAGGTGAGTATACGGAAGAGGCGGCTCCTGTTTTCAACTCGAGAAACAATGCGTTTAACTCATCCAATCTCATCGGTTCGTACCTTTTCCATGGCATATTTCAGAGGCTCTCGAGCTTTTGAGCAATTCGCAACCAGAGGGGAGTTTGACCCAGGCCATCGTCGATGCCATCTTTTCAAAGAAAACCTCTGACATAGACGAGTTTACGTACGATACAGACACTGCTGTAAAAGCAAATAATATCGGTACAACCACACGCACCCAGACGCCCTCAGAAGGCTTGATGAGAGGTACGCAAACCCTGTCAAATTGTCCTTTGCGTTGTTTGTTCGGTTCCTGCTGTGGACTCACACTTTCCCCACCTCGTTTGGCAATTGCTGCCTATAGCATTCCGCTGCATACGAAACGGTACCATCGATGTCAAATCACTTTCGATGAGTAATATGTCTATGGTTGCTGCGACATCGGCCATCAATCGAACCAGAAACGCAACGAAGCTCGGAAAGGAGATCGGTATAAAGGGAGATTTGAAGCGGTCTAGGAAACAAACAGTCGGAATCCTGGCATCTCGTGCGGCGGCAGCCATTGCAATCGACGGAAATCTCGACGGAGTTTTGGGAAAGGATCCCAGGATTGTAGAGATGATCACTACCCGACTGGCAAATATCTTCCAGGCCCATGGTGCAGTGCACCTGAAATCTCCTCTGTTGAGACCTCGTTATTCTTCTTCCGACAAGACCATCATTGGAGGGCCCGCCGAAGTATTGAATAGAAGGGGCGTTGCCTTGTGTCTGTCGGAAGATCTCACTGCTTCCTTTGCGCGAGCAGTTGGAAGGGGCGGTCAGAGTGCCTCGAACTTGAAGAGGTACGAGATCGACCGAGTCTACCACAAGTCTCTTTCTGGCGGGCATCCCCGCACGAAGTTAGAAGCAAGCTTTGATATTACTCAAGACGAGTCAAGCCTAAAGAGTTACTATATAGAGGCCGAAGCTATTTCGGTTGTATCTCACGTGATGTCTCAACTAGAAATCCCAAACACGTCGGACCTGCCCTTTGGAGCAAGCCCTCCGTTATGGTATCTTAGGATAACGCACACGCGCCTCGCCGACGGCATTCTCGACATTTGTGGGGTGAAAGGAAATGCTTTGAGAAGGCTTTGTCTGCGCCTCTTCACCGAAATCACGGCACCCACGCCTTCTTCTCTTTTCCAGCTTCTCCCCCGTCCGGCGGGACGAACACGAGCGACGAGTCGCGATGGACCACCGGTGACTCGAACCGAAAAACTCGAACAGTTCATCGAAGCAGCAACTCGTCACCACTCAATGACCAGCTCGGTCGCAGACAAACTACGACTTTTATTAAAGGACTGCATGCCGCTTCCAGTGAACATTAACAAGGCCATTGAAGTTTTGAAAAAGGCCATTGAAAAATTGAAGGCTGCTCAGGTATCACTGAGCAAGACTTTTGACGGGAAAGAACTGGACTCGCGCAAAATTCTGAATCACTTGGAAAACCTCACAAAGACATTACAATCGATTGGCGTTCGAACCGCCTTCGACTTGCACACTGCCGACGAGAAACCTTCCACAAACGGCTACAATTGTCCCTTGCTGATATCTCTCGATTTGGGTTTGAGACAACAAAGAAAGCACTATCACGGCCAGCTATTATTTCAATGCATCGCAATTCCAAGCAACTATTTCAACTCTCTGCGTTCCACAGAGGATGTGGTGCGCACGACAAACGACTCTCTCCTCTCTTCGTCTGGAAAGGGAATCAAGGTTGCGGAGGGCGGGAGGTACGATGAATTGGTTCGAAAATCAAGGCCACCGGGTAATTTCGGATCCGCGCTGTTCAACACCTACACTGCGGCACCCATTCCGAAATGCGTAGGTGTGAGATTTGCCATTGGGAAGCTCATTACACTATTGTATCTCGAAACGTCGCTGTCCAATGCGGCCGTGGTGGAATCCTTTGATGCAGCAAAGGGAAGCAACGCCAACATTGGGTACGAAATGGGTGTGATCCGCGGAAGCCTTGGTGCGCCGCTGAATGCCATGCCGATGCCAATCCAATGCCTCGTTTCCAGCGGCAACGGTCTGGACGCCGAGACCGCGAAAGAACGCCTCGTTGTATCTTCGGTGCTTTGGTCCGAGGGCATATCCTGCGAATACCTGGCTCAGAGTGGTCTCATGGCAAACTTGCTGAAGCAGCGAAGAGGAGAATGCACCGGAAATAGTTCGTCTGTAAGTTGCCGATTATGACCAAGAAGCCTTGCTCGGGCGATGTACCTAATGGGATCCCTTTTTCTTGGCTTTCTGTTCCTTCTCTTTGACACAGGATTGGTCTCTGGAAGAACTCTGCGGTATTTGTGCCATCATGAAGGTGAGTATTTTTTTTAAAAAAGATTTCCGGTGTGGTTGTTTCGCATCCGCTTGTCTCTGCTATCTCACACGGAGATTTCATTCAAAACCAACTAGATCCCGTTTGTGGTGGTAGTACAACCACACATACTGAACGACATTGGAAAAGTCCAACTCCGCCACGTCGCATCGGTTGGTGGCACCGACGACGACACCGAGAACTACATCTCGCTCGGCAGCCTGGCCTCGACCATCCAGGACTTGTCCCGCGCCGCCAGCGACGACCAGCTCGCTCACCGCGGCGATCTCGGGGGTGCCTCGGCGCAGTCCCAGTGGGGCAACGCCTACCACCGATACGGGGCGGCGGGCAGCGGCACCCGGGCCTCGGTGGAGCCGTCGATCGAGTGCATCTACATCCAGAAGGACCAGTTTTTCGACTCGGAACGCCACCTCTCCAAGGTGGACCACAAGGCCCACTCCAAGGCCATCATGAAGACGATGCGCGGGATCACGCAGCGGGCGGAGGCCTTTGCGAGGGCCATGGTGGACCCGGGCGACGGGGCATCGAACGACCTCTCGGTCTTTGCCGTGACCGACGTCTCGTTCTGGTGCCTCCGGGACTTTGGGACCCACCTGATGAAAACGGCGGGGGCGGTCCAGTCGGCCGACACGGCCTACAAGGAGACGATCGGGGCCTACCCGGGCCACAAGCGGAGTCTCAAGACGCTGGGGGCCGCCATCGACAGCCACATGAAGCGGAACGGGTTCTGGAGCAGGACCGGGGGCCTTGCGGCGGAGGGCGGGGACACCAGGGAGGTGATGTTCCTGCTGTACAGCAAGCCCGACGACCGGTTCGACATGGTGACGCTGCGGTGCTAGCGGAGGAGGAGGCCAGGGACACGCGCTTCAAACGAACGGCAGCGCACGCGCGTGCAGCATCGAGTCCGTAGCGACAAACAATGGTGCGAATGTTTGAGCGACTGCCATACTTACGTACAATGCAAACATACTAGTCACGAATTGGATACCAACGCAATCGCACTGGCTAGTCTACAAAACAAAAATGTCTTTTGCTACTTTACAAACGAAAGCAAATCTCGTTACTGGCAAACAGCGGGCATGCCCCGGTCATCGGGACCCATGGGTTGTCTCTAGTCATCCGTTGGACCTTCCGACCGGTTCAGTCGTACATTTGGTCGTTTTCCTCGTCGTCGTCGTTTGTTTCGCCGCCGCCGTTGCCGGTCGAGGCCCCCTCGTGGTGCCTGCGCTGGAGCTCCTCCAGCCTCCGGTTGGCCTCGGCGGCGTCAAAGCCCTTGGTTCCCCCCTTGCTCTCGTCCAGGTCTTTTTCGTGCAGAAAGGGCGTCTCGAGGACGGTCCCGCCGAGCCGGAACTTGAGCTTGGAGTCCAGCAGGTCGATGGAGCAGTTGAAGCGCTTGAGCATGTCCAGGCCGAGCAGCAGGTCCATGTCCTTTGGTTTGGCAGAAGCGGAAGCGCCCGCGCCGGCCTGCGCCGTGGGAATCGCCGCGTCGTCCATGACCGTCACGCTGCAGGGAAAGTGGTAGTCCCCGATCTGGAGCTGGACGATGTGGATCCGGCCCAGGATCCGTCCCGTTCCGACCCCCACCGCCGTGCCGTGAAAGCGGGTGTCCAGCAGGTGGAAGATCCCGCACCGCCCGGCGCAGGACTTGCTCATGATGGTCGTCTGGGCCCCGCTGTCGACAAAGGCCTGGAGGGGGTGCTGGTTGATCGACGCGTTGATGTAGAGCATGAGGACCCGGCCCATGCTCTCGGGGTATTCCTGCATTGCCTGGCGGTACTGCTCGTTGACCAGGAGGAGGTTGTCCTTTTTTTCAAAGTAGGCTTTGGCCTCCTCGTCGTTGGGGTTTCTCTGGAGGCGCTCCCGAAAGGTCCGCTCCCGGTGGAAGGCATCGGTCCGAGCGGCCGCCGACCGGATGGAGCTGGAGACCATTTCTTTGCGCCAGGTCTCGACGGCTTTGTCGAAGGACGGGGCCCCCTGGATCTTTTTGGCCAGCACCGGCTGTTGGAATGGTTGTCGTGTTGTTGCATGTGCGTGGGTTTGCGTTTGCGTTAGAAACAGATGAATGATTGCAATGTTGGCCAAAGCGATGAAATCGTAGCGATCAAATGCAACAGAACCACGTCGGATCGATCTGGTAGGATACAGTACCATCCACTCAGTTCAATGCGTTCCGGTATTGTGTAATACAACGCAATGTCAAGTACTGTAACGCATTATTCGCAGTACAGCACAACTCGTTTCATTCTTCCACAATTCATGAACAAACAAAAGGCAATTACAGGCAATGCAACGCAATGCACCACATTTTCGCACGCACCATGTGGTAATTGAATTCCTTAAAGAGATTGGAGTGGGTCCGGAGGAGCGTGACGATTGCCCTCGGGTGGGGGTTCGATTCGAGGGCTTCCTCAAAGGACATTCCCGCGTAGTAGACGGGGGTCGGGTTGTTGTTGTTGTTGCTGCTGCTGCTGCTGCCGCTGTTGCTGCCGCCGCCAACGAGCAGGCCCGTAAAGTCGAGGCCCCCGGCGGCGGCGGAAGCACGGGCTCCGCCCCCCGATGCCGAGGCCGATGCCGACGCCGATGCCGACGCCCCGGCGAGGAGGCCCGAGAAATCGAGGCCCCCGGATGCTGCTGCCGCCGCCGACGACGAGGAGGAGGCAGACGACGAAGCCCCCGCCCGGCGTTGCGGGGGGTCCCGTGCTTGCGCCACCGCCGCCCTCACCACGGCCAGGAGGTCCCCGCTGGAAACCCCGGCCCCCGCCAGGGTCTGGGAGGGGCTCCCGCCCGATCCGGGCGTCCCCAGGGGCCTCCCGTCCCGGGTCAGGACCCACCTTTCGTTGGTCCCGCTGCCGCTGCTTCCGTCCAGATCCAGCAGGGCGGTCCCGAGGTCCAGGACCTCCTGGATCGTGAGGCTGCCTGGGACCGGGAGGCTTTCCGATCGGCCGGTGGACGGGTCGTGGAGGGTGATGGTGATGTCGCTCATCGCTGGTGCTTGCTACTGGTAGTGGGTGTCTCGGTGGGTGTCTCGGTGGGTTCGTTGTGGGTTCTAGCGGCGTTGTGCTGTCTCGCGGAGCATCAGAACATGCCATCCACGGTTCTTGGCAATCATGGTGTGAAGGGTTGTGTTGGTTCGAAGATTTCGAAGGCTTTCGTTGTACGGTAGATCACCGTGTCGTCGTGACTCGTGAGTCATTCATCGTGACTAAAGGTTCGATTCGATTCGATTCGATAGAGACGGACGGCAAGTTACGTTAGAACTACTGTATTACGTTTCGTCCGTACTTTCTCCGGTAGGATGTACTGTACTAGTCTACTACTAGGGTTAAGTACCAGTACTTCTTTTTGTTAGTTGTGACTTTTTTTGGACTGGTGTTCAAGACAAGAATAGTTTTTGTCACACCACTTTTACTTGTTGATTTTGATAGATGGATGAAAGTAATGAAAGTGTAGAATAAGTGGATTATGATTGCTGAAGAGTGCAACAAGAAGAAATTTGATATTCTTGTTCTTCTCTTCTTGTTGGTGGTGTGGCCAATCCAAAATTATTCAACAATGAACAATTTTTGCTCCTCCTAATGGTGCTGCTACAACCACACCTCCACCACCCACACTTCTTCTGCCCTCTGAGTGACTTCAATCTGTTTGATTCCAAAATATTCAGGTAAACAGTCAAGAATGAGCTGACTCTACGTCACAACACCAGTTCAGAACAACTGCTGGGAGCCCCAGGGAAAAAATGGTTTTGACTTTCATAAATTTCTATTAAAATGCGCATGGAATATTTTCTCTTGAACTCTCAAAGAAGTAAGGGATATTTATGTTCCTCTACTACTAGTATTCATACCCTTCTTTCAGGTCCCAACATGAAAAGGATCATGAGGAGATAAAAGGTTTTGGTGGTATTCCTCACTTAATTGGTACTTGGGGGTACTGTTTCCTTAAAACCAATAGGGATTTTCCAAACTATTTTTATCATTCCAATGCTATCCAATAGTATTCATAGTATTCACTTTACTAGTATGTATGCACACAAAGTATTCATAGTATTCACTTTAGTATTTATGCAAACAGTGTAACAAGTTTGGAACAGCCCTTAAAATACCACCTCCTAAGTAATACTTTTCTCATCACAGGGATTCTTGTTCCAGCAGCACAAGTGATTTGGATACATCAAAGAGTGGCTAAGAAATGACTTTTTAGTTTGATCTGTTTAGTATCATTTTCTGCACTATGCAGGCACATTAACCCAACCTCCTAGTAGTTATAGTATATAGTACTACTAGTCATATATTGTAACAAAGTGCAAAAATATATAAAGCGGGGACATTCAATCATGATCAGGATGAAGAAAAAAGGTCACAATGCCCATGAAGAAATAAATCTTAAAAGTAAAGAAGACACACTTTGTAGATAATAGTCTGCAGAGCACAAAAAGGTTTCTTGAGGCTAAAGTAATATTGCCTGGTGTTTGCCACTACTACTAAGTAGTAGTAGGCCACTATGGCAAACTACTACAACCAGCAAGATGATACAGATACATGATGGCATTGTTGCAAAACACTAGTACTAGTAGTATGAGTAGTAGTATTCCATGACAATGCTAAGGCAAGCCACTAGTAGTACAACAACTATGGCCCAACAGGGTGCTGATTTTCTTTTCCACCATAATACTGTACAGGAAGGACTATAAAGATAAAACACAATACTAGCTACTACACAACTTAGAATGAAAATAAAGATCATGATTATTGTAGAAGTTAGAACTTTTCTTGCTTGTTTTTTTGCTGTGCTTTGCTTTCTTTTCCAGCACCAAACAGACCAAGGGCTGGCATCATAGTCCAAAGCAACTAATGGTAATCATCATTGTCAATAGTATTATACTAGTGCTAGTATTAATGTATTTACTTTTGTACACAATCAACAGCAAGAACCACTGGCAACTAACCATTGCTACCATTATTTTTGCAACTAGCCATTAATGACTTTATTTTCATCCCCTGCAATATTAATAGTAACAAGCATCTATTAGTACTATTCTTTAAGAAAAAGAATAGTTTCTATGGGTAGAATGCATTGTTTGTCACTGGGAAAGTGATCTTTCATTAATACTAGACAATAATGCTTTGGTCCCAGCTTCCAACTGCCTCCTACTGCTTCATTCATAATTTGGGATCCATGAAATCATGATTAATAGCCCCCTATAACATCAGAAGCAACCAGATTGGTATAAAAACAACATTGATTGTGGAAAAAATCTGTTACTGGTTTTGCACTATTCAACTTTGCCAATACAATGGGCACAGAATAGCAAGAAAGCTCCTAGACAGCAAATCTGTGTGTCATTGTAGTGGGGATTGGATGCTTTTCAGCCAGTCATGAAAGGAGTTTGAAAAGAGACACGGCAAGGAGCAGAATTCTTTGAAGCTACCTGCTGTGTCTTGCAATGCGCTGTATCTCAATACAAGAAGGCAAACACCACGGTTCAGAGAAGATCGGCGTGTGTTCTGGGGCTTCTCTCTTTGCTGACTCGCAGAATCGCTCCCAGAGCGGAGAACAAACAGACAACACCAGTAGTTGCAGAAAGCCATCGGTTAAACTAGGGGTAGTCCTGCTATAAACGTTTATGTATGGGTGTGCGTACGCCTTCTCTCGAAATCCTTCCTTCACCGGCTCGGGCAGAGGCCGTAGGCGAGGGCAAAGAGCCGCTTCATCATGTCGCCCTTGACGTAGTGAAAGGCCAGGCTCCTGCGCGCGCAGTGCTCCAGCCCCTCCTTGATGTCGATCGAGTACATGGCGTACCAGTCCTTGGTGGGGTCGTCGGGGATCCGGTAGCTGTAGTGGTGCCCCGGGAGGAAGGGCATGTACCGCTCCCCGCCCTCCTCGTCCTTGGTGTCGTAGGGCAGGACGTTATCGATCTTTTTGAAGAGGGTGGCGACCATCGTGTCCTCCGAAAAGGTTTTCCGATGGGGAAAGTAGTTTGGGAATCCCTCCGTGACCAGCAGTTTCAGGGCCGCCTTGTTCATGGTGTACCCGGAGCCCCCCGAGTCGAAGATGTCGTTCATGTCGCCCTGGTAGGCAAAGCGTCGTCCCAGCAGCAGCGGGGTCTGCTTGGTTTCGTTCCCTTCGGGGAGGTAGATTCCGCCGTTGGCGGCAGTGCGGATTTCTTCGCTTTCCAGGTAGTATCGGAGGTTCTCTACGATGAGGAACAAATCGTCTCCCCTGGAATGCGTGTTTCGGGGTTTGCGCATGGATTTTGATGTGGCAGGACAGTAGCGGACGGTAAGAACGGCAGAAAGGTGCAGCCAGAAACGAAGAGACATAGAGCCAAACAAAACAAAACAAAACAAAACAAAACAAAACAATAATACTACGGTATATACAATAAAGCAAAGCAATGCATATCCAGACGTACCCAATGTGAAACCAATCGTATTTTTCGTAGTAATTGTCGTAGATGTAACTCCACATCGATCGGACCTTTTGCCAAATATTGTCGTCTGTGGCGTTGGAAAGTCGCATCGGAACGTTACAGAGAAAAGTTAAGCAAGAAGGATGGACAGCACAAACAAAGGAGCGTTAGAGCGAGCGAGAGCAGCAGAATGGTCCGGTAGAGTACCGGTGTCGGTTGCGCATCCTTCGACAAACCTACATTCTTCGGGGCCCTCGTGGGGAATGTTGACGGCTCCGATCGACGGATCGGTCTTGGTGGAACCAACCATGAACCCATCGCACTTTGGTCTGAAGCACGCCAAAAGAAGAGAAAAGAAAAAACCAAAAAAACACAAACAAGACAATGCTTTGTCAGAACCACCAAACCACCCAAAAAACCACGAGTCCATGCACGCATGCCCGAAGGTGCTTTGCGACGATGCCTTTCGCTTACCCCCAGGTCTGCCGGATGCCGGGGATCTTGGGATGCCCCGACTCGATCGTGTACACGAGGCAGAAAATCTTGTCCCGCCGTTCGTCTTCCTTGTTGTTTGCCTCGGGCTCCACCACGATCCGCCCGTGCATCATCGCGTAGTTGTCGTCCCGCTCCGCGCAGCCGGCCGTCAATCCCGGATAGTCGAGGGCCGGGGGGTTCCTCCGGAGGGCCGTCTCGTCGTGGACGTACCCAGGGACGCCGTCCGCATCGAGGGCGGGCATGTGGGGGTGTTCCCTGTGGCCGTTGGAAACGTCGACGTAGGCCAGGTCCACCTGCCTGGGCAACCGGACGATCTCGAGGTTGGCCGGCCGGAGGGGGACGGTGGGCTTCCTTCGGTTGGGGTCCACCACCTCCTCCTCCGTTTCCCGGTGCTTTCCCGCCTCGTTCTCCACCGGGGCGTCCGTTCCCGCGTCTTCGTCTTCCTGGTCTTCTCCCTCTTCTTCTTGGCCTTCCTCCTCTCCCTGGTCTTCTTCTTCTTCTTCTCCACCGTCGTCCCCGCCACCGTCGTCCCCGACGGCTCCCTCGTCCGGCTTGGGGACGAGGTCGGCGTCCCCGACGACCTTTTCGAAGTACCAGTCCATGGTCCGGCACTTCTTGTAGAGATCCCCGGGGCTCTCTCCGTTCCACCGGCGGCTCAAGGTGACCTCCTTGTCCCAGTCCGGCCGGGTCACCCGGTACTGGTCGTCGTCCTCGACCGCCGCCGAGTAGGCCCCGAAGAAGCGGTCCAGGACCTCCTCGGCCATCCAGGCCGAGGCGATCCTCGCGACGGGTCCGGTGGCCAGGGGGGACTGCGGGAAGAGGATCCCCCCCGGTGGGGGCGCCACCTCGACGTCCTCCAGGATGTCGATCCCGTCGGCGCAGAGCCAGAGGCCGAGGGAGAGCTCGAGGTTGGCCACCCACGGGTCGGCCGCCGGATCGGAAAGGAGGGGGGGAAGGACCTCCGGCTTGGGCAGCTGGACAAAGGTGTCGAGCCGCATGGCGACCGCGGCCCCGTTCAGGACCGGCGTGGGGACGCTGTTCCCGTTGGAGAGGTTCATGTCGGCCGCGGGGGCGTCCTCGACCGAGGGCAGCAGGCGGGCGTCGAGGGAGGTCCGCTTGCCGATGCCCTCGACGCGGAAGGAAATCGCGTTGGCGAGCTTGGTGGAAAGGCTCTGGTCCCGGAGGCCCAGCAGCGGGGGCGCCACCACCAGGGCGGGGGTGACCTTTTCCAGCCAGGTGTGGTGGTGGAAGCGGGTCCCGGCCTGGACCAGGACGAGGATGAGGTCCTCGTTGGGGTTCTTGAAGCCCGCGGACTCGTGGGTCTGGGCCAGGACCTGGACGAACTCGGCCGCGTCGGACCGGGAGGCCGCCAGGCCCTTGCGCTCCTTCTCGTGGTTGAAGAGGACGTGGGTCTTGCGGGGGTGGAGGTCGTTTTCTTCGTCGTCGTCGTCGTCGCCGTCGTCGTCGCCGTCGGCGTGCGTGTCTTTCTTGCGGGTTCCGCGCTTGCCGCCTGCGGTGCGGCAGACGACAATAGGTGGGGGGTGGGGGTGCGCCGAGAAAAAAAATCGAAACGAAAAAAAAAGGGTGAGCGACACCAAACAAACAAAAGAATGTCGTGATGGATGCCATGCCATGCCATTCACAACGCCAGCGCTGCTTGTGCTGGCTGCTTGTGCTTTCTCGACCTACCGCCCTTCTCGATCTTCCGGAGCTTCCTGACCAGCGCCGCGTGGTCCTTCTTGCGGTCCGTTGCCGTCCCCGAGCTGCTGTCCATCCGGTGGGAGGACCCGTCCAGGACCGCGCAGACGACAAAGATCCGCCGGGGGTCTGTTTTGGCAAAGACCGACTCGACGCTCTCGGCGATGGAGGAAACGGTGTCCCCCACCACCACAAAGGCCACCCGGGGGTGGGTCGGCCCGTATCCCACCACGTCAACCCGATCCAGGGCGGCCCTCCAGTCGAACCGGGGGGCCCTGGCGCCGAGCCCGCGGTCCCCTCTGCTTTTTTCGGTTTCGCCCCCGATCGCCACCATTCCGGGGGACTTTTCCGACAGGATCGCCCGGGAGGACAGGGCCGGGGGGTCCTTCCTTCCTCCGCCGGAGGACGCCGCAAAGAGGGCCAGGACGGCGAGGGGCCAGAGGCAGGCCAGGACCAGCAGGACCCGCGGGTTCTTGATCCACTCGGCCGGGTCCATCCCGGGGGCCACCACTCCTTTTCCGGAGCCCGCCTTTTGGTACTTGCTGCGGCTCCCGCTGCGGGGCTTGCGGCCTGTTCTCGGTTTCGTGCCCTTGGTTCGCCGATCCTTGCCCGCCTGCCCGGCGGCGTCGTCGGTGGCCCCGCCCATGGGGAGGGAGGAGGAGGACGACGACGGGGGACGGCCCGTGTCGATGCCGCTGCTTCTGCTGCCGGCCATTTTGTTTTGCCGAAAAAGCCTTGCTTGCCGTGGATTTAAATTGCTCTGCTCTTCGTTGCTTGCTTGGGTGGTTTCGTTTTGTTTGGGTTGTTCTGGCGGCGAGGGACAAACCAGAGACCGGACTAGCCAGAGAAACACACAATGCCTTCTGTGTTCAAATAGGACGGGATCGAAAAAAAGGACTTTTGTTTTTCAACGTTTGTTGATCGCAGCGATGCGATGCCTTTTGCCTTCCGTACCGGTATGAATCGTACGGTACGGTACGACTCGTACGGCGCATTTCGAGAGGCATTGATTGATCTATTTTTGTTTTGCGGCATGACCGTTCCAAAAGTATGGATCCGGGACTCGTATGGTGCGACAGCTGGTTTGTGACCGCACTGTATCCATCATACCTAGTCTTTGTACGCGACATACCCACATATACGAGTAGACAACAGAACGGATACCAGTACTCGTAGTCGAGCCTACCGTATTCAACACGACTACAAGTACTACGTAGTCTGTTGGGAAAAGACGAAAACTACTAGAAAAAACGATGCATCCTACACTAAATCACACGTTCGCGGACGAACCGATCGATCGATCGATGGTGCGGCCCGCAACGCCAAACCAACCACCCGTGGTTGCTCAAGACCCCGCACAGCGTGCTCCGATTCGAACCGACCGTTCCGTTGTCGGGTTTGTGTGGATTGTCGATCCGTGCCGGGCTCACACGGAGGTGATGCGCGGGGAGGACCGCCGCTGGCGGGAGGACTTGCCCGAGTTCACCGAGTGGGCGTCGCCTCCCGCCCCGCCCCTAACATCGGATTCCTTGTTGATCAGGCCCTGCTCCTTTAGGAACTTGAGCTGGTGGGCCCGCTGGATCGCCTGTCGATCGGCGAGGCTCAGGCTCACGTTCTGAAAAGCAAACAGAGAAACAAACAAAGCGATAGAGGAAAGTGCATCGGTGTGTCAGCGGCACGCAACACAAAAGAACACAAAACAAAAAACCGAAACACAACACAACACAACGCAACGCAACGAAACGACTCACCGCCGAGCCCACAGAGGCCTGGTCGGGCATCTTCTTTTCGTCGGAATGGGACGGGTCGTAGCGTTCCCTCGGGGTCACGTCCGTCCCGGCGGCCGAGCTCGCGTACCGGCCGTCGTCGTCGTACGACGACCCCTCGCTCCCGCTAGAGCTATCGTCGTCGTCGCTGGGAATTCCCAGCACCGAGTTGTCGACGGCCTCCTCGAGGCGCCTCCCGAACCTGGAAAAGAACCCGCTGGAATTCTGGGAATTCACCGACGGAGAATCCCTCGGTTTGTGCTTGTTGTTTCGGAGGGGGGTCTGGTTGGGCCGGACCCGGACGGGCGTCGACTGCCGGTCGGCTTCCAGCCTGGCCCTCTGGGCTACCGACAGCTTATTTTCGCCCTCCTGCCGGGACCTCTCCGATCCCGATTTCCGGTTGCTCCGGGGGACCTCGTTGCCGGAAGGTGCCCCCTGGTCCAGGGCGAAGCGCTCCCGGGACACGTCCCGTCGCCCCCGGCGGGCGCCCTTCCCGCTGCTGCTGGGAGGCCGGTGGGAGGAACCCCTCGAGCCAGAGGCGATCGTGTCCAGCTTGGACGACGAGTTTGCAGGACCGGCGGAATTCGATTGGTCGGATTCCTCGGCGATTCCGATAATGGCGGGGGGCCCGGCCATGCGGGGAGACCCGGTCATGGCGGCCCGCAGCTGGGGATTCGAGCTGTAGAGCAGCATGGCTGCATCGAATTGTTTCTGGGTTCGCTCTTCCGTCAGTTCCGACATGTGGGACTTGGCATCGTCCTCCGTGGCGCGCCGGCTGCTACGCCCGCGGCGGTTCCCCATGAGGTGGTTGCCGGGAATGTTTTCCTCGTCGTCGTCGTCTTCGTCTTCTCCGTCACCGAGCAGGGACCGATCGTTGTAATTGCCGGGGGAGGCCACCTGCTGCTGCTTGGCGATGCTGCCGCTCACGCTGCCACCGGTTCGAACCACGATCGGTGGCGAGGACGGATTCAGCGATCCAAACTGGCTTCCCCCGTACACGGAACCGCCGCCGTAGACGCTTCCTGCCTGGGACATCATTTCCATCATGTTCTGCTGGACCTTGACCTGCGACTCGATCTTGTCCACGTAGCGCTCCAGGAGCTTGGATTTCTGGCGCTCCTGTTCCACCTTGAGCTTGTTGGAAGACTCTCGGTGCCGGTACATGTCGAGCTCGCTGTTGCTCTCCTCCAGTTTCTTCCTCAGCTCAATGACCTCCTTCTTTAGGATCTTCTTGTGCGACTGTAGGGAACCCAGCTTGGTCCTGGTCGACGACTGGTGCATGGTCATCTCCATCCTCTGGGACGCAAGGTCCTTCTGGACGTCCTGACATTCCTTTTGGGACTGAACGAGTTTCTGCGAGAGCGTCTCCATCTGAGACCGAACCGATGCCAGCTTCTGGTTGTGTTCTTTCTTCAGTGCCTCGATCCGGGCCTCCAGCTCCTTGACCTTCGTCGTGTCGACGTCCTGCTTGGATACCAGCTTCTCCTCCAGGTTGGAGATTTTCTGGCCGCTGTCGCTGCAGGCTTCTTCCAGCACCCGGGTGTAGTCTCCCAGGAGCTGGACCGCCGGCAGGATCCCAAGGTCCTGGGCCCGGATGGTCTCCAGGTCCGTGCAGTAGGCCTTCTTGGTTTGCCGCGTGGAGTTGCTGATGCTGGCGTTTTCGGAGGACATGATCTCGCCGACCAGCCGAAGCGAGTTCCGGCGGGTGTCCTCCATCTGGCTCCGCACCCGGTAGAGCTCGTCCTGCTGGTTCTCCGCCTGTCTCTGGGCCTGGTCCAGTTCCGTGTGCAGGATCTGCAGCTGCTGCGAAAAGCCGTCGCAGACCTGCTTGTAGGCCTCACGCTCGTCCACCAGGGAGGAATGGCGCTGGTTGAGGAGCGCCTTGGTCCATTCCTCGCCCTCCAGATCCGTGTTGGCACAAAAGTAGAAGCTCCTCAGGTCGGGATTGACCGTCTCGTCCCCCGCCAGTTCCATGACCAGCTCGTTCTGGGACGACCGGTGGATGGTGGTGTAGCATTCCATGTCGATGATCCCCGCCGGCTGTACGGTGCTCGAACTGCCCGCGCTGCTGGCCGCCGCTCCCGCAACCGGGGTAGCGATGGCATTTCCGTCGTCGGGTTGCTGCTCTGCGGCCTCGCCGTCCTCGTTGCCCCCGCCCCCCGAGACGCCTCCCCCCCCGGCGGCCGCCGCACCGAGCACGTTGTAGAGAGAGGACCGCGGCTGGGACTGCCCCCGTTTTCCAAAGCCCTCCCGGACGATTTTGTTGAGTTGTTCCTGCTGCTTGGAAGTGAGCTGGGGCGTCTGGCAGGGATTCGTCGGGTGCTGGTCGAAGTAGTACAGAAAGGTGTGCGGGACCACGCAGCAATACCGGGCCTGCCAGATGTGCTGCTCGTTGCGCTTGAAGAGCCACCCACTCTTGTTGGCGAGCATCCCCAGGACGGCCGGGGTCCGGGGAGGCGCCGATTTGATGGTGCACGTCGTGTTCAGATTGGAGAACCAGAGGCTTTTCGTCAGGCTCGTGCGCTCCAGGAACCCGCGCTTGGCGTCCTCGCTGGCCTGGCTGATCTGGGCCGAGAGGCCCTGCTTGGCGGCCATCTTATTCCGTGGTTGTTTTTATTGCGCGTTCGCTGCGGATGTGCAAGAAGGCAGCGCTAGAGAGCCAGGTCCAGGCAGACAGCGCTAGAGGCAAATGGATTGGATCCCTTTCTCTGGGTTGGATTTTGGATCGAATCAAATCGATGCCCCAACGATCAAAAGCAATAGGCAAATGCAACAACGTCGATGCACTTGCTCTTTTGGTCAGGTCGTAAGCTCTTTGGATGTTGCAACGAACCAACACCGACTCGTCTCTTGTGTTGTAGACTACGAACACGAACCGTATGGGAGTGTAGAATACGTAGTGCTTGTACTCTTAGCTCCTGTGCTACTACTACTTTCTGTACAAGACTCGTGTAGACTCTCGAGATTTCGGGTACCGTAAGTAAGGCACTGCTATCTGTTACCCGCTAAGTAACCGAATGATACAATCACCCGTGCCGTAGTTTTTTCTAGAGATTCTTCAGATCACAGAAACCGTTTGTCGTAGCGCCTCATTTTTTCCGGGGAGCAACAGCTAGAAAAACAACGGAATTTCCAATCTTTTAGGAACGGTTAGTTTCCGATGAAAGCGTGGCAGGCGCTATCCTAATCACGAATGAATGAAACTAGAGTGCCGTACACGAAGTACTAGAGTACGGAACTCGTGTTCAGTAAAGTACGATATTGCACATTTGAACAATGGCAATCTCTCGTACAGACATACGTACAGATTTTTACGATACCCGTACAAAATGTATCCATAATCATTCTACTCCGAGCGCGTGCGAGCCGGTCGACCCGGTGAAAACTACTTCTTATTCTACTCCAGAACCGCAAGGAGTCGTACCTATATGTACGTAGTACTAAGAGTAGCAACATAGGGTGAGGAAGTCGATCGGATTGTGACGGCTACCGTACGGGAACCACGTGGATAAGTGCGTACGTACTTTCGGATACCACAACAACCTGCTTCCTCTGAAACTTTCGCCCGCTCGTCGCGTCGCGAGACGTTAAAATTCAAAAAGACCTTACCGTACTGTTCGTACGGTACGTACATGCGGACCTTCTTTTCAAATTTACGGCAGTGGATGGAAGTGTTCGCCCGGTTCTCCCTCCCTAACACCGAAGCCACAGCGCACGTTCAATATTACTAGTACAACTCTGCGAGACCCCATCAAAAACTTCCTTCGCGATTTCGAGTGTGTTCGGCATCTGTCTTTGGTACTGGTACGAGTACTCGTACTCGTCTTACGGTACGTACAATAGGAACGAACAAGAATCTTTTCGATGGTTTCCCGTCTCTCTCTCTCCCTGCTCGAGACCATTCCGAAAGCATTGTTGGTCTGTTCCCTTTAGCGACCAGCACCAGACAAACTTTTTGGCGGCATTGCAACATCAGACAATACAACCATTAAATACCGCAGTACAATAAAATGAGTGCAACGACAGATCCCTGCGTTGCCGTGAATGGGGCGGGCCTTGCCTACCGCGAGTTCAGCTGTGACTATCCCATGCTGGAACCCTTTTATTTCGAGTGAGTGGCTGGAACGAAACCAAACCGAACCGAACCGAACTTATGAATCCATTGCCATCGGAACGAATCGATAATCTTGGAGCTGGATCGGCCAGGGATGTGTGATTTCCCGGAGCGTACCGTGCAATGCGATGGAACGAACCGTTGTTCCAAAAAAAAAAGTCATAGACCACCGATATTTCGATTTCTTGTTTTGTTCTCTGATCGAACGGACCCATTTTCTTTTCGCTTTGCTATTCGTTGCTTTGCGTTGTGTTGTCCGATGCCATGCGACGCGATGCAACACGACACGATGGCCCGTCTCCCACACCGATTGCCGCCAGATTCGAAAAGAAGTACGATCCCGTCCCCATGTTGGAATGGATGCGGGACCACCCGATCGTTCCGATCGTGGTCGTGACGGCCTACGCGGTCCTCATTTTCGGCGGCCAGCACGCCATGCGAAACAAGCCGGCCTGGAACTGGAGAAAGGCCATGGCCCTGTGGAACCTGACTCTCAGCGTCTTTTCGTGGGTGGGGATGTTTCGGACGCTGCCGCAGCTGGTGCACAACCTGTATTACACGAGCCTGAGGGACAACCTCTGCCTGGACCGTGAGTAGAGCCATTGAATTGCACTGCTGCGCTGCGCTGCCTGGCTGAGTGTTTGCAGCAACGGTCGATGCATTGTTTGTCGTTTCTGAACCCCCTTTCTTTTGTTCTTGCATCGGGTCTCGCCAACAAAACACAGCAAGAGTAACATATGGATCTGGATCTTCGGGGCTTTGGGTCCAGCTGTTTGTTCTCAGCAAGTTTCCGTAAGTTCCAGATTTTGGTATTGTTGTCAAAATCCAGTCGCAGCAAATGATGCGAAAAAGAAAACGAAGACGTAACCCACTATTATTCTGACCGCTCTCACTTTGTTTCTCTGCTCACGAAACGAAATCAAAATTTTGTGCATTTCCGGTGATGATGGAATGAATTTGTTTTAATTGCATTTGATTGAATCGGAACAACCATGGATGATTGGACACTGAATGCACGATCCGTGATCCCAAACAAAATGAACGCGACAATATACCCTGCAATGTCCAATTTTGCCATTACGCTGTGGTGTGCTGCCATGACCAAATCACACACTCTCGCAAACAACGAAAATCAATATTTAGTGAACTGGTCGACACCTTCTTTATTGTGATTCACAAAAAGCCCCTCATATTTTTGCACTGGTATCACCACATCACGGTTCTACTCTACTGCTACCATTCCTACGTGACAACCTCTCCGCCAGGTATTTTCTTTGTCGTCATGAACTACAGTGTCCATGCAACCATGTACGGGTACTACTTTTTGATGGCGGTGAAGATGCGCCCCAAGTGGTTCAATCCCATCTGGATCACGATTTTCCAGATATCCCAAATGATCGTCGGCGTAGCGGTGACCCTGGCCGGATTTTATTTCTACAAAACCGACCCAACGTGCAAGATCGAAAAGGAAAACAACACGGCCGCCTTTGTCATGTACGGGAGCTACCTCTTTTTGTTTCTGCAGTTCTTCTTCGGGAGATACTTTAACAAGAAAAAGGGCAAGAACTCCGTGTCGGCAACAAAAACGAAACAAAAGTCGCTGTAGAGTACGTGCTGTCGCGAACAGAAAAGGACGGAACAGATCAGTGGAAGAGAACTCTGTTGGAACAGCTCATGCTCCGACGGCTCTTAAAAGATGCGACGATCATCTAGTGGATGGAGAAGGATTCTTCATTCTTGGCAGCATCGCACAAAATATCATTATTTTAAATCTACCTGGGACACATGCCGGCTTGGTGATGACTAGATTGTTACTAGAATTGTTGCTAGCGAAGCGTTTCTCCGCCCATTCTTTTTTGAATCATGAAAGTTTGATGCTGCTTGTTTCTTTCGAACAAACCGATGATTGGCTTGGCGACAACAATAGGACAATGCAACACGTAATTTTGTTACTGTCGACGATTTGAGGTTGTCACCTTGTGGCAACATTTCATTCGTCATTCAACTATTGTTAGTAACTGTTGTTTATAATTGAACGTATTTTTCTCGTTCGGGATAACTGATTTGTAGTGTTATGCTGTAAAATTATAGCGTGTGGGATGTTGTAGAAGTTGTTCGACAGCGAATGAATTTGTTTTACTTTACGGGCGACTGCAACAATAGCGGTCGATGAAGGGTTCCAACCCGCGCTCCCTCGGTTTCGTGTTGTTCATTCGTTTGGCTTGGTCTGCGCGCTGGTTTGTTAGTCCTTCTTGGTGGCCTTCGTCTTTCCCCCCTTGCCCGAGTACCGCTTGAAAAAGAACTGCAGGAACAACATCAGGTAGCTCCCGTACATGATCAGGGCCGCGGCGTTGTTTTCTTTCTTGATGTGGCACTCGTTGCCGGTGGAGCTGGTGTAGAGCGGGGGAACGACAAAGCCCAGGATGGTGACGATGACCCCCACGACCATCTGCGAGATCTGCGAGACGGTGATGTACATGCTGTTGAACCACTTGGGCTTGCGCTTGACGGCCATCAAAAAGTAGTAGAAATACATAATGGCGTGCACCGCGTAGTTCATGACGCAAAAGACGATCCCGGGGGGCGCCTTAGTGACGTAGGAGTGCCAGCAGTAGGCCAGGACGGAGATGTGGTGGTACCAGTGCAGCAGGATGAGCGGCTTTTTGTGGATGACGATGAAGAAGGTGTCGATCAATTCACTGTCGGCAAAGCAAGAAGTTGTGTTTTTGTTGCATTGGTGGTAGTGGTGATTCATACATGCATTCGTTCATTGAAACGTTTGTTCGTGTGTTTTGTTTGTCGGTTGGAAAACAAGAGGAATGGAACAAAGTCAGATATCAGTCATGGGTGTCAACTACCATCGCGGACACAAAGCGTCTCTTTTGGTAACGAGCAATCGGTCACCTCCGAGAGATGACGACTACCAATGGATTGCAACTATCGAAAGCGACCAACTCAATACCGAATCCATCCCGATACGGATTCACTCCAGTCCAACTTACGGAAACTTGCTCAACACAAAGAGCTGGACCCAGGTTCCCACCATCCGGTCCGACCCGTACATCTGCTCGGGATCGAAGCAGACGTTTTCCGAGAGCGAGTAGTGGTAGAGGTTGTGGATCAGCTGCGGGGCGACCCGACAGAAACCGATCAGCGAAAAGACCGAGAGGCCCAGGTTCCAGAGGGCGAGGGCGGTCCTCCAGCTCCAGGCCTCCCGGGTGCTAAAGTAGGTTCGGCCGACCCCGATCATGATCCCGTACATGGCAATGGCCAGGACCGGAACCCAGGGGTTTTCCGTCATGCTGTCGCGGACGTTGATGGGGTTGTAGCCCTTTTCGATGCTCGTATAGGTCAGGCCGATGGTGTTCTCGTAAAGGCAGGGGAGCGACTCGTAGGCGACCCCCGCGGAGTTGTGCATCAGGCACCTCTCGGTCTTGTCGATCGGATACCAGGTCATGTTTGAAAATTGCGCGTGCAGACCTCGGGAAGGGGGTATGTGCAATGACTTTGCGAGTGGTCTTGKGTGCTATAACGACGTTGGTGTGTGAGCCAGTCGAAAGTTGGTTGTTCTATCTCCGCACCGACTCGTAGTGCAGTACCGAAGATCGATCGAGGGTGGAGTGAACTCTTGGTCGTTCGACGGGTGCTGATAAAAAACATAAATCTCTGGTTTTACGGTACATCGGGAGAAGAGGGTTGCTTCCCAATTTTCAACCCGTACTACCCCTGCCATGCTACGACGCATACCTCACATTTTCGTCCTAGTACTGAATGTACCGATCAATAGCCGGGTACATGTTCACCTGTGGTCATTGGAATTTCAAAAATCCTCCTCTTCGTTTCGATTCAAATTTTTCATCGATATATTTTTCTTGGCAATGCAGTTCGTACCGTGAACTGTAATCTGTTCGACGTGGATTGTAGCGAATCTCGTTCGCCACGAGACAAGTCACGAGTCGAACCAAAAACATTCAGTCCCGTACCGATATCTTCGGGCTTCTAGATACGCTTTTGTAATCATTATTTAGGTTGGGGTTAGGCGAGACAAGTTGAAGTCTGACGCGTGTAAACGGCAGGATTTTCCGTGAAACGAATTTTGATCATCATCGTCGATGGAAATCCGAGTCCAACCCGCCGTTCCACCCCCGTTCCTCGGTTCAAGGGAACGGAACGCAATCTGCCCCATGGGATATCAATCCATCTGCTATTACTGCAATCCAATACGTTGTACGGGTGGTACTACGAAAGCAACATGATGAAAACCGGAGTTGTCCTGGCGCTAGCCGGTACCTGGTGCCTCGGCGCCCTATCGACGGTGGGAGCCTTCTCGCTGTCCATGTCGTCGGCGTCGGTCGGGGAAGGAAAAACCGCCATCATCGCGGGCGCCACCGGATACATCGGAAAGTCGGTGGTCCGGGAGAGCGTCCGGCAGGGGTACAAGACGATTGCCCTGGTGCGCGACTCGGAAAAGGTGAACAACAAGCAGGGGCAGGCACTGTACGGGCAGTTCTTCGAGGGCGCCGAGGTGATCGAGTGCGACGTCTGCGATCCGGCGGCTCTGACCAAGGTGCGTTGCGTGCTCAAGCCGAGCCAAAAAAAACTTCTGCAGGGAAGGAAAGGACCGAGCAAAGCCGAGCGTTTTCGTTTGCGTTTGCTATGGAGTCTGCTTTCTGATGTGTACTCAACAGAATGTTTTCGTTTCGTGATCGATCGATGCATCGGACTCGGTGGGCTCGGTTGCATTCCTTCCTTTGTGCTTCTTTCTGCGATCCGGTGCGTTTCCAACCGATGCAAAATGGCTCGACTTTTGTTTGTGGATCCCAGACCATGGAAAAGATCAAGGCCGACGGCGGTGACATCGAAGCCGTCATTTCCTGCCTCGCGTCCCGGTCCGGAATCAAGAAGGACGCCTACGCCATCGACTACCAGGCCACCAAGAACTGCCTGGACTCCGGGATCGCCACCGGGGCCCGCCACTTTGTCTTGCTGTCGGCCTTTTGCTGCAAGAACCCCTGGCTGCAGTTCCAGCAGGCCAAGCTCAAGTTCGAGGCCGACCTGGTGGCCGCCCAGGACAAGATCACCCACACCATCGTCCGACCGACGGCCTTTTTCAAGTCCGTGTCGGGGCAGCTGGAGGTCGTCCAGCAGGGAGCACCCTTTGTCATGTTTGGGGACGGAAAGGTCACCCGGTGCAACCCCATCGCCGAGGCGGACCTCGCGACCTACCTGGTGGACAGCATCACGGACGAATCGCGACTGAACAGGAACATCGACCTCGGTGGGCCCGACGAGCCACTGACCATGCTGAAGCAGGGAGAAGTACGTACCAGGAACCTGTTGCGTGGCGATCGGGTTTAGTCTTGCTTTGTTGGATCGGAATGGCGTCCATACCTAGATGCCGCGATGTTTGTTTCCGGTGGATTGTTGTGTATTCTTCTTCTCACCCCTCCTTTCCTCGCTTTGGATCGTGTTGTTTCCCGTGCCGATGCTGCGACTCCTGTTGCTGATCCGGCTGCGGCCGCCACCAGATGCTCTTTGACGCCGTCGGAAAGGAAACCAACTTTTTCTTTGCTCCCCTCTGGTTGTTCGACGTGATCATCGACAGCCTCCAGTGGGTCTCGGACACCTTCAACAGCGAAAAGTTCGAGAACGCCGCCGAGCTCGGGCGCATCGGAAAGTACTACGCGGTCGAGGACATGCTCACGACCGACCCGGACGAAAAGTTCGGAACCATCACCCTCCAGGAGCACTACGACCGCATCGCCGTCGAGGGCCAGGAGTACGATCCCTACACGACCATGTTTGCCAAGGCTCCCGAATAAACCGTAGATGACTAGAGTAAGAGGTACCTGTAACTATTACTTCGTAGTATGAAACATTATTATGACGCAAACGCGCCTGTAGTAGAAAGACTTCTCGTTGGTTTTCGAACCGATGGTGTGGCAAGGTGTTCTCCGGAATCTAGTGACATTCCCGGCACGATGCATATATGTACCGGAAAAACATCGGCGCAACACGACATGGATGGAAGAAGTTGATAGGATTGAGAGGCATCGACAGGTCGAGAACCACTCGGTTTGCACTCTTTGGTGTAAATCTGATGCGATGGCTCTTTTTCCGTTGGATTCCGAGCCGTCACTTTCGTTTTGTTTTGTTTCCGAGGCGCCCTCACAAATCCCGGCGGCCCTTGTCGCGTTTCTTTCCAAAGACCACCAGGATCAGCCCCGTCGATGCCGCAAAAAAGGCGCAGGCCAGCAGGTGCTGCTTCACGTCGTGGTGCCCCCTTTCGCCCGCGACACGGCTCCCCGGGGTTGGGTGGGTTTCGGGAACAACAACGACGTCGTCGTCGCCGGTGTCGCCCTCGTCCGGGAGCTCGTCGTCGTTGACGGAATCCGGCAGCATCTCCGGGAGGTCGTCGTCGGTTCCCCCGTCGTCGATGCCGTAATCGACGGCGGGGTGCTGGTCGCGTCGCCCCCGGTTCGTGTGGTCGGTGAGCCTGTGCTTCCCCTTCGTCGTTTCGTCGGTTTGCTCCGATGGGACGAGGTTGAGGGTCTGTTCCTTGAGTTTTTGCGGCATGGTTTTGGGTTTGGCGTCGCCGTTGGCGTTCTGGTCGGCATTGCTTCCGGACGCGGGCAGGATTTCCAGTCCCAGGTCTTTTTTCTTGCCACCCTTGTCGGACTCCAGCAATCCGTCCGGTACGTTCCCGGGCTTTTCCAGCATGTTTTTCCTCTTTCGTTTCAGTTTGGAGCGCTGCTTTTTCGTCGTCGCCGTATCCGTTGTTGCTTCCGCTGCTTTCTTGGGCTTTGCGCCTGCATCGTTGTCGGCCTCGTGTTCGTCGTTGTGCTTGTTGCCATCGCCGCCCGGGTCTCCCAGCAGTTTTTCCAGTTTTTCCTTCTCCTGGTCCCTCAGGAGTTTCTCCTGGCCGCTGTTGCGGAATTCTTCCTCCTTGAGTTCTTCTTCCATCCCCTCGATGTCCTCCTCGATTTCCTCGACGGCCTCCTCGAGCTGCGCGATCTGCTCCTCCCGGTCGCCCTCTGTCGACGCGGACGCTTCCCCCGGTTCCAGGACCAGGTCCGGGACCAGCCTCACGGCCGAGTGGCCGGTCGCCCAGCCGGCCCATACCCGGAGCCGGGCGGTCGGGTCGTTGATCCGGAGCACCACCACCCCGTCGTCGTCCATGTGCCGCGCCGAGAGGCGCCGGTGGTGCTCGCAGCCGATCGACCCGCCCGCCACGAATTCCGCGGGAGGCGGCGCTTGCGTCTCTTCGTCGCCGGCGCCGATCCGCTCGACCTCCGCGACGAACTGCAGGTCGTCGTTGAACTCGCTGGTCGGGTAGGGGATCAAAAAGGCGATCCGTATCGTGGTGGTCGCCGACGACGCGTCGTAGGAGTAGGGGCTTTCCAGGTGCCGGTCCTTGCTGTCCAGCACCACGAGGTGCATCTTGGGAAAGTCCGATTCCTCGGGCGGCCGGACCTCGTTGTTCATGATGACCTCTTCCGTGGACAGGTCCGTCATGCAGCCGATGTTCGTCTCGACGAGGTTGTTGGCAAAGGCGTCGACCATTGTGATTTGCGACAAGGGTGTACAGCACGAGAGCACTGCGAATGCCGCTGCCAGCACCATCGCCGCGCCGGACAAAGACTCTCGGAGCCTTGCGTTGGCATGCTGCAGGTAGCTCCGCCGCCGGCGTGGTCGACGGCGGCAACCCTTCTCGCTTTTGCTCCGAGACATTCTTCTACCACAATTCTTCCTCGCTAACATCCTCGTCGTGGTGGTTAGTCCGCTGGGAAGCGTCAATCTTCGACAATCAGTGATCCGGTTAACATGTACTGTTACACCTGGGGCTTCGTCTCGTTAGTTTTGTTCCGTTGTTTGAAAACACTTTGGGTCACTGTTTTCGCTAGTACGAGTACCAATAGTACGTACGAGTTACGTACATCACATACAGTGCTTTTACCGACCGTTAACAAACTTATGAACCAACCGAGCACCATTTTAGAGTTGTTGTACGTATGATTCATATTCTAGTAGGATACCTTACCAATACCATCAGGTATCAAGTCGAACTTGGGAATCGGCATTTTCTCTTCGAAAACCTCAATCCAAAATTCGAACACATGGAATCTGTCCGTATGAGTGCCGTACCATAGTTACTCATACACACCGGTTTCACAATATCTTCTATCCTCCTGTACTAGAAGTATTACAAAGTGCTACGAGTATCATTCCTGTTGCAAGGAATTCTTTGTTCGCAATCAAATGCTGCAACACGTTCCCTCGTCAAGGATTGCGTTACACCGTAGGTGCATCGGATGTGTGCTGTTCCAGCCGAAGCATTGCGACCAAAAATAGAAGAGGCGATGCAGTGCAACGCGAGCAGAGGAAGGCAAACAAGGATCCAGTGCCATCCGACATCGGTTGCGACCGCCACGACACACGATCGTGCGTGACCAAGGATGGGCGACCATCCTTGCGAAATCCGAATGCCCCTCGGGCGTGCGTCGTCTGCGTCGAGCAAGAGAACCCCGGGCACTGTGCCTCCCGGGGATCTCCGTGCGCGAACCCACCGAGGCGGTGCCCGGTCGAGCGGAACCTCCCGCCGGCGCGCTGCGCTGCGCTGCACTGCTGTTGGTGGTGGTGGCCCCGGTCTGCCGGCGGTTTCCCTCGCATCGGTCGGATCGAGGGAAAACGGCTTGGATCTTGGCAAGGACCGGCCGCTCCGGGTTTCGGTGCACCCATGGGGTAAGCGAGAGACTGCAATGGGTCGAAGCAGCGATCGCAATGCGGCTTGCTGCGCTGCGTCCGCTCGTGGCCCGCCCGCGCTCGGTTCCATCTACGGTGTCCGTGTTCGCACCCGCGTGCACGACAAAGATCCTGGTGGTGTCCGGGGGCGGCGAGATCCCGTCCGAGCCAACCCCCGTGTGTGCGGCTCGGGACGCTCCGGCAGAAACGAACGCGTCCTGGTGGCTGTTGAAAGGGGGGGGGGGGAGAGGCAAACCGAAACTCCCACGGTGCTGCTGCTAAAACAGGACGGCACGGCAACCGCAGCTACGGTCGAACGGGACGGACGGACCGGTTTCCACCGCTAGTGGAGGCCGCGTTGGAACGGGCCCTCGTGGGACGCCCCGTCCCGGGCGTTCTCGATGGGATTCGCCCCGCGACCGGCGCCGTGGTTCGAGAAGGCGTTGCGCAAAGCAGAGCACCACCCTGCTGCGTTGGGTTCGGCGGACCGATGGGACGGCAGTAGATGGCAAGGCACCAGAAGTCGCCGGTTGCCGGCTTTTTCTTCGGCGTGTGAGTGTAGGAAAGTACAGCTATTCGTGACGCGAATCGAAACAAGCACGCTTGGAGACGGTGACTCGTAGAAAGGTGTTGTTGTTATCCCGTGCGGTACGGTAGTCCCATGATGGATTTGCTGGAATGAGAAATCTACCCCTCTTGACTGTGTACACAGACTCAACCACAATTCAAATTTATTGTGAACTGTTTTGGTCACAGGTATTGATTGAAAGTAAAACGAGAAAACAAATGAACATTGTTGTCGTCCTTCGTGGATGCATTTACTACATAATTAGAGGGAAAATTTCAAAAAGCAAAATCAATATTCTAGCAGGTCGTTTATTCGTATAATAGGATAAGGATTGTACATGGCAGAGCACTGGAAAGATTCTCGCCGATTTTTCTTTTGCGTCCATCCGGATCGGATCGGTACCTGGTCTTCGGAACTTCGTCACCGTACGAAATCAAAAAGAAAGTGGTAATAATGACAGAAATGCCCCCTCGAGTATTCGTTTGGTTGGTGCGTGGTCTTGTGCTTCGTTCGTGTCGTTCGGCAAGACCCTCGCTGAAACCGCGGCGCAACCGCGTATGTATGTAGTTTTGGTTAGCTTCGTCGCTCTGGTTGCCGCGGCACAACACAATTCTTTGCTTAGTCGTGCCGCTGTTCGCCTCCAATCCACTTAGAACTGGTTGGGGTCGGGAAGGTTGGTGAGTGCGACACCAGCGGCTCCGGCAAAGGCAATGAGGCCGGCACCAGCGATGAGGGCAGACTTCGTCTTTTCCTCGGCGCTGGTCGATTCGACCTCCATCTTGGGTTCGATGGCCCAGACGTTGGACTTTCCGTCCTGGTCGACCGAGACACCACGCTCGATTCCGGAGTCGTTTCCATCCTCACCGATAAAGAGGGGGGAAAGGCGGGCCGATCGCTGGGTGGAGGCGGGGGCTAAGATTACAAAAGATTGGAGACGCGTGTGAGAGAGATCCTTTTGCGCAACGGAACCGATGACACGGCAGAGAGTCGTCGAAACCTACCGAAAGCAGTGGTGGCGCTCAAGGCCTGGGCAAGAAGGACAATGGTGCAAGCGGTCTTCATTTTGGAATAAATATTTGTTGTTGTAGAGTTACGGTTGGGATGTCTTCGTTTTGGTTTTGTGATGGGAGCGACCATCAATCACAGGGTCGAGACGGAAAAACTTTTCGTTGATTGCTGCGTAAAAGCCGTAATTACGTTACCGTCTGACACGACAACAGGATTGTTGGCGATCTCTAGTCTCGTACCGTACCATTTCCGTATGGCATCGTACAGGCATTTGATATTGGCATGTGCATCTGATGATGCTAGCGCAGCTCACAGAACACGACGGACGGGAAAGTCATTCATAGCGTACGGTAACCATCTCAAACGCCACAAAATTGCGCCAATCAACAGTAGTCACAAAACTCCTGGCCATCTCGGCAGACAAGAACAAAAAAGACGGAAGTACGATACGCATGAAATGGTACGAATTGTACAACGCAACAAACAGCATACGGCTTCCTCGACCACGTCAGCGATGACGAAATTGTATTACTACCTACTCTATATATTCTTATGATGTAGTATCCCTATGTATTAGTACCAGGATCTCGGTTCTCGTTCTCGCATTCTCGGCAGGGGGGTCCTGATTCTCGGACGGTTCGTAGTTCGTAGTAGTACGAGCTTGGCACAAACGCGCCTACGCAGCGCAGCTACACCTAGTTTGTATCCCAACATATCTTTCATATGTATGGTAGAGTAGTAACTAATCATCTCCAGTCTCCCGTCAATCTTTTTATGTACATCGTACGATACCGTAGGTACGTACTGTGCCCGCTGTGGGTCCCGCAACGAACCATCCAGGTGCATGCACCAGGCCACTCGACACGTCCAAGCCAAGACTGGGTGGGAATATCGCGTACGAGTACCGTACTGTTCGGTACAGCTCATACTACGTTGCGTACCGGTACGGCAGGAGTATCTTTTGAAAACCTATTCCCATCGCGTTTTCGAAGGGCCACTCTCATCCAGCTCGCGATGCGGGCTTCCATCCAACCCACCCAAAACGCGGGGTGGCCGAGGAAATCCATGATCCTTCCGGTTTCCATATATGGCGGTCCCATCCTTTGTCACTCGGAAATACGTCCAGCGCAGGGTTGGGTTGTCGCTGTTTTTTCACATCGCGGCCGGGTTGTGCCGCCGCCAATATATTCATCACATAATTCGAAAAACGCACAAGAGCCGAAACGCATACCATAGTATATTACTGCTTGTTTGCTCGCTGGTGCCAAACCATCACATAATTCGAAAAACGCACAAGAGCCGAAACGCATACCATAGTATATTATTGTTTGTTTGTTTGCTCGCTGGTGCCAAACCAAACCAAGCCCAAACTAAACTCCAATCCACAATGGCCGACAGGAAGCATCCTGCCCGCAACGACGAGGCCGACGATCCGCCCCCCAGTCGCGGCAGAGGCCTGGACCGGGGACTCAACCAGAGCCTCCGCGTTCTGGACAACCGGTACGTCGATGAAGACGACATCGAGCGGGAATACGACCGCGGACAAAGCGGGTCCAACGGTGTTCGGTACCACCAGAGCGGGGCCGGGTACAATGGCGGCAGCGAGTACAGCAACGGCAATGGGAACGGGAACAACATCCACCACAGCGACCACTACCATTACTACCACAACGATCCCAACGATCCGGAGAACTCCTTCAACAGCAGCGGGTACATTTCAACGATCGACCTGGAGGGTCACCCTTCGGCGTACAACCCCCCGGACCAGGACTGCGAAAGCCGGTCCTTCTACACCAAGAGCGCGATGGACGACGATGGTTCCCAGGGCCTCGACTACGGCGACGGCGAGTACGACTACGAGTACGACGACGAGGACGACGACAACAACGACGATTGGGGTTCGCGGTCTCGATCGCGGTCGCGCCTCTCGGACTCGAGCCACCGCTACAGACACGACGATCCCCGGTTCCGGCTCTTTTCCCTCCTGGACCTCCACTGCCCCTCCACGGCCTACGACGGAGACGCCGGCCACAGCGGCAACGACTGGGAGCCCATCCGCGAGTGGTTCCGGGGGCTCCTCCCCGGGGACGGCGGCACGCCGGGCGGGAGCACCGCCGCCGCCGGTTCCGAGAACGACCGGATCCTCCGCGCCGCCGTCCTGGAGGGCCGGGGCCGGTCCGGCCAGACCGTCCTCCACGTGGCCTGCGAGCGGTCCGTTCCCCCGGACGTCCTCGAGGCGATCCTCTCCGTGGCCGAGCGCGCCGTGGCGGAGGACGAGGACCGGGCCCGCAGGGAGCAGCGCCGGGGCAGCGGGAGCACGGAAGGCGGCAGAAGCAGAAGCACGAACCCGCTCCGGCGCCACCCCGCCACCTGCCCCACCCTCGAGAGCTGGCTCCCCCTCCACTACGCCTGCAACTACCCCAACGACTATGCCGTCGTCCGGAGGCTGGTGGAGGCCTACCCGGCCGCCAAGACCCACGCCGACCTCAAGGGCCGGACCCCCCTCCACTTTGCCATGCGGGAGGAAAACATGAACCGGCCCCAGGTGGTGGCCCTCTTGTCGTCGGCGGCCGGGATTGCCGACGACAACGGGATTCTGGTGAGTGGAAGGGAAGCGAACCGGGAATATCGAGCCGATTCGATTGGATTCGATTCGATTGGATTCGATAGTGTGGTTCCTGCCGCTGCGTTTTTCCTGCCTCCGTTTGTTCGTTCTTTGTTCTCCGTTTTGCTGACTCTCCCCGCATTCGCAATTGTGCCGATTCCGTTCTTCCGTGTCGTCGACCCTCAACCAATCCAATCCAATCCGGTGCAACACAAAACGGCTCTTCCGCCAGCCCCTCCACTACGCCTGCCTGTACGGGGCCACGGAAGACTTTCTGCGCATCCTGACCGATGCCTACCCCCAGGGGGTCGCCGCCAGGGACCGCTTCGACCGGGTCCCCCTCCACTACTCCCTCTCCAACGCCGGGAGGCCCAACGCCCCGGCGGCCGTCCGCCTCCTGCTCGGCCTCGACCCGGGCCTGGTCAACATCCCCGGGATCGCCCGGACGCTCAGCGGGAGCGACGCGGTCCGGAGGTACGCCGACCAGGGCAGCGGCGGGGGCCGCAAGAAGGCCCACGGTGGAAACCGTCCCTCGTCCGAACCGGCGGGGGCGGCCTCCGACGCCTCCGCCTTTTCGAGCGCGTCGGTCGAGGAGTGCCTCCGGCGGTTCCTGGCGGCCAAGCCCCGGCCCACGGCCGATTTCTTTACGGCCCTCCAGTCCCTCCCGGAGGCCCTCCGGGAAAAGGCGGTGCTGATGCGGGAGGTCCAGGAACTCCTCAACCAAAAGATCGGCCAGCGGTTCCCGACGGCGCTGCTGCTGGCGGACCTGTACCTGCAGGTGGTCGTGGTGGTCGTCTATACGATGGCCGTGCGGGACTCCATCGAGGGACGGTTCCGGGGGTACGGCGGCGACGGCGATGGCGATGCCGCGGCCCCCTACGTGGCCCCCTACGTGGCCCCCTGGACCTACCTCGCCGGGCTCTATATAGGCCTGGTCTACTTTTTGGTGCGCGAGATCGTCCAGATCATCGGCCTGGTGTCCCTCAAGGCCTCCTGGATCTGGGTGTACGAACCGGGCACCTGGTTGAACGTGGCATACATCTTTTACATCGGGGTGTGGACCGTCTTCATGACCACCGGGTGGTGCGAGAGGGACGTCTTTCGGACCGGGGCCGCCCTTTCCTTTGCCCTCATCTGGCTCAAGTTTCTCTCCTACCTGAGAAAGATCCTCATCGATTTCTCCGTCTTTTCGGGTGGCGTCTTTCACGTTCTGAGGAGGCTGCTGGCCTTTTTGATGTGCCTGACCATCATCCTCATTGCCTTTTCGAGAATGTTCTTTGCCCTGTTCTACGAGACGGAATATTGCGCCTCCGTGGAAGTTTCGGGCAGTGGCAGCGGAAGCCAGGGGTTTGGTTCCGGTGATCTTTCTCTGTCTGGCAATAGCAGCAGCAGCGATTTCTTTGCCCTTGTCGATGAGGAGGCCTTCACCAGGGACCTGATCTGCGAAGCCAACGACCGGGTCCTTCCCTGGTGCAACTCCTGGGATTCCTTCCTGGCAGTCTATACCATGCTGCTCGGCGAGGTCGACGAAACGGTCTTCGACGACAACCCCACCGCCCTGGCACTCTTCGTGGTCTTTATGCTGCTCGTGGTCATCCTCCTAGCGAACGTCCTGATTGCCATCGTCACGGACTCCTACAAGGTCATCCGGGACAAGCGTGCCGCCATCGTCTTCTGGACAAACCGCCTCGATTTCATTGCCCAGATGGACGCGATCGCCAGCATCCCCTGGAGGAGCCGGTTCCGCCGGATCCTGGGGCTCCGAAAGGAGGCGGGGGAAGAAGGGGTGAACGGAGGGGCTCCGGGTTATGGCGACCAAACCCTTGCGCGGACCCACCGCGGAAGGGGCAGCCTCGGAAAGGACCTGTGGAACGACGTCCTCGAGCTCTTCGACCACGACTCCTGGACCGAGGACGGCCCCTTCTCCCTAGATTTTATCCTCTGCGCTTTCCTGAGGGCGGCCGCTCTGGTCCTAGTACCGCTGTGGATCTTGGCCGGGGCACTGGTGGTCGGCCTTCTCTGGCCGCCGCAGATCCGGGAGAAACTCTTCGTCAGCGCGGTCACCCTGCACAGCTCCGAAACCGAAAAAGAGGAAACCCAGCGCAAGACGCAGATCGAGCGGGTGCGGAGGGAGGTCGGCCTGCTGAGGGAGGACCTGCTACGGGAGTCCGCCCGTCACCGGACCCAGATCATCCAGATGAAGTCGGCGATCGCGGAACGAAAGCTCGAAACCACCAACACCCTGGCGGCCATCAAGAAGAACGTCGTCCTGGCCCTGGAATTGTTCGAGATGGGGCAAGAGGAGTAGAGGCGGGGCCGCGCAGCGCAATGCAACGGAGGAACAAAGTGTCCCGTATCGGCGGGGGAGCAGTACAGCTTGCCCGCGGAACCAAGGGATCGATAGGCCAAACCCAACAGAACCCGTTGCTCCGCATTCCGATTGCTGTTCTTTGTTTCAAGGCTTCGAAAAACGATTTGAATTCTGCATAAATTAATGATGTTCACCCAAAAAACATGCCGTACTAGCCTACCGTATCGCACGGTAACATTTTACGAACCGCTGGATTTCGCGCAAAATTATCCCAAAAATGCTCAGTGAAAACCGTTTTTTTGGTTCGGTTCTTTTGGCTAACCTCCTCTAGTGCCATGCAATATCATGTTGTAGTTAAAGTAGCAGTAGCGTGCATTGAAATAGGTCAAACAATGGTTGAGGAGCTCGGAAACTAGTAGAAGTACAAGTATGGACCATGAAGAAGAGCTTGCCAGTACTTTTGGAATAGTAGCAACAACAAGAGGGGATCATCATGCCTGATCATCCTTCTTTCCTTGTTGGAGTGGCTCAGGCACGGCAGCAGGAGAAAAAATGCAACGGTCAATACAGCATTGCTACACGCTATCGTTCGCTCACAAGCAAACATACCAAAAAGGTAAGAACGAACCAAAAGGGGCGCATTAAGAGAACATCGCAACGAATCTACTGGCGCAGAACTTGAGATTCAGCGCAGGATTCTTTAGCTTTGTGATACAGCCAACTTCCTATCAACATCTGAGTACGAGCCAAAACGTATGAGCAAATATAATGAGGTTGAAATTCTATCATCTACGTTTCGAGTGTTGCAGTTGTCGGGTGTGACAAGGATCAATCAAGAAAAAGATTTTGGAAATTTAGTTAGCGTGGGCCAGTTGTGTGTATGGTAGTTTGATTAGTCCAGTCTAAGTAGTTCATTCCGGTCCGTTCCCGGGAAAGTTCGAATCGATAAGCATTCTCTTCCTCAGGAATTGGTTGTGTGCTGTACTGTATGGGTTTTGGGGGAAGGCTAGGTCCGTGGCGAGAACGCAAACGCTATGGACGCGTGACAAATTGTCCATCGCCGTTCTGTTCCGCTCTGCGGTGCAATACTGTACTCATCGCGCCATTCACCTGTTTAGAAGAGAGCATCTCCGGTGACCCAGTTGTGGTGGATCATGCCACCGATCGCAAGCATAGCCAGGCGTCCGTTCTTCAATTCCTTCAGCTTCATGTCGTTCATCTCGTCCTCGGTCTTTCCGACAGCCAATCCCATAGGGTCGAATCCCAAGTTGCCCGGTTCGCGGTCGGGGTCCGAAAACATGGTCTCCATGGTTACGTTTCCCTTGTTGGTCCAGAATTCGAGGACTCCCATCCAGAAGACAATCTGGAGCATGGCCGAGGCTCCGACAACGGTGGGAGCCATGTTGGAATCATCGACGTGTTCGTAGCCGGGGATGGTCATGAACTGTTGCATGGTGAATCCAACGGTGGCAAGCATAGAGGCACGTCCGTGCTTGATCTCGGCTTCCCGGAGCCACTTCATGTCAAAGGTATCGGAAAATCCGAGGGGGTCGAATCCGACGTCACCGACCCATCCCTTCAGCTTTTGGGGTCGTGTCAGGTAGGGAAGGGATTTCGACATCTCCGCGTTGAGGGCGGTGGATTTCGTTGCGGCATTCTAGGGATTGGATTTTGGTTGGAATGGGTTGCGTTGCGTTGCATGTCGGCGGTGCACAGCGAGAAACACGAGCAGAAGTGCGGGACATCACGAAGAAGGAGAAGAACGAGAGAGCACAACAGATAACAAAGAAAACAGGAGCAGAATCGATCAGAATATTGTTATTGAAATCGAGATTTTGCACGCAAAGTGGGGTGCACTATCCAGTGACTTGGCCAACGATTCGGACCCATCACTTCCGCCAAGGAAGTGCGACCTTGTTCGGCCCGCTATGGAAATAGCATCGTATCGAATCGAATCAAATTGAATCTTTTTCATCAACTACGGTTCTCGTATCATCATCGGCAACCTACCTTCGTAACGAAAGCAGAAGAGGTGCCCAAAAGAGCGGCGAGGACGGCAAAGGACTTCATGGTGATCGGTTTCCGGTGTTTATTTGTAACGAGGGCAACGGCCTAGCACATGGATGCGGGTTGTTGCGTTCGGATACACCAGGCTTCCTGGATGTTGGTGTCTTGGAAGTAGAGCACTACCACGGGAGTTCTTCAACAGTATCGCGTAGAACTTCTACATGACGTAATGCAGCAACAAGCTGCAAGGCATCTTGAAGTCCCGAGCTTCCAGGATCGCGAGCGAGGCATTCCTCTGTCCGAACGATAACAGACGAATGTCTCGTTCTACAATATGTTTCATACTGTATAAACATACAAGGAAGTTTCCCCCGAATGACGAAGACATTAAAGTTCGAGGGAATCTGAAATCACCTTTTTGTTTCAATCCAATGATGGTGTTAAATGAAAAGGTTTCTCGCGCACCCTTCGGAGTTTCATTGAAAAATGGTGCTGTTGCCGGCACTTGCGTTTTCAGATTTTTCGGAGCGAATGTTTTCTTGATTTTTGAGAGAAAGAATTTCCACGGAATAGTCTCGTAGAAATCTCGTAGAAAAATAGAAATACGAGATTTTGTACCTACGCTTAATTTTCTGTCAGCGTTTCTGGTATGATACGGAACGTACCGGTATGGTGAGTTGCGAACCCATAGCATAGCAAAAATATGTACGAAGTTCGTACGCAATACGCATACACGCACAGCGACGAGATTGGATTTCTACGACGTGTTCCACGTGACTGAATTATATTCGTGATTGAGATTTTACCCGCCGAGACCGTGGCGACCACACAAGAATCTGGGCCCTAGAAGGCCTTCATCAATTTATCCGTAATACTGTACATTCGTCGACGACACCGCGACGTCGTCCAGTGTTTGGAAAGTGTTTCTCGACTCCTCTCGTGCTACTACGACACCCATCTTTCTATCTCGTAGAGTGACAAAACAGTAGAAAGCAGATTGAAACGTGTGTCGGTAGTCCGATACGTTTGACACATCACACCGCTGTTCATCGAAGGCATAACCAGAAACCGCGACAATTTACTAGATCGAAGATGTTTCGCAACGTATTCCGATCTCCGTCGACGACGACCATGTTGGCGAGTGCGGCAACCGCTGCCTTCACCGGGTCGTCGTACATGAATGCAACGTCCACGGACTGCGAAGAAGCCCCGAAAGGCCTTCCTACCTTCAAGGGATGGAGGCACCGATCGGATGGTACGAAACGAAATGAATCGAAACGGTGCTATGCTCTAATTCACCTAATCTTGCTACGCACGTGTTGTTTTGGAGATGCACATACACACACAAAACAAAGGGATCATTTTTTGTGATTTTGGGGAATCCATGCCCATTTTTGAAAAGCAAGTATTTGCATCGCCAAACTAACTCGTTCTCGTGCTTTGTGCAAACACGCCCTTTTTTGTAACCGTAACGCATTCCGCAACGAACAAACACAGGAAGCATCGTCGGCCGCATCTACAATTCTTCCTCGTACGTCGATGGCGATGTCGTCTGGACCTCCCCCATCACCCAGGGAACCGTCAAGGAAAACTGCGAGGTTTCCACCGAATCCGGAAGCCGGTACTACCTGTCGTCCCTGGCCTCGGAGGAACCGCCCACGGAAGACACCAAGGCGCCCGAACCCCCAAAGCCACCCGCGGCAACCCTGAAAAACATCAACACGATGAAGGTCACCCCCGACAACCTTGCGGCCGTCCTCAAGGGAATCACCGGAGCCGTCAGCGAGATCGAGTCCTCCCTGGGTCTGGCCTCGTCGGGCTCGTCGAAGTCGTCGTCGTCGTCGGCTTCTTCCAAGAGCAATCAAAGCATCGATGTCGTATTGGGAGCACAGTGGGGTGACGAAGGAAAGGGAAAGCTCGTAGACATGCTCAGCCAAGTAAGTAACACCGGCGGAAGACCTCGAGTTGTAGGACACGCACGGATGCAATGAACCATGTGATTCGTTTTTCAGTTGCCACATTACAGACCGATGCGCTCACTTTCCAACAATTGTTGCAACTGCGGACGATAGGAATACGATGTTTGTGCCCGTGTCGCCGGTGGTTCGAATGCCGGACACACAATCGTGGTAGACGGCGTCAAGTACAAATTCCATTTGCTTCCCAGTGGCATTCTCAACCCCGACGCCATTGGCATCGTCGGCAACGGTGTTGTCATTCACCTGCCATCCTTTTTGAAAGAGATCGAGGGCCTCGCGAAGGAGGGAGTCGCACATGAGGGCCGTGTCTTCATTTCCGACCGTGCCCACCTGGTCTTTGATTTCCACCAGACCGTCGACGGATCCCTGGAAGACCGACTGGGACGCAACAAAATCGGAACCACCAAAAAGGGAATCGGCCCCGCGTACGCCTCCAAGATTTCCCGAAACGGCGTGCGCGTTGGTGACTTGGCGGATTGGGAGTACTTTGAGCAGCGATTCCGGGCCCTTGCAGAGCACCACATGCGCTCCTACGAGGGTCTGAAAATAGACATCGAGGCAGAGCTGGCCTACTACAAGAAAATCGCCCCCAAGATCTTGGCGATGACCTGCGACACGATCGAGCTCACCAACAAAAAGTACAACGAAGGCCAAAGAATTCTTGTGGAGGGTGCGAATGCCGCCATGCTCGATATCGATTTCGGAACCTATCCCTACGTAACTTCGTCCAACCCATCGGTCGGAAGCGTCCTTACAGGCCTCGGTGTCAGCCCCAAGAAACTTGGTGGCATCTACGGAACCGTCAAGGCGTACTGCACACGCGTCGGCGAGGGTCCTTTCCCCACAGAGCTGAACGTCTTGGTTGGCGAGGGATCCCACCTCGCGACCGTCGGACACGAATTCGGGACCACCACGGGTCGTCCTCGTCGTTGCGGATGGCTCGATATGCCCCAGCTCAAGTACTCTATTACGATCAACGGTTACACCTCTATCAATCTCACAAAACTGGACGTCCTTTCGGGACTGAAGGAAATCCCCCTGGGAGTTGCCTACAAGGCAAAGGACGGGACAATCTTGGAGACCATGCCGGCCAGCCTCAAGCAACTGGAAGGCGTAGATGTCCAATACGAAACCATGCCCGGATGGGACGAAGACATTTCCAAGTGCCGAACTTTTGACGAGCTTCCACTGAACTGCAAACGATACGTCCAACGGATCGAAGAGCTTGCGGGAGTTCCTATTCGATGGATCGGTGTTGGTCCAAATCGACTCGACGTGATTGACCGAGGAGAGGCGTTCGAAAACTAAAAAATGAATAAATAAATAACATGAATGCAATAATTCCAGCCGTACTAAGAAGCACACAATTGCATCAGGACATTGTTTGAGCAACTACATTACCACTCCCTCTTCTTCAAAATTACTTTCCAGTTTGCACAAATAGGCTTACTTGAAGATATTCTTTAACGACTTCCTTTTTGAAAAACCCATGGGCTTACTTCTGTGGTACTGCTAGCTTCTTGAAGGCAAAATACCTATTGTAAGAGAGTTCCAGCAGTCATTTGATTATCAGACAAGAAATAATTGTCATAGTATGAGCTAATGGTAGGAAACTTCATGAAGGACATTCATGTTTGACACAACTTTTTTGGGTACCAACATGCAATTGGTGTGCATGGTGCAAGTTTAATGTGTTTGAGTTCTCTTTTATTGGGCGGTTCCCATTATTATAGAATTGCTAAACGGCCAGATTTAGCACATTTAGCATTTCTACAATAAGGGGAATCAAAATTTCAACAGACAATGCAGGCTTGATCACAGTCTTTTTGGGAATTTGGAACCTTAACTTCAATGTGACATATCACTAAAAAGAGCGTAGTAGTAAAAAAAATCAAAAGAAATGAATCCCTGGATACTACTATCATTTGTGGGTTCCATCATAGATTTATTACATTTGATAGCACCAGTTTGGTTGCTATCAAAAGTAAAAAAAATCTTAATATTATGTTTAACCTCATGGACTAGAAGAGGCACTATGGCCATAACCATTCTTGTAGCTTTCGGTGGAAAGCATGCTTCTAGTCGGCACCTCCCTCTGAGGAGTTTTGGTGGAGGTGCGACCAGGTTGCTATCAAAAGTAGTAAATTTTGTTTTAGATGTGCTAAATTTTCAGTGTGTCAGTCTAGTACTATCAAAAGTAGCACATCTATAACAATAACAGGAATTGCCCATTGTTTTGCTAAGCAGTGACATAGTAATATTTATGTTGAATGGAAATAACTGCTAGTAGGTATACATGTAGAAGAATAACAAGAAAGCATTCTGTTGGAACCAGAAAAATGGTCATGCTGGACTAATATTTCATCATGGTGGTATTCTACTAGTAGTACTAGTACTGATTCTTGCAAGAATTATGCTCATTGTTTCTTCTTATCTATCAACAAATATGGTTTAGTGCTTTTCTTTCATAACAAAATGATCTTTCCTCATTTCATCATGTCATTAATAATTTTTGAATTAGCAGCAGATGGTGGTAATTCTTATCCTTGTGTGACAGGCACAAACCCTTTTCTCTCCTATCTTCTCACTACTGCTACAGAGGATGTGGTGTTGAAACCTTCTTGATAGCAACAAGATTGACAACAAGAAGATATTGGTCATGAATCATTCTTGTTGCATCATAATCAACACCTTCTGTGAATCTTTCAACATTGCTGTGTTCAAAGCACCAAGAAGAATCATTTCCTATTGCTGTGAGTACATTTTATTGCATACTCCCGCAGGGTCACAGAGGAAGAGATTGGCATAAATTTATTCAAGCTTCAACAACTACAGGAAGCACAATATTTACTACTACTCTCTTCATAACTACAAAGTAATGCTATTTGATATGTTATTTGAAGCAAGTTTGTACAAAAAATATCATGCATGGGACTGCTGTGAGAGTTTAAAAAAACAAAATCACCTTGAGGAACCCTTCTTTTATTGGTAGCCAATTGAGTACCAATGTCACAAACAAGAATATCAAATGTTGGCTACATCATTTATGGGCTGATTCAAGAAGTGTACCAGCATCAATAATCCTTTGATAGTAGTAGAGAGGCAGTGCTACAAGAAATAGTAAAGAGTGTAATTATTTCTGAACTCTGCCTTGTCCCAGAGGACAAATCATATTTCTTGTTGGCAAGTAGTTAACAAAAATATTATTCTATTCCCTCTTGGAGGTGCATGTTTGAATGTGGCAACACCTGGCAACAAAAGGCAGCAGTAGTGGGAAGAAGGAGTTTAGTTTCCATTCTCCAATGAGCTACTGTTGACCCATGATCCATCTGGGCTTTATTTGCACAAAGACCTACAACAACCAACATGTAGCATGATTCATTCATCTATTCAAAGAATCATTCTTGTTATTTTTAGGTTCCATGGTGCAAGCTCAAATATATCACAGTGCATTGAGCCTACTGTACTACTACTACTACTAGACCAGTATCCCCAGTCATTCCTCATCTTGTTCACCAGCATCAATATTGTAAAAAAATGATTTTTTTCACCAACCCACCAGATGTTCCCAAATCCTTACTGTTGCTTGTTGTAGAATAGAACACTACTATTTATATTGCTAGAACTAATCTAGAGAGGATACCACTGGATTTGACCCAACCTCTGCTGCTTCTTATAAAATTGAAAATTGGTACTACTAAAAATAGCTCTGATATGGAGTGAAGAATAATTAAAATTTTAAGTTTGAAATGTTCTTGGTGGTTGATATGACAAACCTTATAGATGTAGCTTTGCAAACATTTCACTTCCTGCTGCAAATATCAACAGTCATTAGATTTGTAGGAGAGTTTGACACAAAGAAGTAACAAAATCCAACTCAAAAGAACTATTACTAACAAAATACCAATCAGAGTTGTCCATTCTTGCTAAATCCATAATATCTCCAATGAAAACAGCAATTATAAATGTCTAAATGTCTACCTGTCCAAAGTGATTGCATCTGCTCCTCAGTCTATTTTATTTAATAATGTTGGAGTCAAATAAAATCATGTTGTTTTCAATAAAACAATTTATTCAGCTGTTTAGATTTAAAAATGGTATCATATAGCGTTGACCAGCAGATGTATGATAAAATCATACATTTTGGGCTATCTTTTTCCGTGTAATGACTACTTTGACAAAAACGTACAAAATGCACGTGCTTGGTATTAGTGTTGAATTTTAATCCCACATTCTTGCAACCAAATAGTTTCGCGCAAGTGCTCCTCACTGTCTTATTTTTTGCTTAAGTATGGTAAGCACATGGTTAAAAAGAGAATTCAAAGAGCTTTCTAACGCCGTGGGGGAGAAGGGGGTCCTATTAGTAGTGGAATAAATCGATACTCGTGTACGAATATAGCATTAAAAATGTACGATAATTTTGGCCGGAAAAGCATGGCCCGCACTATATGATACTATTTGAAAACAATTGTGTTGAAATCTAATTTCTACTTCTTCTAATTTGAGTTGTACATTTGATAGTAACTGAAAGTACCACCATTCTTACTGCCATTTTATGAGTTCTGTCCATTAAAGAAGAGGAATCAATATACCATCCCCCAAAGAAGTGACTTAATATTGTTGCTATCAGATACTTTGGTAATTCTGATTAAAAGGCCACTTTGTTGGTGTTGTCCTTGAAATTTTCCATCAAATATAATCAAAATTGCTGTCTTCAGATTTTGCTGAGTGTCCAGGTCAAATCTACCCTGTCATGTCCTTTCTAGTAGATTCAATTGTAGTAAAGACACGTGATGTTTACTTCCAGGCAGAACTGCCCTCCTCTCCCATCCTTCACAAGAAATATTCAAGACCAAATGTTTCTTGTTCTCTCTGTCCTGATAGTAAGTAGTACTATTACTTTGGATTCACAAGGCAATGCTGGATTGCAGCAGAGGTACTTTATGATCACTTTGTTGCTTTCAAGCAGAATGATCCCCAGCTCATCAGATTCAACAAAGATCAGATGTGACCAGGAGAAATAGTGGAGCAACAATGTGGTGAATTCCTCTGCTGCTGCTACTGTGTCACTGGTGATACTCCATTGTTACTAATACTGCTCTGACAGAGCCATGAAATTATTTGAAGTTGAATTAAAATGAAGATTATTGATGAAGAAGAAGTGGGCAGCAAATATGATTCTGAAAGAATTGAAAGAAGGAAATTTTTAAAATGAACACTGCACAAAGTGCTTCTTTTATCCCAACAATGTTTGTCCCCTCTTTAGCTACTTCTAGGAGAGAGTTGTGAAACTTGAATTTGACCAATGAGACTGTACCAGTATAATACTGGAACTGCTGGTACTAGTATGCTCCTGTGTCGTGCACAGCACAACACATCAGTAAAACATTATTTTTCTCATACAAAAAGTCACAATCTACTAGTGTCATGAACCATAATGTTGCAACAATGGGCGGGGGGCAACAAGTTGTTGGAATTGTGTATCACACTGAAGCGTATTGTGACACAAAAATAATCACAAAAATGGTGTCCTCAGTCAATTCCCAATTTTTATTGGTTGCATAACATTTATGTGTGCAGAGGTGTGACCAAGCGTTTTGAACCAGAATGACTACTAATAATGCTACTAGACAAATTTTCTCCATACTAACAAGTCAACAATATATCCTACTACTACTGATATCTCTTTTGCTACCACTACTTCTTTCTGCCTCTTACTACAGCAAGTCCAGCAATCACAGCAAGAAAATGATGACTGGTGGTGGAGGGTAGGAACATTCATAACAGCTCCATAGTTTATTTTATCCTGGCTTTCTACTGATGCAAGTACTGAGCATCAGTGCTGCTAGTAGTACTATCACATGTAGTAGTACCTCCTCCATCCAGGAATGAGCATCCCATAACCAAATTACTACTGAAACAAGCTCAATTTTTGGTCAATTTGAATGACTCTTTTTTATTCTATTGATCTTGTTTCATACTAGTACTACCATTCAAATGTTTTATTGCATTTGCCTTTCAATGTTGCACCAGCACAAATAAAGTTATGAGCCTTCAAAAAGGGCAATTTTTGCATGTCAAAACAGGGTTCAAATTGTCATTTTGATAAGCTACTAGTACTACTACTTCTTCCACACGAAAGCCATAATAAAGTTGTAGTAGGATTGGAGGCTATACTTTGGATTAATATTGCTTGCTTTCTTATGTTGGTCATTTTCTATTTGAAAGAGGTGCATTGTGCCATTGTCAGAATCGTGTTTGCTGTAACAATCATACTACTACTACTACTGTGTGTAGTTTGTTTGTGAAAAATATTTTCTGGCACATGCTCATTTTTATCTACTAGTATGGTACTAGTACTACTGATTCTATGTGTTGTACTCAGTCATAAACTGCTTGATGAGTACTCAGTAAATAAGGGGACTTTCAAAATGGATAGCAAAACTGGAGTCACCTGGCAGTTGTTGTCGGACAGAGGAAGTGTGGTCTCCTTCTTCTCCTTCTCCTTCTTCTGCTGGTGCTTCTTGTTCTTCCAAAATCAGCTCCTCATCTGTTCTTTGAGGATCACCTATTCTGATAATACTGGTCCTTGCACATGTCTAGGGATAACAGGTAAAATACTATTGAATTGGATCACTAAGATAGAAGAAGAATCAGTAAGATGGAAGAAGAACCATTGAAATCACCAAAATATTGAGCTTCGTTCATTAGTAAAGGTGCTGAATGGACATATATTTTGGGACGAAGGAAGTACTACTGAAAATTGGGGAGTACGGTACCATTTTGAGAGCCGATGTCCTTTTCGCGCAAAAATCGGAGAGAACGTCGAAAAACCCCGTCGAAGGTTTTGATTAAAAAATCATGATTCCTTCGACCTCTGCTCTTATTCGACTGCAAGTGCGGGTATTGCTACTTTGGCTAAACGAATGAATCCCATGACTGGGCTTTCAAGAAAACTCGGTTTCTGAATTTTCTTTTGACGGCAACCCCAACCCTTACGACCATGGAGTAGAGGGGCAAAGGACTAATGTACAATTTTTTTCGATCTGCACGCATGGTTATGATTATTTAATGGACTATTGTACTAGCAGTGTAGTGTAGTGTGTTTTTGTGTCGCGGTCCTCGCTGTAGAGTATTGTTTACTCCTCGTGGCGGAAGTTTCGGACCGTCTCGATGAAGCAGGCGGCGTTCTCCTCGGGCGTGCAGGCCTCGATCCCGTGTCCCAGGTTCATGACGTGCCCGGTGGGGCCCGCCTTTCTCAGGATCTCCTCCGTTCGCTCCCGGATCGTGTCGTGGTTGGAGAGCAGGACGCCGGGGTCCAGGTTGCCCTGTACTCCTCCCGGTCCCGAGAGGCCGGCGAGCTCCCGGCCCTTGTTGACGCGAGCTCGTCCCTCGGCCATGTCGACGGTCCAGTCGAGCGAGACGACGTCGGCACCGGTTCCGGCCATGCGCTCGAGCAGGGCGCCCGAGTGCTTGATGTAGACAACGGTGGGGATCTCGGGGTGGTGCTTCTTGATCTTGTCGAGGATCTGTTTCTGGTAGGGCATGGCGAATTCTTCGTAGTCGCGGGCCGACAGGTGGCCGGCCCAGGAATCGAAGATCTGGATCAGCTGGGCGCCGTTCTCGATCTGGTAGAGGGCGTAGTCCCCGATGCTGTCCGCCAGGTTCTGGAGGATGGTGTGGAGCAGCTTTGGCTCGTTGAAGGCCATCTTTTTGATTTCGAGGTATTCCTTGGAAGTCTTGCCCTCGATCATGTACGTGGCAAGGGTGTAGGGGCATCCAACAAATCCGAGGACGGCGGTCTCGGGGCCGACTTCCTTTCTAAGGATCTGGAGGGTTTCTGCAACAAAAGGAGCAGCGGCGGAGGGATCGATGGGGTGCATCTGTCGCAGCGGATGATTCGGATTTGGTTCAGTGTTTCGAGGAACGAAAAAAAAAAACAAACGACGGCGTTGTGAGTCCACAGATTCGTATTTTTGCTAGCCCTTGCGGAAAATTCTTCCCTTGCCGTCCTGTGCCTACGCTACAATGTGCAAGTACATCCGTGCACGGCACGGCACGCCAATCCATCCATCCATCCATCCATCGCCAGCGTCGCCGCCGTTGTTGCCAGCGGCCACAACACGACACGACAAGACACGACACGAAACAAAACTTCGCACAGACACACACGCACGCACCTTCTTGACGTCGTCCCAGTTCTTGATGGGATCCATGACGGGCCCGAGCTTCTCGTCGATCGTGAACTCGCAACCGACCCCGGGAAGGGGGGTCAGAATGTCGGAGAACAGGATGCACCCGTCCGTCTTGTAGTTTCTCCACGGCTGGAGGGAGACCTCCACGGCGACCTCGGGGATCTCGCTGCGCTGGCGAAAGGTGGGGTACTTCTTGCAGAGGTCCCGGTATTCCTGGATGTGACGGCCGGCCTGTCGCATCATCCACACGGGGGTTCGCTCGACCTTTTCTCCCTTGGCGGCGCGGATCAGGAGGGGGTCCTTGGTCTCGCCGCCCTTGCTGGAGTCCTTGGTGTCGACGGCCTCGTCGACGGCGCTCCGGACCACGGTGGCGGTCCGGCTGGGGGAGGCGTTCGGGGAAAAGGCCTCGATGCTGCCCAGCGTCAGGGACAAGAGGATTGCTGCMGAGAATTTCATGGTCCTAGTTGTGTGTGTGTGTGTGTGTGTTTATTGGGTTGTGATGAGCGGGTTGGGTTTGGTGTCTGTAGCGCCGCGTACGGTTTTCCTAGGGTCGAGGTCGTGGCTCGGTCCGTTTTTCTTTGGAATGCTGGTGATCGATCGTCGACGCTATCCCCGTAGTCTTGTCTCGGTACAGTACAAGTCCTCGTACGAGTGCATCGCATCGCTGCCGAAGGCGTCGAACACGAACAACGAAAGAACGCAAAATCCCAAAACAAATCAATCGACGAACTGACGACGGGGTTTTTGTTCAACATGGGGATCCACGTGGATATTGGTTTTGATTGGACCGGGAAATGGTGCATGATTGGACTCGTTCGACTTCAAAAATTCTTCCCCCTCCCCCCGACTACCCGCTTTATCCTACCAAAATACCTTTCAAAGATATCAATAGTGATCAACAGTGGATAGATAGAAATAAACTGAATAAACTGATGCCACGAGCCCGGAGTCCACAGTGCACACAGAGCACAGAGCTCAACGATCAGTGATTGAGGATTGACCAACCAACGAAGTGAAGGTAGGAAAAATACAAAATACCCCTAGTTACGACAAGCACGGCACGAGAGCAAGACGATTACTTGTATTTGCCATTCGCACAACAACCACAACCCAACATTAAAAAGAACGACAGCAAGTCTCAACAAATACTACCCATCGGAACAGACGAGTCAAGGAACGAAAAAAGAACGAAGGGAGGACAACAAGCAACCCAGAAAGCGTCCCACCCACCCTCCGGCAAATCCAATTGCCTCCAACCCAATCCATTCCATTCCATTCCAACCCCGCACGAACAGGCATAGCATGGCTCCGCCCAAAAAGAAACGCCGGGTCGTCCACCTCGAGGCCGAGAACGGAGCGCCGGAAAGCACCGCGGGGGCCGGCGGCGGCGGGTCCGCGGAAGCGGTTGCCCCCGGAACAAAGGCGCAACCCCCCGGCCCCACCACCGCCGGCTGCCTCTCCCGCAAGGACGAGCTGGCGGAGGAGCTCGTCGAGGCCCTGGACTCGCTCGAGTCCTCCCCGGGCGGGTCGCCCGAGGCGGCACGGGCCCACGCCCGGGCCTCCCTGGCCCTCCTCGGCCTCCGGGCCCTCCAGCGGGGCCTCCTGGAGAGGGTGGGGGCGACCCGGGACCTCCTTTCGAAACAGGCGTCCGCCCGCGACCAGCAGGCCCTCGTCCTGGAAAACCTCTCGTACCAGCGGGCCCTCCACGGGCGGTCGAGGCTGCGGTCCGAGGCCGCTTCGGAGAGGGCGGCGGCCGGCATCAAGGGGCTCTGCGGCGGCGGCAACGAGGCGTCGGTCCTGGAAACCTTCCTGGGGGCGGACTGGAAGGATCCCTCCGAGAGGCCGGCCATCGTCTCCCGGCTCAACCACGAGGTGGCCGTCCGCAGGGACCTGGAGGCCAAGCGGGAAGCGCTGCGGGCCGACCGCCGGTCGAAGCAGGAGATGCTGGCGGCCCGCCAAAAGGTCCTGAGGGACCTGCCCACCCGGCTGGCGGAGATGGAAAAGGCCAGCCTCCCGCTGCAAAAGTTTTTCCAAAAGGCGGGGGCCGGGGGCGGCCTGCCCCTGGAGGCGAGCCCCCGGATCGGAACGACACGGCGCCGGAACCGGCTGGACCTGGCCGGGACCCTGCCCCCGGCGCTGTACACATTGTTCCACCAGCTGCAGTCGTCCCTGGACGTGCTGGAACTGGCGGCCAGGAAAGAAACACCCGGCGGCAACGAGAGCGGCGGCTCCATCGGCCTCTCGGCCCTGCCGACCCTCGAGGTCCGGGCCGGGCCGGGCTCCAAGACCCAGGACGCCACGGTCCTCCTGAGGATGCCCATCCCCACCGTCTCCGACGGCGGGGGGCTGACCTACCACAAGTTCAAGAAAGTCGTGCCGATTTCCTTTCGGTACGAGGCCTCCTCGGACCTGGTGCTGGCGTGCTGCGGGAACGACTACGGCATGGGGCAGGTGGTCCTCGGCGAGCTCTTTCCGGGGGACAGGGGCGAGTACCTGGCGGCGAGTGCGAGTGCGAGTGCGAGTGCCGGCGCAACCCCCGCGGCCCTTCCCGGGAGAGCCTACCAGTGGTGCAACGCCCTGGCGGGCCTGCACGTCTCCCCGGCCAGCGCGACCGCCGCGAGGCAGCGGGCCTCGGCGGGGGTCGTCCTCTCGGCCCTGGTGCGCCGGGTCCGGGCGGTGTCCACCCTCTCCCATATCCTCGTGCGCCTTCCGGCGGTTCAGGGTGGGGGCCTCCCCTCGCACGACCGCCTGAAAGACCGGCACCCGGAAGCGTTGTGGGCGGATGCGGCGGGCCTGGTGGGCTGGAAGGCGGTGGTTCCGGCCGGAGGCGGAAGGAGCGGCCACGTCCGCGTGTACGAGGCCGTCCTGCGGAAGGACGGGGGCCGCTGTCTGGAGGCCAGGGTGTCCGTCGACCACGCCCGGTACCCCTCGGTCGCCCCCCGCTGGAGGCTCTCGCCGCCGCCGCCGTCGTCCTCTTCCGAACAAGGCCCCCGCCAGGGGCTGCCGCTGTACGACGAGGGCCTGGCCAAGCTGGAGAAGGACGTCAACGGGGGCGTCCTCGACCGGCTGGTCGATCCGTCGGACCAAACCACCTACGACTGGGTCCTGGCGCAGCAGCTGATCGAGATTGCCGTGGTGTGGGGAAGAAGGGAGGCCGCCGGCGGAGAAAGCTCGTAGCCCGGAGCCACGTCCAGAATCGGTTCCGGTTCCGGATCCAGAATCGGTTCCAGAAACCACACACAAAGAGGACACGACAGGACACGGCTTGGCTTGGCTTKGCCTGGCCAGCACCGGGAGAACAGCTCCCGATGTCATAATCAAGGATCATACCATCACAATATTATAGTGTTCCCAAACTACTGCCTGCGTACTACTACTATTGGCACACACCGCGTTTGCCATTGCGCCCCGTCGTTCGGTGAAAACTTGTGTATGCCCTGCCGCACGCATGCCACCAAGGAACGAACAAGCATCGTTTCGCTTGGCACCGAATTCCGTCCATCTCTTTCTCGGCTGTGCCGACAGTCGTCCATGCATGCCGTACGTACGTACGGTACCAGGTACCGTACTATCATTCGCCCATTCGGTTCGAATCTTGAAACCTGGGATGCGCCGCGGTTTGTCCCAGAAAAAGAGTTCTTCGACGGAGCAGTCCCGTTTACCGGTCACGGATGGAGACTCCCGGTGCGAGTGCGTAGATCCTCGTAGAGTAGAGTATGGTACGTACCGTAGTGTAGTGGGCAAACGCGGTCCGGAAGCCTTTCTGGGCCGTGTGTCGGGGTGTCAACGCGAAAAACCAAAACCAATGCTTCCTGAAACAGTACGAGTACGAGTACGTACTAACTCGTACGATACCGTACGATTGCAGAGTTTTGTACTTGCGTTCGGTTTACGACTCAGTCGTACGTACTACGACTTCGTACTGTGCGCTGAAGGATTGCAGAATGTTGTGGATCTGAATTTACAGTACCTTGTACAGTATTTTTTCTGAATCTCCCGTTCCGTTCGATTTTTCCGCTACAGTACGTCCTCGTACTCGTACCGATAGTTCTGCTTTCTGTACCGAACCGAAGCAATCAAGCTTGTATGTTTTCGTCGAGTACCAGTTACGTACGGGTACCTACGGTAAGGTACTGGCGCCATCACTCCGTGTTCATTCCATTATTCATACCAGTGCACAGATACAACAATACCGAACCGATTCGATCCTTTGCCACCAGACCCATTCCAAACGAAACGAAACGAAACGCAACGCAAAGGCCTTCCCACGCGAATCCGATCCCAATAGCACAGCAAAGAACGGCACGGCACAGCACCGCACACCGCACCATGGAGACGGAAGCCGGCTCCCCCCCCGATCCGCGGAGGGAGGACGGAACCCGTGCCAGAAAAGAAGACGAAGACGAAGACGAAGACCAAGTCGCGGGGCCCCCGCCGCGAGCGATGCGTTCTGCGATGCAAGACGGCGGGGGCGCTCCGAGTGGCGGAGGCGAACGCGACAACCACGGCAGCGACAGAAACGACAGCGGCAGCGGCAGCGGCAGCGATAGCCACAACGACAGCGATAGCCACGACAACGACGACGACGACGACGAGTCCGACGAACACAGCGACACCTCCGAGCTGATCCGGCTGGCGTCCGCCGCGGCCGTCCGGGACGCGGCAAAGACGAAGCGGTCCGACAGCGACCTGTCGGACTCCGAGGACGAGACCGGGCACGACGACGAGGACATTCTCGACGAGCTCCTGGAGGAAGACCGGAGGGCCTCCCGCTCTTCGGGCCGGTCCGCCTCCAGCCGGTACATGGAGCAGGCCTCGTACGAGGCCAGCCTCCTGGAGGACGGCGGCGAAAACGAGAGCGAAAGAGAAAGCGAAGACAAGAGGGCCTCCCCCCGCCGCACCACCCGGCTCACGCCGAGCGGCCGGATCGGCCGGAGGCGGTCGTCGTCGCTCGGCATCATCGACGTGGTGCTGGAACCCAGCGACGACGAACACGAACACAAACACAAAGACGAACCTTCCGCCGGCGATCCCGATCCCGGCCGCTCCCAACCCCGGGCCTCCGAGTTCGAGAACTTTCACGGCCTCCAGAGCCTGCGCGGACTCGGCCTTGCTGCATCCGGTCGCAACGGCGGGGAAAAACGCGAGCGGTGTCCGAGCGAAAACGATGGTGGAAGCGGTGGCCAGAGCTCCGGCACCGGCGGCCAACGCCGCGATGCCCCGGTCCATCCGACCAGCGGGCACGCCGGAGACCCACGGTCTCCCGACTCGGAGCTCCGTGAGGTGTTGCGGGAGTGCGGGTTCGAGCTGGGATTCGAATCCGAATCCGAATCCGGTGCCGGAAGCCCGCGGGGCAAAACGGAAGAAACCACCGGCGAGCCACCCTGGGACGTCTCGGAAGTGTGCCTCCACGCGGTCTTTTGCGGCTTTTGCCGGCCCCCCCTGGAACTCGGTTCCGCCCGGCAAATCCTGGCCCTCGAGACGAAGCGGCGGCGGAAGGAGAAGGACCGGAACCCGAAGAGCCCGGGGGGCGGGGACGACGACGAAACAAGCGTCCCCCTGCCCGTCGGGGTGGTCGTCCGGAAGCCTTCGGGGGCGCTCCTCCGCCTGCTCACGGGGGGCACGAAACCTTCCGGGGGCCTCCTGCCCGTGGAGAAGCTGCCGCCCCCGTTTGCGGCGGGCCTCTTTCGGATCCTCCTCCGGCTGCTGGAGGGGTCGACCGACGCCGCCTACGACGCGGCCGTACTCCTCGCCTCGTGCCCGTGGAAGCACGAGGCGGAACAAAACGAAAAAGACGACAAAGACGAAAAAGGGCCACCGGGCCCACGCAGCACCGGGCGTCTTGGACGGACCGGCGACGCCACCGCCGGCGCCGACCTGGTCCACTCGGTCGTCCGGCTCCGGATGGCCTGGGCGGGTGCGGTCCGGTCCGTCCTCTCGGCCCTGGACGCCCTGCTCGGCCGGAGCACCGCTCCGCCCGTCGTCCTGTACCCGATGGCCCGGCTCCTCGGCCTCCTCTGCGCAGGAGGGGTCCGCCCGGGGGAGCTCGGCAGGGCGGTGGCCCTGGCGCAAGACGCCACGAGCGTCCCGCTCCCGGTCCGGCTCCTGCTGGTCCGGGCGCTGGCGGCGGCGGCGGAAGCGGCCGCCTCCCCCGGGAGCCACGGCCACCGCCTCTCGCCGCAGGCGTCGGCCTTTTCGGTGGTTTCGGCGCAGGCGGAAACGCTGGTGCTGACGGGGGCCGCCAACCACCGGGACTTTTTCTCGATCGTCGGGGGCCCCGGGATCCAGCGGGCGATCCAGCTGCCCGGGGATCCCTCCGCCTGGCCCTTTCGGAACGACTTTGGCGCGGCCTTTTCCTTCCGGGCCGAGGACGTCGGGCCCTGCACCGGTGGCGGACGCGGCGGGGGCTCCCCCCCCTGTATCTTGCTGCAGGCCCTGAGCGAGAACGGATGCGGCATCGAGGTGTCGCTCGTCCCGCTGTCCTCGTCGCCGCCTCCGACGCCGTCCTTTCGCCGGGCTTCCGAAACAAAGGGCCCAGCGGTCCTCCGGCCGACGGTCGCCGTGATCTCCGTCGCAACGCTCGAGCACCAAAAGGTCGTCGACCGCGTGGGGGTCCACAACTGCCCCCTGCACGCCCGGGTGTGGTACCACGTCGCGATCCGGCACACCCGGTCGAGGCTGAAGGGGGTCTTCTCGCTGTCCTCGAGGGAGCAGCTGACGGTCCTGATCGACGGAAAGCCCATGCTCACCGAAGCGCTCTTGTTTCCCCGGATCGCCAGGAGCCATGCCGATTCCAGGAGGGCGGTCTCCTTCACCGTTGGAAAGAACTTTGATGGCCAGGTGGCCTCCGTCTACGTCTTCCGGGACAACGTTTCCGATGCGACCTTCAAGGCCATGCACGAGGCAACCTCGGCCGGAGCGAGCGACGCGGCGGGCGCTTCCGCGGGTACCGGCGGCAGCGGGGGAAACCCGGGAAAACCCGCGAGATCGAGCCGGAGCATCCGATCGGACGACCTGGAGCACGTGGCCTTTTGCCTGCCGTCGCAGGGGGGCGGCCACCGGGAAACCAGCGGCGGTCCCATGGACACGGCGGACCTGTCCGGGGACGGGGAAGGATTCTCCTCCGGGGCGGGCAACCACCCGCTGTCGAGGGCCGCCTTTTCGTCGAGGCTCTACGTCTCCTGGAACCCCCGCCGGAAGGACACCGGTGGCTTCGTGATGGAACCCTACAGCGGGGCCCACCTCCAGCTCGATCCGGAATGTGTTTCGGCGTGGTCCGTCGAGGGCGCCCAGCAGGTCATCGGAAGCCTCGGGGGGGTCCAGGTCCTCCTCTCGATCGCCCGGTCGATGCTCGGCGCACCAGCCGCCGAGCGGTCGTCTCGCGCGAGCAGCGGCGCCGACGAACCAACCACGGTCGCGACGTATGCGTTGGTCCCGGACCTGCTGAACCTTCTCTCTTGTTTTGTTCGCGGGAACCACCAAAACGCCCGCGAGCTTCTGAGGTGCGGGGGGATCGACCTCTTGGAACGGCTCCTCTTCGAACACAAGCCATGGGGCCTCGTCGATGCGGGGGGGTCCTCCTTCTCGTTATCGACCCGCACAACGGGGCATTCGTTGGTTCGAAGCCTGTTCTTGTTTCCGACGCTTTCGAAGGTCCTGGTCCAGGCCCTGGTGGAGCTGCGATCGTCTTGCAAGCACTTTGCGCCCCTCGAGACGAAAGTGGTCTCGTCGCTGTTGTTCAACATCCCGTTGTGGCTGTCGGCGGGGCCGGACCGGAAGGTTCTTTGCCTCTCCACGTATCCCGCCTTTCTGCCGGTCCTCAGCAACATGGTGCTGAAAAACCCTGCCTGGATCCGCGACGTTATCGGTACCACAGACATGCTGTGGTTGATTCGAGACATTGTGGAAACGAAGGTAAGTAGTTGCGTGTGCCCTGTGGATGCATGCGCGCACAGCATCGAATCGTCGCTCTCAATCAGGCTTGCATTGTGGATCGTTCTTCCGACGCAGGAGGAGACCGACGACGGGCGGGACGGCACCGCACTGTTTCAGCGAACGCCGAGCCAATCGATGAATCCGGGAGGATTTACCAACCAAGAACGGCACTACCTGATAGATACCCTCCTGGCATGGATTTTCAAGGTTTTCTCGACCGGACCGGCCAGGGAAGATTTGTCGGCATTCATATGCCTCCTTTCAAGCTACCTGGGTACGTTCCCTCTTGTGTACTGGCGTGCCACAAAGGTTCTTGCCTCTTCTGCCTGTCTCTCATAATTAAGTTTTTCTTCGTAACTTTGCAACATAGAGCACGAATGGAACGAAACAGCCAAAGAAATATCGGAGGGGAAGCAGGATTCGGAACGACCTTTTTATCGCGAAATGGTAGGTTCATTGTTTGCGTTTGGTGTGCCACCGTTTCGGGTGTTGGGTTGTCTAGTTAAAGTAATCTTATTCATTTCCTTCGTGCGTCTCGTTCCGATCAATATAGCGCTCCGCGTTTCTCGAAAAAGCGTGCACGGTTTTGTACTGTGCGCTGGAACTTGGTCCTCCACAAACAATGAAGGACTTTGCTTGGGTATGCGGTGGCATCGACAATGGAGTTGCATGGATGCTGTCGGCGATGGTCAATTCATACAGCGACGACATTCGTTCCATGGGCATAAAATGCGTTGGTGCGTACATGCGCGCCACTGCACACGGCACAGACCATCCTCTCTCGTTCGAGAAGAGGTCTTCCTTGAACCTACACAACAAACTATCTGTCGCGCCTGCAAAAATTCAAGAAAACACCATGTCCTTGATATCTAATGTTGGCCAAGGATTTCTCAACACGGGCGAGAGAAAGAACAATACATCAAATGGGACTAACGATCCATCAAATCTGACGCCGAGGGTTATATACAAGCTCCTCTGGCACCTACTGAAGTCGCATCGTTTCAGAATGGGCATATGCACACAATCTGCCCTTGTTGGTATAGTATTCGAGAAGAAAGATCCCTTTCTTTCTCATAATTTCTTGATGAGGCATTTATTGGTGTCCGATTCGACGCCACCGTATGCTACGAGAATTGATTTTGAGTGGGCGAAGTCGACGATGGCGAAGACCGTGGTTGGGGAAGAAGCAAGAATTCACGATACTCTCTCTATGAATACCATTTTGAGAGCTTTGCGCTTTTTCCCCACTCAATATTCAGGTCGCTGGTTAACTCTTCTTATTGATTTAACGAAGGCAAATCACGGAGCGGCCTCTACCATCACTTCCTCTACGGATTGGCAACCCAGTATGTTCCAATTCATATCAGAAACTATTGAAAATATGGTGACTGCACCATCGTCTACACCCCAGACAGAGGACATCAATGTTGACGAAGAAAAGGACTCATGTGAGTCGCTTACGTCAAATAGCTCGCGTATAGCTTTTGATCTTTCGTTAGAACTCTACTCGATTCTTCTTGGGCATGTTATTCGAAACAATACAGAAAAGGTACGTCAAGCAGGATTGTGTTTTCCTCCGACTCTCGAACACTCTTCTAACACTTGTGCTCGACTCGCAGGCGATTATGGTACTGGAAGAAGCAGCCGCATTGCAACGGGTGTATGTCAACGGCCCTGAAGTTTTCGGTTTGGTTCTTAGTCACCTTGTGGCTAATATTGCTCGATTCGGAGTGGTGCCATTTGATCAGCAACAAAGGACGAATGCAAAGGAGACCGAGGGTGATGGGCCTGCAAATAGAACTCTGTCCAAGCAGAATGCAAAGATGGTAACAGATGCAATTCTTTCCAATGGAACTCGAGGAATAAAACTTTCAACCGCAAATGCAACTTGGAAGTTTCTGAAATACCTCGTCATGTCGACGACAGCATTCATTAGTTCTTTGGATTCGAACGGAGAATTCCATGTCGCTTCGAAGAAGGACGATGTAACCAACGGTGCTTTCGGGATTCTTCTATCTGAGGGAGCAGTCGAAGCCTTTGAGTACGAATATGTAATGAAAGTTTATCAGGAAGAAAATGAGCACTCTACTCCAATGGCTAGGCGCTTAGTGAAAAGACTTTCTGTCCATATTGCTGTGCAGATGTTGGCGCTTCTTGATGCTTTCATCTTCCCAGAAGACTCCTCCTTGGACTTGAAGTCATTCCAACTGCATGGTCTTGCTCTGGTACGGGAAACAGAGACGCAAATTGGGAATACGCAAGGACCATTATTGGCATCATTAATTCGTGATTCCTTGCTTCTTATCTGTAGGCTGGAACCGAGCAGTGTGAAGATGTTGCAATGCTGTGGTCGTTTGCGATGTTTCGTGCACTATAGTCTAGAGCTAGTTCGAGAATCCGAAGCGATGGAGAGGTACTCTGTCACTTTCAATAAGATTGCTGTTCCTTTCGATCAGTTGTTGCAGTCGAGTTTCATTCGATCTCACTTCGCACTCCAAAAATGTGCAAAACTTCTGAGAGAAATCGAAGCGGATTCTACCAAGCCCGACCCTCTCTTTTCAAATAAGGAAGAGCGTAAAAGAGCTTACAGGCGGATATTTCGAGTTACCATCGAGGTATGTCCCATTTTCAGCGCTCTTTTCAATTTCATTTCAACTTGCGCTATTTCTGTTCTCACCATAGGTTCATTATTGATTCAAAAAATGACAAGCTGCGGGAAATACTGATGACTATTTACGAAAAGCGGGGCGCTGTCTTACGGAATACTTTGACGAAGGAATCAATAGTTGCCTTTCAGTCTTGCATCGAACCCTCGGTCTTTCTTGATGCTGAAACAAACAAAACCATTTCATCTCAGAAGGAAGCTCTTGTTCGGGACTTGCTTGCGAGCGATTGGGTACAGAAATTCGAGATAGGTCTTTTTCGGAAAACCGATGCGATCAGCCTTGTTGATTGTGATGCAGCGAATATGTTAACAAGCGAAGATCTGTTCGCACAAGATTTAGGCAGATATTCATCTGCAATTGAAAAGGCTTACCAAACATCTCTTAATGCCTCTTTTGAAGGTATGTGTTCTTTGTTCCGTGGTGTAAGCATTTGTGACTGTTTTGTTATCGGATTGCGATCTAATCCTGTTTAATGCACACTTTTGAAAAAGGATACTTGGAGAACCAAAGGAAGTGGGCAGAGACCAGTGCCGTACGTGATCTTGAATTTCAAGGTGACACTACTCTAAAGTCATTATCAGGAGAATGTAAGCAAAAGGGAAAATTCCGTTCGACGGATATGGTGGAACTCTCTTCGGCTGCGAAGTTGCGATGGGGAGCAATAGAAAAAAAGGTTGGGAACATTTTTTTGCATTCCCAATCCCATTGGAGACTTCCTATATCAATGGACCAGAATGGCCGGCGTATTTTACTTGTTCCTAATCTTAAATTTGATTCTCATCAGTGCGCAAGCTATGATTCGATGATGGGGCAGGATCGAGAACGAGAGGAAAAGGAAATAAAAGCGCGGGAGTTGCAGAGCGAACTTTCAGATCTGATGAAACGGAATCATGAAGCGCTTTCTTCATACGACGAAATACTCGCCTTGGAAGACGAAGACGACGATGAAAAAAAAGAAGAGGATATGAAGGACGACTCACAAGTTGTAACTCAGGAACTATCTAGCCCCGAAACATTATCAACTGAGCCATTGGAGACTAAAGTGATAGTAGAGGAGTCTATTTCTGAGGAATCGGATGTTGGTGGAGATGAGTGGGCTCGGGCTTTTGTATGGCAAGATGGAGAATCAATCGTTGCAAGGTGAGCATTTTCTCTGCGAAAATTTAATGTTCAGGATGTTTTCTGCTCTAATCGCAAGTCACACTAACGTTATTGGTTTCGATAGGTTTGAGGAGGTCATGATCGTAACACTGCGATACAGGTTTGATGGCTATTTATTATTGACTACTGAAGGACTTTACTTTCGTCAGATTGGAAATGGTGCTAATGTCATCAGTAAAGAGTCATGTCCACTGCCAAGAAGTGATCGGCGGTGGCGATTGAATGGGCTGAAAGAAGTTCACGGGCGCCGCTACTTGTTGAGGACCCAGGCATTAGAGTTGTTCTTTGCGGATGGTCAAGAACTTTTCCTTAATTTCACCAAGGGTCAAAAGGAGCGAAATCGATTTTATGCCAAAGTGAGAAACAGCTGCAAAGTAAGTTATCGATTGGAAACAAAGTCAATACTTCGACATCAACTCTCATGAAGTATCCTAACCTATTTCTTTTTAGATTCCTATGATATTTTCGCCAAAGTCTCTGAACCCTCGCGCTGTTTTCAAAAAATCAAGAATAACAGAACTGTGGAAAAAGAGAAAAATAACAAACTTCGAGTAAGTGTCCCGTAATAGCCTTCGCATTGTGCGTCTTGTAATTTTTCCTTGCAAAGCGTGTGAATGATTCACAGTGCCTGACCATTTTCATCAATGCATTTTTAACAGTTATTTGATGGCATTGAATAGAATGGCGGGGAGAACGTTCAATGATATCTCGCAGTATCCAGTTTTTCCATGGATCCTTGCTGGTAAGTAATGCGAAGCACACGTTGTTGATTGATACTGTTACATACATATGTCTTACATATCGTTTTGATCATCTTCAACAACCATAGATTACGAAAGTGAAAAACTTGATCTGTCCGATAGTAGAGTGTACCGAGACCTATCGAAACCTGTTGGTGAGTTGTTTTAACGAAAGAGACAACTTAGCTTTCTTCAACAAAACCTTTGTATCTAACTTATTACTATTCTCTCCCTAACGACTTCATATTGATTCAGGTGCCTTAAATCCCGATCGACTGGCTATTCTTATTGAAAGATATCAAGAACTTGAGAGCTTTGGGTTTCCTCCCGAAGAAAAGTTTCTTTATGGGTCGCATTATTCCTCCCCGGGATTAATTTTGCATTTTCTTGTTCGTCAAGAACCCTTTACGAGCATGGCGATCGATCTTCAATCAGGAAAATTCGATTGTCCAGACCGACTTTTTTTCGACTTGAGAGAAAGTTGGAAAAGTTGCAACACGTCTTCTAGTGACGTAAAAGAACTAATTCCAGGTACAGATATACTCGTCAATTACTGTTCGATATGGATAAGAAAGACAAGGTTTTTTTGGACATACTTTCTCACTTTTACTTCGCTCTTTTTCGCCCCCAGAGCTGTTTACTACTCCAGAAGTATTGCAAAACTCGAATCATTTCCCTTTGGGTACGACGCAGAAGGGAATGGTTGTCGACGATGTTCGCTTGCCCCCGTGGGCAAAAGGATCAGCACATGAATTTGTCAGAATACAACGGCTTGCGTTGGAGTCCGAGTACGTATCTAGCAACCTACAGAATTGGATCGATCTAGTGTTCGGATACAAGCAGCGAGGTCTTGAAGCTGAGAAGGCATGGAATGGTAAGTCATTGCTGCATGTCCATTTGTCTAGTAGGACTGTGCCAAATCTCAAAGGATGTCTGCTTTTCGACCATTCCTATCGAACGGAAACTTGAATCAAATTACTAGTCTTTCACTTTCTGTCCTACGAGGGATCTGTTGATCTCGATAAAATGAAAGACGATGTCGACAGAATCGCTACAGAATCCCATATTCAAAATTTTGGCCAGACCCCAAGTCAGTTAATCGCAGATAGTCCCCATCCATCTAGGTATGGATCCGAGCTTTCGTGGAAGCCTCTGATCAACAACGTGAGTATTGCAACAACGAGTTATTGTCGCTGTTTGTGCCATGCTTCTCATGCTGTACCAATTCTCACCCATCGATCGATCAATCGAATATAAAATATTGCGTTGCAGGTTGGAACAGCGGTGCGGCTGCGCTGCCACACGCCTTCGCAGCAATTCGGGGGCAAGAGTGGTCGTGGCGCCGGTGCGGTCGTCAATGTGTACGTGAAGACCGACGGCTTGATTGCTGTGTATTCGGACCTGAAGGTTGGATTCTTTTGGTGGTCCCCAAAGAGTGCGACGAATCGCCTGCAGCCCGATCGACTCCAGTCCCTGCCGAGCCGCGACCTGAGCTACTCTCGGTCCGTGATGAAGCGCGGATCGGCCATGCCCGAAGCGGTAGGCGGACCAACAAGCCCCTTCGCCGTTGGCAACGCGTCGTTTGCGATCACCATCGGCGGGTACGAAAAAGAACAGCTCCGGAGGAGAACCACGTTCACGCACTCGCGCCTGGCCTCCGCAAAGGACGCCCTCTACACCGATGCGGCCCCCCTTCTCGTCAGCTGCGGATACTGGGACAACACGGTGAAGGTCCATTCCACGGATGCCTGGAAGCTCGAGGCCAGCAACCACGGGGGGCACCGGGGAGCGATACGCTGTCTCGCCATGGGCGAGGACGCCGGCCTCCTGGTGACCGGGGGGGAGGATTGCACGTGCCGGGTATGGGTCGTGGACCACCCGGAAATGGCGGCCGTTCTTTCCGATGGGTACCTGCAGACGGCCCTGGGCAGGCCCCCGAACGACAACCACATCCTGACCTGCTGCCACGTGCTTCTCGGCCACGAATCGCCGGTGTCCTGCGTCGCGCTGTCCTCGGAACTCGACATTGCCGTCTCCGGCTCGGTGGGGGGAAGAATCTGCATCCACAAACTCCGAACCGGGGAATTCGTTCGGTCGTTCCGCCCCCTGGCACCGAGCGGCAGCGCAACGGCTCCCCCCGCGAGCGGCCGGCGGGACGCCGTGCCGGTGACCAAGCTGATCCTGGAGGAGCACGGCCGGATGGTCGTTCAGATGGGCAACCATCGGTTGCTGACCTACACGGTCAACGGCGTGTGCTTGTGCTCTTCGAACGCCGAGGAACAAATCCACGACATGAAAATCAACGGAGAGGTCCTGGTGACCGGGGGCGAGACCGGACGCGTCTACATCCGGAACCTGTCCACCCTCAAGATCTTGTCGGGGATGAACCTTTCCAAGCACGGGCCGATACGCTGCGTGAGCTTCACCCCGGCGGACCAGAATCCGATCCCCCAGTTCTTGTTCATCGGCAGCGACGACGGCATGATATCGATCGTCGAGCAAAACGTTTGACGACGGAGTGACCGACACCGCGGCACCGAACAAAAGGCACGAGACGGCAGAATTCCTGGATGCCCCAGACGTAATATTATACTACTTATAGAGATAGAATAGATAGAATGAATATACTAAAATCTTGTATTCCATGTTTGGTTCGCGGCAGGAAGCAAAATGCCACGGAAGGATAGCACCCCGGAGCGGACGACGGAGCACTCAAACGAGTCTCGCTCTAGTTGTGTCTAAAAGGCAAACCAATCGTTCTTGGTGAATCCCAAGGCTTCCAGGTTGGGAAAGCAGGCGAATTTTAGCATCGGGGGAGGACCGCACAGCAAAACCTGTGTGTTCTTGGAAGATCCGTTGAACAGGCAGTGTTTTTCGATCATGTCCTTGCTGATGAATCCCTCGGAATATTTCCACGACCCGTCGGTGGGTGGTCGATCGACGGTGTAGTGCAGCTTGAATTGGTCCGGGAAGTCCTTGGCCAGTGCCTCCAATTCCTTGCGCACGAGAATATCGTCTTCGGCTGCGGTTGGAAGACGATCGCCGCGTCGAGGTTCGAGCATCCGGCGCAAACACGGAATGGTTGGTTTTTTTTTTTCGCACAGAAAAAAAAATTACATGGTCAAGCGCGTAATTTTGTGAGTCACACGAAACAAAAATCGGAACAAGCGGCAGCGATGCACCAAAGCACAGCAAACGCCGATCGTGTTTTTTGCTCTCGCTGCTGGTCGTCGTTTTAGGAATGGTTGGAATTTCGCCGAAAGCCAGAAACAACAGAAAAAAAGCAAATACTCACTCTGGTTGGCATAGAGCAGGTTGACCTTGACGTTGTCGTTTGATCGGCGGAACATGTAGTTCGCGACCTGTAGCATGGGGGTGATCCCCGTTCCTCCGGCAATCATGATGAACTGATCGCATTGCTTCGTCACCTTGGGTCTTCCGATTGGTTTCATCCAGTAATTTCCGCCGTTTCCGAGGTATTCCATGTGGCCCTTGGGACCCTTGATGTCGATCGTGTCCCCGATCTTCAGCGAGTCCAGGTGCTGGCTCATTTTTCCGCCGTCGGGGAATTTCGGGTGGACGCCGGCCTTGTAGACCTTCACGACCAGGGCGACCTCCCCGAGGGTCGTGTTGTCGCTGACGGGCGTGTACGAGCGCATGACCTGGGTCTTCTTTCCGGTGTCCTTGTCGGTTTCGTAAAACCGGAGCGAGATGTGCTGCCCGGTGGGCAGGCCGAGGACCGCGTCGGGGGTCGGGAGCCCAAAGACAAACTCCGCCGTGTCGTGCGACAGGACCGTCTTGCGGATGAGCGGAAACGGCTTGAAGTCGTCCAGGGGCAAGACGGTCTTCTTTTTGTTCATCGACACAAAGAGGAATCCCAGCACGAGGGCCACGACGGAGACGATCCCGGCCAGAAGCAGATTGTCGTCGGTAAGCATTTTTCGGTTTGGGCTGTGGCAAGGTGTGGGAGCAAATGCTAGATGGGTTGCACCGGGAGAAACTATTCTTGTCAACGACTGCTGGTCGTTTAGAAACAATAATAACGAGTCTGAGTCTCTGTTCATCGAATCAATCAGTCTGGTGTGTCATACGGCACCGCACCGTACGGTACGGCTCCTTCTCGGAATGCAAATTGAAAATTTCGAACACGTACTCGTGCGATATTTTCCTCGCCCGGCCCGCTTCATCCGCTCGGCACCGTGTTGTCCACGATTTTGAGATTTTTGATGACCTCGCTTTTGGGCTCACCCCGGCATCACCATGTTGATCGAACGAGTCGATCAATTGAGTCACGTATGACTACCAGAATCGAGTATGCTAGATGACTAGTATTGTACCTACGTACGCACTTAATGTACGTAGTGGAGATCCGATTTCTTTTTTGATTTTGACAACTGACATCCGATTTCTGAAGCAGTGAAAATTAGTAGCAGATCTTTCTTCGTGACGCATCTCGACCATGACGGTTACTCACTCAAATTTGAAGCGAGTAGTTTGACCTAGCACAGCAGTCAACGACTTGTCCGATCTCGCAAACACCACGCTTCTCACGGCAAGTCTGCCAATACCAAAAAAAAAGCAATCCCCATGATCTTTTCCAAACGAGCCACCGCCGCGTTGGCGCTTTGCTCGGTGCTGCTGGTGTCCAACTCTCCCCTGGGACGGGCGCTGAGCACAAAGAGCCAGAACCAGAGCCAGAACCAGATCCAAACCCACGGCAGCGGCGTGGACCGGCGCACCGCGATCCAGCGGGCCGGCATCGCCGCGGCGGGGCTCGGGACCGTGACCGGCGGCGGCCTCTTCCTCCCGAACGCCTCGCCGGCGGTGGCCACGGCGGCCGAACCCGCCGCTTCCATTCATCCCGTGGCGACGCTGGCGGACGGATGCAGGTTCCCCCTCGCGTCGTTTGGACTGCAGTGAGTACAGCGTTTGCACCGGCGGGACCGACCGGATCGATTGCGAGGAAGCGCCTTTCTCATCGGTCGCACCGGCGTGCTTCTTTTTTTGTTTTGTTTTGTTTCGTTCCGTTCCGTTCTCTCCCGCTCCGATACTTCCATTCGTGTTTCACGCAACGCCCTTCGCGGGATCGAACCACTCCAGGATCTACGACGACAGCACCGCCTACAAGCTGACCCTCACCGCTCTGGAGTGCGGCTACCGCAATTTCTTTGCCAGCGTCCTGGCCGGAAACCAGAAGGGATTCGCGAGGGCCATCAAGGACTCGAACGTGCCGCGGGAGGACCTGTACATCTGCGGGTCGGTGGTCTCCAACCGGGTCAGCGGCTTCGAGAACGCCAGGCAGGCGACCACGAAAGGTACGGCGGGACAGGCGCAAGCGCCGCACCACGGTGGTTCGAGGGGCATCGTGTCTGCGTGTGCATGGATCCGTTGCGTTCGGTTTTTTTTTTTTTTTTTCCTCAAAGAATATCCCTTCTTTTCTTCGTTTTCCATGTCCAATGTCCATCGGTGGCGTTTTGGTATCGATGCGTGGCGAAAAATCGATCTCTCCTTCCAAGGCTGGAAACGAAACATGGAAGCATTTGGTGTCGGTGGTATTGACTATCTAGATCAAATCATGCTCGATTATCCGGGACCCGGTAAGTGATTCCGTCACCTCGATTGCATCTTCTATTGCTTTCTTTTGGTAAAAAAATGCGACGGATTCCAACATGTTTCGTGTCGTGTCGTTTCGTGTCGCCTGTCGCAGATTGCGAATCCATCCAGGGCCAGTGGACCGCCTTCGAGGAGATGCACGCCCAGAAACTGACAAGGAGCATATCGGTGTCCAACTTCTCGGCGAGGCAGCTCGACTGCGTCCTGGAAAAGGCTAGGGTCAAGCCCGTCGTCAACCAGCTGCCGTACAGCGTCGCCTACCATCCCGGAGACGCGGTCGCCGACAACGCTTCGAGGGGCATCCTGGTGCAGGCCTGGGCGCCCCTCGGTGGATCCCTCGGGGGCCGGTTCGACAAGAACGTCAAGAAGGCCTGCGGGAAGATTGGAAAAAAATACGACAAGTCCTTTGCCCAGGTAGGTGGATTGCTGTTTGCTTGGTTGTGCTTTGTTTTGTTTTGTTTCGGGTGATTTGTGGCGTGCGTGTCCGCTTTGTGACAGCGTTTTCTCACTTGTGTTCCGTCTCGTTTTTAAAATACAGGTTGCCCTTCGCTGGATTGTCCAGAGCGGGGGTAGCTTCACCACCCAGTCCAAGAACAAAGACCATTTTTCAGAAGATCTCAACATTTTTGACTTTGAGTTGACGGAGGAGGAGATGAAAACACTGAACTCTCTCGCGTAAACAGCGAAACCCAGCTGCAACTATTTTTTAGGCACGAAGTCAAACCCTTATTAATAATACTACTGATTAGAGAAGCTCGATAATTTGACAGGGAATGATATTGGGTGTGTTGCAGAAGTGTCATCTGCTTTTCTATGTACTATACTAGTTTTGTCTATTGGTCAGCTCGTCAGTTATGACCACTAGCCTGAAATTCGACAGCCGAATACTATATCTTTTGTCGAGCCTCGTTCCAAGCGCTTTGTACCACTACTCGGAATTTTCGAAATATAACGCGTTTACCAGAATCGATGATCCCAGGAGAAGGCCTTTTTCGTTGGTCGTGGCATTCTCGGGGAAATCGATCTTGTAATAATTGATTTCGTTGAACGTTTCCTTGAATGTTTCCTTTGGTATTTTTGCCATCCTCCCGCTTGGGTTTGAGAGAAAAAGAGAACCCGAAAAACGAATCGAAAACAAAAAGTTAGCAAGAGTCGAACACCAGAACATCGCAAGCACACCATGGGTAGGTCCCTTTTCATCGGTCAACAGAAATAGCTTACATTGGTTTCGTCCCTTCGACGCCGTTTTCGATTGCGTAGACGTCGCAAGGAATCATGCAACAACCATGGGGGCAACACCACTTTCCGTCCGGAAAGCAGTCGATGCACATGTTTCCGCAACTCGTGGGAGGACGAACGACGTAAACTTCCTTCTCGGTTTCGTCGAGTACTCTGAAGCTCGGAACAAAACACCAGCAGGATTCCTGGATGTCCCCCAGGTGCTCGTCTCCGCTAAAGACGGTAGCCTCTTGTCGGCAGCAGCACTTCAAATTTCCCATGCAGCACCGGAAGGGACGGTTCACTTCGAGAAATTCGGAATTGGTTTTTGTGTCTGTTATTGTCATATCGAACGCGTGGCACGGGGCAAAGCAGCAGCGACAGACGAAGGAGAAATCTTCCTTGGACTTGGCAACCGTTTCTCCTTCTTCGTTCATGTATTCAAAGTCCGATTTAGTGATGCAGCAGAAAAATTCCTGCGTCCAGCCCCTGCGATAGTGTTGAATCTCCATTGAGTTGGTTGCTCCGAGGGAGTGCTTCATGCCTTCCGCCGCATCCCCTCGGTCCATGGTTTGAGTTCCTGGCTCCATTCTTTCTACCTTTTGTGATTCCCAAGGATTGCAATGTATTTGTCGTGTGCGATTTGAGAAGATAGCCAAAGATCACTTGCTCAGAACTGTTCTTAGACATGTGAACAGAAGCGGGCGTCGATTCTGGAGCCAAATTCGAGTGTAGAAGAAGACGTCCTACTGTTGTTGGATGCAGATTACCGTGCGTCTCGACAAAATTGAAAAATATGGCCGAATTTCAAGGAACAATCCGCAATCCATGTCAAAATTTATGGGATCAAAATTCTTTGTGGTCATAATTACTTAGTATTTTGTTTCTAGAGCGCATACAAAAACCAAACTAGTCGTGCTGAGAAATTAGATCTGTAACTTAGACTACGGTACGTACTCGTACCAGTAATGGGAGAACCAACAAATGAAAAATGAACTTGTTGTGAGGCCAAATCCCGAGTAGCTAGTGAATGACTTCACTCCTCTATTGTAAACGACCGAAAACAGTAGTATCACTAAAATCGGGGTGTTGCTACTAGTAGCACAGTAGCAAATTAGTAGATTAGTAGAATATCAGAATATCAGCATTGGTTAACTCAGTCCTTTTTGGCAACGTGATGTTCTTGTTCGTCCGATCTTGTTACTGCATTGCATCCAATTGTACATCGGCTTTCTTCTTTTGCTTTTGCTGTCCGTCTCACATACTTAGAGGACGGCTCCTTTACTAACGTGCATTCTTAAGAGTTTTTACCAAAATTGATATCACATGTGATCAACTCAATGATGATTGATTGATGTATGTAACCGAACACTGTCTTGATGATAGTTTATCCTGACGAGAAGCCTTGTTCTACTAGTAGTATTTGTTCAATCTCTCAAGAAAAGCCATTGATGCAGAGTGGACAACAATTCTAGCCTACATGCTAAAGGTCAGATCATGGATATTACACACTATTCCCAATTCACGACAATTTCGGACTGCAGATTATCATTCTGAAATGATCATATGACCTATTGTATGCTGAGTATAAGCAAAGTGAGAAATGGTAGTCGCTAAACAGTTGAACGGAATGCTGGGGATAGGACCCGCGATTTATTTTCTAACTTTAATGTCTTGATGGTCGACTCAGCAGTAAGAAGGAGAACCAAGTATTAGACTTGAAAATCCTTCATTCATATGTAAATAATGAAATTGCATTTGTGATGCTTTTTGTACAAAACTTATTTCGAGCTTCCGTTCGGTTGCACTTTGGAAACCGAGGACTGGTCAAAGAGGCCAACGACCTTTCGTTTCCCTCTGCGTGCCAACCGGTAAAGAAAAAGCGAAGGAAAGACAATTGCATCGGTCACGAACTTGATCATCAACACTCCCGAAAACTTCAGCAATAGCGGTACGACGATGGTGATATTTCTTATAATCGAATTGCTGTTTTTATCGACTTCCTCCTTGTTCGTGGCTCCCGATTCTTCTTTGGAAGCTAGTGGATCCGGCACCGAATCATCCGTGGTCATTCGCAGGTGAGAAAATTGCAAAGGACTTTTCGGTATCGTCGAGAAACTAGGTTGTGATTCCAGCTTGGTTGTTCCTCCGGGGAGAATCCTTCTCGTCGTCGGTCTGGACAGGGAAGAAAAAGATCGTGCTTCCTCGCACCATATAAAGGCGAGAAACAAATATAGAGAGAGCGAATATCGGAACATGGTCGTTGTTGCATGTTTTCCTATTTTTGATCAAACTGTGGTGTTTTGCGGACAAACCGCAAAATCGTTTTGAAAGAATGCTGTATTCGAGTTTTTCATGCCAAACAAAAACCTGTCATCCTGAAACGGGAATGTTCCTCACTGAGTTCAAACATACGTACTATGCACTAACTTTTTGAAAAAGCGTGTCGCAAGATCCGAGTTTTGAAGCCAAGACAGGTTGTGACTTCAACAAAGAAGGCGCGGAACAGAAATAAAAGAAGGTCTGAATTCCGCGCGAATCAAAGAGTAATAATGAAGCTACCTAATCTACATTATAAAGTATGTATCGTAGGGTATGATGATGATCCAATTCCAAGCCAGAAGCCAGCCTATTCAATTTATTGCACGAATACTTATCTTAGTGTCTCAGTTCGCCCAGCGCGCGAACGATTGCTTCGTAGGGTATTTATACTTGCCCAGTAGGTGCCGTACCATGTTCACGACGGAGTGAAACTTTCACTCCGGCCAATCATTTCATTGACAGTACAACTTCGTACACTCTGTACAACAGAACAAAACAGTACAGTATGGTGCGGTTATTTTACTGCTTGCAAACTCGGAATGCCAGCACACAGAAATCAAACAAAAAAGATCACAAGAAAAAGCGATCACAAAGCATGTCAAGCAAGCTCTTTCTTGGTACTCGTACTTCGTTCTATATTCTCCAACGATTTGTTGAGTCCACCGTACACGTAAACCCTAGCTCAGTAAAATCAAAGGAATACAAACAAAGCAATCATATTTCCTTATTAGAGCAAAAAATACCATTGCGCAAATGAGTCATAGTCCGAATTTCTCCTCGGTTGCCGGTTCTCCGAATCGCCCGGCAGCTCCGTTCGACAGCGATGGGGAATCGATTATGGTGAATTCCACGAAGTAAGTACGCGTGGTTTGTGTCAGAGAAGTCGGATTGAATAATTAGAAGATCGGGCTGGCTCTATTGTATGAATCCGCCCAAGGAACTCGGCTAAGCTTCTTACTTTCGATTGCTTTGCAGGTCAGATTTTTTGGAGCAAAGCAACGACTTCATCAGCCATCTCTCCAGCGCATCTTGGATTGCAATAGACGAAGAAATGACCGGAATTCAGTTGCCTCCCGGAGAATCCAAGGGGATCTCCAAACAAGACACACCTGCCGATCGGTACCCTACCTTAAAGCAGGTGCCTGAGCGATATTCCATCATTCAGTTTGGCATTTGTTTGTTCGAACACAAATCTTCTTCGGAAACTGAGACTTCCGATGCCGCTTCGTTTCACGTCCGAAGATACAAATTCACACTTTTTCCTCCGGATGAAAGAACTTCTAGAGAGATCACGCTCAGTCCATCGAGCATCCACTTCTTGTTGCAAAACAACATGGACCTGAACTTGTGGGCGCGAGAGGGAGTCCCCTTTTGCACACAAGACGGAGCCGCACGATTCGTTGAGAAATTTCTGAAGCACCACGAAGAGGTCGAAAGTGCATCCAATACCACGCCAGCGAAACCACACCGCAAGGTAGTTCTGACAAAAGACGACGATAAGGAATTCCACGCAAGAGTCATGTCTAGTTTGCGGGAGTGGCTGGACGCACCCATACCCGGTGCAGGCACACAAGGGGCAGAAGGCATTAGTTTCTTGCTCCCGAGATGCAATTCCTTTTTGCGCCGGTCGCTTTACGAGTCTATTGAACGAGACTATCCTTACCTGATATTAGAACGTCATAACAACGATCAAATCCGTGTCTGGAGGTGCACCAGCGAAGAGAGGGCGAGGCGTAACCAGCGCTTGTTGGTAGAAGGGTACAGCAAATTGGTGCAAGAAAAAATTGGTGCGCAACGTATCTTTCTGGCCCTGACAAAGGCATGCAGCGGCGAGCCGATTCGTACCAGAACAGAGCACATAATTTTGGCGCCCGATGCAAACGAGGCTGTAATGGATTTTAGTCCGGGAAAACGTCTCTCGAACCGAAAGATTCCCCTCGTCGTGCACAATGGGTTGATGGACATCCTGTTTCTCATGACGCACTTCCATGCGCCAAAACTCCCCGAGACCTGGAGGGACTGCAAAAGTCTGGTCCATTCGTATTTCCCGTTGATCTACGACACAAAAATCATGGCCCTGGATTACTGTTCGTCAACGGGTCGCACGCGTCTTGACGATGTTTACGAACAGGCGGTCGCAAGCCACCCGCACTGGAAAAACCGCATATTCAGTCTCAATGGACAAGCCCAACTCGACAAACAGTCCCACGATGCCGCGTACGATGCCTACATGACGGGGGTCGCCTTTTGTGCACTTTCGTACGGTATACAAGACGAGTGCAAAATTCCCCCGGTTGACGCAAGCTCCGAGTTTGCACTCTGGGATTGCAGCACCGAAGACTTTAGCTTTTCTAGAAGCATGTACGGGAGGAACAAACTCTACTTTCATTTATCGCCGTATACGATCGACCTCGAGTCTCCCGAGCTGGATCCGCTCGGAAGGGGAATGTCCCACGAATCTACGTTTCTCGTGTCCGACATTGACCCATCTGTCTCGTCGAGGGATATTGCCAACTGTCTCTCCCGACTGTACGATTCGAGCAACCAGCGGGTCAACTTTGATGTCATTTGGGTGAACGACACCACGTTTATCGTCGGCGCACAAATTGTGAGCCTGATCGAGGACCCCGAACGATTCGAAGAACACGGGTGGTTGATTCTTGAAGCTCTGAGAAACCGATTCAACAAGAACGAAACAATAAAGTCGCTTCGTTCCGTCACCGAGAAAGCTCCGAACACGATTTGGAATCTCTGGGGACTCTTGGGAAACAGCAGCAAGAGCGGCGAGGAAAGCAGTGAATCGGAAGGAGATCCTCGGCCGCGAAAGAGAGCACGCCGCTCGTAGGAGGACTTTCGGAGATGGTTGTTTGCTTCGGACGATGAAACTTTTTGAAGTTTTGCCTTTCGGACGAGCTAAGTCGTCATGTCGCTCGATTGCTCACCGGCTAATCACTGATCGAAATGATGAACGAGGATCATAGCTTGTTTGTCGTTATAGTATACGATACTTTCAGCCCAAAAAATATCCTCTAAATTTAAGATTGGTGGGATCGCTCGAAAGGTGTGTGTTGAAATTTCAACAGAAACTAGGCTGAAACGGTATGTGATGTCTGCTTACTTACAAAAGTAATAGAATGGATTTTGTTGTACTGCTATCAAAAATAGAGTAATGCAACCATTTGAAAACTAGGAATAGGGTACCAAACTCTCCTTGCTACTGCACGATCGAGTTACCGGCTTGAGACGTAACATACGGTTTGTACAACTGTATCGTACACGTCTTAATAAAAATGAAACGGTAGGTACGTACTTACGGTAATTGGAGAAAAAGAATTTTTGGAAAAGTGTCGCAGTGGTGGTGCGATCCAATCGAATCCTCGCAGATTAGATGTTGCGCCGTACAAGCACGCACGGGTGCACAGTTTCCTGCTGTGCGTGCGGTACAATATTTAAAAATTATTTTTTGACTGACGGCATTATTTAGAAATTGTACGGTTTGTAACGTAGAATAAAGTACTGTCACGAAACTACTTTTCCGATCCGTTGCGTTGATGGAGGCATTTGCATCCCGTGCGCGCTGTTAGCTCTCGCACGGAAGATAAGGAGAACGGGTTGGTTTCGTGGAGTTACCGTGCTGAGAATACACAACGGACATACGACAACTACGAGTTCGTACGAATTCGTACGAGTTCGTATTCGTAGAAATAATACTCACGGACATTATGGCTCCCGTCACACATTTTCTTTTGTGTGGTACCATTACTTCTAGTATCCCTTGGTAACATTCAAGAATAAAGCAAGCAATATAAAGATGGGTTGGTTCGACTGGATGTACAGCGCTCTTGCGAGCTTAGGTATGTCTTCAGGGTGCAAACGATCGATTGGAAGAGAAACGTAATTGCTGGGGCAGTCTTTTTTTGGTTGGCGAGTACCAAACGTGCAACGACGAAGGACACGTGGTTCGTCAATGGTTCAGCCGCAATCTTGTTCCTGCCGCACTGAATCAGAAAATTCGATAGCTCAGTGTTTGATGGAAGGCCAAGGAGCTTGCGGCAATGTCTGACTCGTGCAGGGATGAATTCTGTACGCTTTTGCAACGTCGACGGGAGAACTGGTCATCTCCGATCGGAGTTTTCCCTGTAGAAATAGGAAAGGTCGCGCGATGCATGCCATCCCAAGCCATCTACTGGATGCCATACCACACCACTCCGAAACGATGCCCCAAGTGGTTCCTAACCAATTTGTTTCTTGTGTCCGTTCCCGTTTCATCTCCCCGCAGGTCTCTATCACAAGAATGCCAAGATTTTGTTTCTCGGCCTGGACAATGCGGGAAAAACGACGCTGCTCCACATGCTGAAAGAGAACCGGGTGCAGGTCCACGTGCCCACGCTGCATCCCAACACGGACGAGCTGATCATTGGCAACATTAAATTCAAGACCTTTGACCTCGGGGGCCACGAGACGGCCCGCCGCCTGTGGCAGGACTACTTCACCACGGTCGACGGGGTCGTCTACATCGTCGACGCCATCGACCGGGGACGCTTTCCCGAGGCCAAGCAGGAGCTGGACGCCCTGCTGACCACCGAGGAGCTCCAGGACGTTCCCTTTTTGGTCCTCGGAAACAAGATCGACATGCCCAGCGCCGCCAGCGAGGAGGAACTGAAATACGAGCTCGGGCTGATGGACACGTACGGGAAAGACAAGGGACCCGACGGTTCCGGAGCCCGCCCCATCGAGCTCTACATGTGCTCCGTGGTGCGACGAATGGGATACGCCGATGGATTCAAGTGGTTGTCTCAGTTTTTGTCGTAAGCGATCGGACTTGACTCGACTCGACTTGACTTGGTTTCCTTTGCTTTCATTCAGCCCGTCGAAACGAAACCCTCGAACGTGCGGTACGAATGCATTTTTGGTGTGGTGGTTTGGAGGGATTGGACAGCAATCGCACGGTGTCTGGAGGCAGGCTGCAACTATGTATAGACGACAAAAGTGAAAATAAACAAAACGTGGGCTGTGTTGGAGAAAAGTTTTCGTGCTTTTTGTGTGGTGTTCTTTCGCGTATCTTTCGTTCCGGTATTTTTTCATGCTATTCCCGTTGCTACCGGCTGTCCTTGAAATTAGAGAAGGAGCACACCAGGGCAACAACAAGCAAGAAACGTGGTGTGTAGTTGTTCCATTCCTTCTTTCATTCACTCGTACAGTGCTGCATACATTCATACACATATACACACCCCTCTTGCATCTCTACAGAGAACGTCTCGGACACAACAAATTACTACTATCATTAATGCATCTTCCCGTTCACGACACCGAAAGTTTCGGAGAAACGATAAACATAGACCTCACATTCAACTGTTACGAAATAGTTTTCCTATACGGCGGTTTTGTGTGTTTTTGTAGCGTGCAGGAGAGTCGAGAATGGATAATTTAGATTTCCCATCAGGCGTAGTAGCGAGTCCACCAAATCCGGTGCCACTATGAACCTGCCACACGTGGATGTACTCTAGCGGCAGTGCGGCGTGAGTCAATCAGAAACCAGATCCGTTCTTTGGTGCGGTGCCAAAGCACAACCCAATCACAACAAGACGTAATCCTCTTCGTCGCTGAGCTCGTCCCTTTTCGGATCGCCAAACCCGCCGCCGTCGAAGCCGTCCAGGTCGATGTCGCCGTCGACGTCAACGTCGCAGTCGCCTTGCAGCTCGGACAACATGTAGTCCGGAACCTTGTCGACAAAGGACACCAGCTGCTGGTGGGTGCCACCGGGAATGTCTCTCGACAGGGCCTCCTGCAGGTCCAGGAAATCCCTTCGATCGCGGCAATAAAACCCGAGGGCCACGGACGGATCCATCCGGTTCAGGTCCAGGACGTCCGGGTACGGTGTGTGTACCGACGCCAGGTACTCGTGCGTCAGATCGATCGAGGACTCGAATCCCCCGTCAATGGCGGTTGTGGTTGCTCCTCCTGTGCGTTCCTTCCTACGGGGTGCCTCTTGCACCGTGTGGGGATCCAGGCCTGGGCGTGGTTCGTTTTGGGGCGTGCCGTCGGTTCACGGAGAGATACGAGAAAAATGTTGGAATGAGCACTGCACAAACGATCATGCAAACGAAAAAAGGAAAATGCTCTACAAGCAACCAACCGCGACACAATAAAACGCAACACAACGCAACGCACCCAGCACCTTGGATCCGTCGGCGTAGGCCCCGTAAAACCACCGGGCTCCGCGGGGCCGCCCGCCCAGTATCCCCACCGACTGTGGCAGGGCAAACGACCGGGCGACGCCCCTCGCGAAGGACTCGTGGATCGAGTCCTTTCCCAGGCGGTGCGGGACCAGCAGCAGCAGGCCCGCGTCCCACTCCAGGTCCCCGGGGTCGGGCTCGTCGTCCGGCCCCCTTGAGAGGCAGGAGGGGTCCAGCGGGTGCAGCGGCTCCGCGGGAACCGCCGTTTCGTGGTCGTGGTCGTGATCGTGGTCGTGATCGTTGTCGCCGTCGCTCCCCTCCCGCCGGCGCCTCTTGGTTGCGGCGGAGGCCTCTCTCGTCATGAGCCGGTAGACCAGGTCCTTGTAGACGGTTCCCTCCGACGAAACGTGGACGCGAAAGAGGTTGGGCTGCTGCTTCTGTCGGTGCAGGCCGACCAGATCCCTCACCACGTGGCAGGCGGTCCCCGGCCCGTACCAGTCTCCCGGGAGGACCTGGTAGCCCGCCATGCCGGCGGCGCACATGTTGTGCAGCGAGTAGAAGGACTCGTTCCCGGAGGGAAAATCGGCGAACCACGTCAGGAGCCGGGCGACAAAGGCGTCGTTCCGGGCTACCGAGGTCGAGGGATCCGGCCTCCAGTGCCGGGACTTGAAGTGCATCCGCAGGGCCTGGGAGAGCATCATCTGGGCCGACCGCAGCATGCAGCCCCAGCCGGCATCGGTCGAGATGGAGTTGAGTTGCGGGAACCCGTAGCGGTAGGTCCACCAGAAGAGGGAGGCCTCGTATTGCTTCCGCTCGTCGTAGTCGTAGACGGGGTGGTACCGCCTCCCGAGCGAGTAGACAAAGGGGATGCGTTCCCGCTCGTGGTTCTTGGTCGGGACCGTGGTGTAGATCGAGTCTTCGGCTTCGGCGTCCTCCGCGGAGGCGTCCGGGTTGGACTCGTCGTAAAAGTACTCGTACCGAGGATTGTTCCTCGCGAGCTCCTGCTGCAGTGCCATTGTGGATGGGTGGCTGGGTGGGTGGTCTCGTTCTCGGACTCCTCGGACAGCAGTTCGATTGGTGTCTGGAAGGGATCGGGAGACGATGGCAATGGCAATGGCAATGGCAATGGTGTCGTTCTGCAGACTGATCAAGTCGAGCCAATCGTGATGTTGTCGCTTCTCGCCATGCCAACGGATAAAAAGAAACAAAATCCATCAGAAGAACAAAAAACGAAGCTACAGTACGATACTCGTACCACGGTACGAGTACGAGTACGAGTACCCTACTGCATGCAGTCACTATTCATGCGTTACAGGGAACAAATGAAAATCGAAACAAGGCGTCAACGTCGAAAAAAACCAGTTGTACCGATCGTACGGTACGCTACGGCGGTACTACGATACTACGACATTTTATTTACGACTCGGTACGTAAGGTATGGTACAGGGTTATTTTTTCTCGAAAGACCCTCGTTGTGACTTTCTTTGTGCGACGCGAACAAAAAAGGGTCGGGGAATCACAACACGTCTGTTGGAGGGGTTCTCTAGCGGCCCGTCATGAAATCCCCCAAAGGCCACCACTGCCATTGGCATTTCTACTGCAAGGAATACTATGCACGGGACCAAACTTTTACTAGTAGTATTTTTTCCTACTAGGCTCTATTACATTACAAGAACACCACCAGCAACTAGACCGAGCGCGACTGCTGCAAGAGAATACAAGTGGCAGAACTTGTGCTTGTCGTGTGCTGTGAAACGGATTATATTTTCTTAACCTCGCCGTCTTCTCCAATGACAAAGTTGCCGGGCTCGTTCAGGATGTATTCCCTCGTTTCGTGCTTTGCCATCGTGTACCCCCGAATGGACACGTTCTCGGGGTAGTCGGTCCCGGCCTCGTTCTCGACCAGTTCCCAGCCCTTGTTTTCCACCTTGAGGCCGTCAACGGTGACGTGCGTTTCGTCGCCGCACTTGATGACCAGGGCCCCGTCCAGCTCGAGGTTCTCGATGGTCAGGTGGTGGCCCTCCAGCACCATGGAGGACCGCGCCGAGACGGTGTTGCTTTCTCCCCTGACTTTTTCCAGGAGTTCCTCCCGCGAGATGGCAAAGGACGGGGCGAGGACGATGCGGGGGCCCGGGGCCGTCACCGGGATGCCGGCCACGGGCACCAGGTCGTCCGGGACGCTCGTCACGGGCAGGTCGACGCCGGCGTATTTCAGCTTTCGCTGGTTCTGGATGTACTTGTCGGATTCCGCCGAGGACATCGTGCCGGGCGCGGTGCTGCCCTTTTCGGCGGCTTCGACGCCGGACTCGAGGGAATTCTAAAAGAAGAGCCACAAACAACGAAAAATCGAAGGGTAAGAAATTGACCGACAAATTGCACAAAATGGAAACGAGGCTACGGTTGAGCCTTTCCTCTTTCTTCGATCAGTCGTGCGTACCTTTGCTGGTGAGAACGTGAACCACCGATCGAGCATGGTGAATCCAATGTTGACGTCGCTCCCGAGCTCCTTCTGAAAGAGCTTCGGAATGTCCTGCATCATGCATTCCAATCGTGTGGGCTTCTTGAAATCCGTTCTGGTTTCGTCCTTGTACTTAGGATTCACAAACTCGAGGACCACGCCCTGGTCCTCTCCGCGCAGGGTTTTTGCGTACGCACCGAGGGCGATCACCAGGTTGTTCGCGTTTCCGGGATAGGGGGAGTATCCGGTGTCTGGATCGGCAACGTCGCCCTTGCAATCGCCCTGCGATCGGAGCAGAGGATCCAATTGGTTGTATTCAACGTTGATCACCAGGCTTTTTGATGGATCGGATTTGTGCCTGTGGAAGGAATGCATAGGAAACGACGATGAGACGCGGTGCGATACAAACAACGATACAAACAAACAATCCCGGCAACGCCGTCTTCGTCTCCTTCGGACTTACTCGAGACGGGCAATGGCACCCGCGGCTTCACCCGCCAGCCTGGGGATGCAAATGCTGTTCATGTCGAATCCTTTCGATATGCTGACTCCCAACACGGGGATGACACTGTTGATGACGAGCTCGTTGGTGTCCTGCAAGAACACCACGTGGGTTCTTCCCTCTTTCTCCCATTGGTCGACCAACCCTTCCCTGTACAGCAAGTGGTGGACGTCTCCGTGCCCGTGCGGCTTGGTCTGGACCGTCCAGCGGTCGTCGTCGTCGAGAGCGAGTGCGGCATTGTTGTTGTTCAGGGCCGGGACCTTGTCCTGCATGACAATCGTCACCATGTCCTCGTCCATCCCGAAATAATCGTTCGCTTTCAAGAGGTCCCGCGTTGGCTGATCCGTGTCGCCAGACGTCATGATGACGAGGGGAAGTCGGATGTCGTCGTTGCCGGTCTTCTTTCGTGCCAGGTTTTGTGCCGCCTGGATGTATTTGATGTACACCTCGAGGTAGCATTCTTCCGTGCAGAGGTTGGTCTCCAGGCTCAGCTTGATGCCGGAGTATCCCAGGCGCTCGCCGAGACCCCCGGCAACGAGCACAAAGGCGGCGCCGGCAATGCCCTCCATGCCGATTTTCTCGGCCTCGGAAAACGACATGGTTCCCTCGCCGTCGAAGCTCAGCGTTTCGCCCTCCGAGACGACGGCTTCGAATTCCTCGAAGGGATTCGTGCCGTCGGCGCTCTCTTTCAGGAGAGCCCTGGCCTTGGAGGTGTACGCCGCCAGGCCGCCCGGGTAGGATCCGTCCAGGTCGGCGAGCTGCACGACGCGGACCACCAAAGAACAAGGGGGCCAACCGGTACAACAAAAACAACGTGAGACCCGGTCGGTTCATCCTTTTGCGCGGAGGATGGCAACAGCGGGAACGCCGTGCGGAAAAAAGCAAACCACACGTACCTGCTCTGCGAGACGCTTTTTCCCGTCGTCGTCGGTCCCGGCCGCGGGCCAGTCCGCGTATACGTGGCTCTGGAATCCATCGACGTCGTGCTCGACCAGGGTGAGGATTGCCTTTCGGCCCCGTTCCGACAAAAGGTCGAGGTTTTCCGCGGAGATCGCCCCGATCGCGGTGGAGCTGCTCGTGCTGTCCACGGAGGAGTTGAGTTTTGTGGACTCGGAAATGGCACCACCCGACACAAAGGGGATTCGACCGTTGCCCACCGACGACCACCCGCGCTGGACGCTTCTGGGGCTGTTGGCGGCGAAGGACGACGCCGAGGCGTTGAGCAACAGCAGGGAGAAGGCCGCTGTGAAATGAAACTTCATGGTTCGGTATCGATGGTTTGTTTGTCGTGTCGTGTCGTATCGTATCGTATCGCGCTCGATGCTACAATCCCGGTGAGATTCGTGCTTCGATGGTATCTCCGTGATCCGATGCCGTACGTAGTGGGGCAAACGCGCTTTTTGGTGATAAGATTCGCTCAATAGCGTTCTCGCGATGGACGACGGGCTTTTCGACCGAGATAGGAAACAAAGACGTTTGTGATGGAAACACGTTTTTGTTGAAGTTCGTATGTATGTAGGCTAGTAATTACCGTAACGTATCCTAATAGGGTACAAACCATAATCAAATGAAGAAACGACAAAACATGAAACCATAAACCATATGTATTTGAAGGTATGACCCCTATGTACGCTTCCTACCTATTGGAACAGTACGGAAGGATGGAAATAGAAAATGCAAAATGCTACAATGAACTTGTAATCGAACAAACATTCTCTAGAGGAGAAAAAAAATCATAAATTTCAATGAAAGTGCACCAAGAGTGGAAAATAGTAAGATGGTCCACTCTTTCCAAAAGACTGTTCGGAAAGAGGACGAGAGCAACAAGAACGTGGATCCATCCGCCACTAGTGGTAGCCAAATCTCTTGTTCTGCCACGCCAAGAGATAAAGGATTGGTTGAATCAACCACGGCATGAACTGGCAACAAACAGCAGCCCGCCCTCGCATCACGGCGGTCCGTCGTGGGTCTTGGCCCACGAGGCGATCCTTCCCGTCCCGGCGCAGGCCTTGCAGCCCACCAGCCCGTCCTCGCAGAGGATGCAGGCGCGAATCTCGTCCCCGAAGAAAACGGTCCCCCTGCCGCTGCAAAAGGGGCAGACGACCCTCCCGGTGCCCGCGCACTCGGCGCACGCGTCGGTGCAGGTGTCCTCGTCGACGGCGCAGTCGTCGATCTGCCAGTTCATTTCCATGTGCAGCCGGGATTTTTCGATCGACCGCTCCGATCGGCGGACGTAGGCCTCCCGTGGTTCCAGCTCGCCGAGCTCCTCGCCAGGATCCCGATAGTCGGCGTCAGGAGTGCGCGCCTCGCTGGGCGCTTCGTTTTCGTCGTCGTCGTCTGCGAACCCGGGCATTTTGCTCCAATCGATATCGCACTCCTCCTCGTCCGGACACTCCGGATCGTCCGAATCGGTGACCGACGAGGACTCGGCGGGCTCGTTTTGTTGTTGTTGTTGTTGCTGTTGCTGTTGCTGTTCGTCGTCGTCGTCGTCCGCGAACCCTGGCATTTTGCTCCAGTCGATCTCGCACTCCTCTTCATCGGGGCACTCTTCGTCGCCGGGATCCGCGGTCGTTTCGATCGCGGCCCCTGCGGCAACGCCCGCGTCCTGGTGGTTCTCGCTGTCGCCGTCGCTGTCGTCGAATCCCGGCATCGAGTCCCAGTCGATCTCGCATTCCTCTTCGTTCGGGCACTCGAGCTCGTCCTCGAAAAAAATGCCGGGGCGGTCGGACCCGGCGAGGGCGACCGATCCGGGATTCCTTCCCCCGGCCGGGAGAATCGTCGGTGGAAGGACCCACGACGAGACCACCCGGCACGAGACGAGCAGTGCGCCAAAGGCGGTGGCGATGGACGCGTGGGGACTTGCAACAGACAACAGCATCGTGTCGTGATTTGGTGGTGATCGTTTGTTTCTCCGAATCGAAGGCCAGCAACGATGGATTGCCTTGCATTCAAACAGGAATCAATGGCCGTAAGATTTTCTCAAAAACAAGGTGCAATGCTGTGCGAGTTCCTGAAATTCAATTGCGGCGACAAGAAGTTATCGGCAACCGGTGGGAGAAACGATGGATTGGGTCGTCCATAAATCTGGCGGGGGGTTCAGTTTCTCTTTTTCGAGATGTTCGGCAGATGATTTTTGATCCTTCTGTTCCTTGGTCGGGTTCCACCAGATGGCGAATGCGGAATGCCGGGAACAAACCAATCAAATCCATCATTTTCTTGAAAACAAATCCTTTTGGGACAGGAAAAGTCCCTCATAAAATTATGGGATTTAGGATAGCACGATGCAGGCTCGTATTAACCCGAAAGGTAGAAGACCTACTAGAACCGCCAAGTGGGCGCTTCAAAAGTTCGCACAAAGTGCAAGTACGACTCGTACGAAGCACGATATCGCGTGACTGGTAGTAGCCCTGTTTTGAAAAAGAACATTTCGCTCATACTGCAGTAGTAATTAGCCATACATCCATTACAGTTGTTGTAGTGAGTTACGAAAATCACTGATGCCCGAAACCATCGAAAAGCAGTAGTACGGTTATGGGACATACCATCGATTAAGTGGTCTGCAAAGAGGCCACAGAGCACGAAGTAGCAAGAGGAGCATTATTCTGCTAAGGAGCCGTGGAGACCGTGAAAGCACGCGGAGTCCTCTCGCTTTCATCGAGCAGCTGAGTGGAAAAAACACGCAAGCATTATCTTTTGAATGGCAAAGATTTCCAAACGCCAACCGATGCACCGTACTGTAACGACGAAACCGGAAGAAATCCACCAAACCAAGATCGTCTCGAACGGCACGTTCGGGCATTGGGGTTGGAGTCATCGTTGACTTTCGAACTCTCGTGATTCACATGATTCATGCATACCAGCAGACTTTTCTACTCTACTACTAGATTCATTTTCTAATTTTGTGACGCATACGATTGGACTAAAGCTATGGGAAGGGAAGAGCAATTGCTAGTGTCGTCTACCAGCCACGCCACACCATTGCGAGATATCGAGGGGCCGGCGAATCGCCGAACGATGGCACAGAAACCACGCACCAAGGGCAGGAACCATCGGAATCGCCATCGCCGTGCGAAGAAACGAAGGATGCGGTATGTTGCATCCGAATTCCGACCGAAACTGGATCGAGGCACATTGCAACCCCGTCCCGTGATCGGCCGAGGGAATGGATCGATGGATGGATTCCGGGCCCCGAGCCCAGCCATCGCGTCGCGCGCGACGTGCAGCACACCACCCCGCCACGCACGGTGCCGATGCCAGCTCGTTCGTTCGTTCGTTCCCGTGCGAAATCGCACCGCACCGCACCGAGCGTTGTCGCTCGCTCCGAACCGCTTTGTGTGTCTCCTGGTGTTCGGTTCATTCCGTGTCCGGCAGCAGGGCGAGCAGCATGTCCCGGAGGTCGTCCCGGCCGAGTCCCCGGCGTCCGCTCAGAACCGTGACCTCGTCGGCCCCGGCGGACAGCTCCTCCAGGGAGGCGCCCGCAGGTGGGGGCCGGTCGAACCAGAGGATCGCCGAGGGCTCCCGCACGTGGCCAAATACGGACCACAGCGGGTCGTCCATGCCGCCTCCGCCGTCCCCGTAGACCGCGAAACGGTCCGGGCCCTTGCGCGAAAGGATGGTCGCGCGGTCCTCCTCGAGGAGCTCCCGGACCGAGTCGGGTTGGCCCGTGTTCACCAGGACGGCCGCCCCGTACCGCTTGGAGCGCTTGTCGAGCGTCCGGTAGGGCCGGCAGCAGTCCAGGCAGCCGCTGCGATGGGCCTCGGGCAGGACATTGCACGTGGCGCAGGCCAGCTGCGGGGGGTCGAAGCCGGACCGCCGGCACCCCTCGAGGTACTCCCGCGCCGGGATCGGCGGCCGGCCGGGTCCGCGTTGCGTGTTTCCGCTTCCGCCGGCACGTTCGCCGTCTTCCACCGGGGGGTGGAAGGTCGGCACGTCGGCGAGCGCCGTGGTGCCCGAGCGGAAGAGCCCCCCGAGGAAGACCGCCCTGAGTCCGCCGGAGGCGAGCGCCACCGCCAGTGCCAGCGCTGCGTTCCGTGGAACCGTCGTTTTCATGTTTGCCTGCGGTGGAGTGGGTCGTCTTTTGGATGGGAAGGCAACGAAGTATCCTCCTGTGTGCCTATGGTAGGTGTAGGTCTGGTGTGGTAAGCATTGTGGTGTTGCGGTGTTTGGTAGGTGTGGACGGTACTTGTACGTACCAGAATGGACGATGTGCCGATTTGTACATCCTGTGTTGACTAGTTGCCGCATGTTCTCCCAAAGTACTACTATAGTTTCAAAGTAGGGCTCTGGTACTTTATTTGCCTATGGTAGTACCTCCAGGTATGAAAAAAAAGAAAATACCGAACACAGAACGTATCTTATTTCATATTTCTGTACTGTTTACAACTACTGTTATGACAGGAAGTGAAAAGAATACAAGGTTGATGTTAACGATATGTCTGTACATGTATGTAGATTATGTGCATTGCTACGATTGCCCCCCCGGAGCACAAGATTGCGGACAAATAGTGCCGGGGGGATCGCGATGTTTTTCCGTCCCCGACGCGCCATCTCGGTTGCGGTTCCGTTCACCGCAAAACAATCCATCGAACAACCCATCTTCTGTCGCTTCCCTTTCCTATTCAAGAGAGAATCGTCTGCGGACTCGTCTTTCGTTCGCCTCGCCTAGAACTAGACTTTTTCGGATTCATCGATGCCTCCTGTGTTCGTATGTTTGGCTTCGGCATTTTCGGCTTTGATTCGTTCGTATCCAAACCATCCGAAGATTGCGTCAGCACCTTTCTTCTTTGGCTCGACGGATGGATTCTCACAAAAACTCTCCAATTCTTCGACGAGTCCCTTTCTCGTTTTTGCCGTAGCCTTTTCGGACGACATCATCCGCCAAAAGCAACATCCGCTGATTCCCGCCGTCATGATATCGGCAAGGTCGGTGTAGCCGTCGTACAGCATTTCGGAACGTGTCTCGTTGTCGACGTGGTAAACTTCGTCCTTGATTTTCCTGACGTAGCGAAGGGATCTGCCGTTTTTGTCGCCATCGGTGTCTTCTTTCTTTCCCATTTCCTCTCTTGTTCCTACGCCGGTCATGAGGAGATTCATGTCGCACTCGATGTTTTCAAACGCCATCACGAGACTCTGGGGGGGCGACAGCGCCGACCTGGCGTCCTTGGATTTTTCAAAGGCGGCCTCGATGTAATCGCGGATTTTCGTGTTCTTGTCCTTCATGTCTTGGCTGAGGGACGAATCGTTGTCAGGGAGAATCCGGAGGAGATAGTTGATGTCGTCCAGCACTTTTTTCATCTCGTCCGCAACAATCTTGTGCTGCTCCGATTTCCTCTCGTACTGCAGGGCCTTGCCGAGATTGGTAATGATGAGAAGGACGGCACCGACCAGCGTGTCGGCGAGGGTCCTCCAGAGGTCCAAGTGTTTCTTTATCGCCTCCTCCTGCAAGTCATCGGCGATGATGTCCTCGGTCGTGATGTTGGTGAATACTTCCGCGAGCGCGACGTCGTCGTACAATACTAGGCCGTTCGGCACGTCGTTGTCTTTGTAGTCGGTGACCAGCATGAAGAGAGGCGACGACAGGGTTGCCCACACTGCTAGGATCTGGATGGGAATGAAAATCAGATAGGTGTGCATTCTAGAATAATATCGTTCCGCGATGAAATTGATGAGGTATTTTTTGAGGATGATCAATCTGATCTTCGTCATGAAGTCCCTCACGTTTTTGTTTGTGTCCGTGTCCGTGTCCGACATGATGTCAAGGCGTCCAACCGAGAGGCTTCGTTTACGATGGCAAAGTCACGTGGCGTTTTCCCTGTCTTCGAGAAAGAAAAGAATGGAACAGCTGTGATCAGAGACAGAACAGTCGCGTCTAGGATACTGTCACTGAATTGGTCCTCTGGGAGGAAAAACTTTGTTTCGATTACAGTCTTGCAATCGATGAAAGATACTGTAATGAGAGCAAAATCGATCTCTTATGCCTTGGCCTTTGGTTCAAGCGCACATTATACCCCGCCAAGAGAAAACTTACAAGCTGCATGATATAGCCGACGAGAGAGTGTCGGGTGTGGCGCGTGAAAAATCTTTCCGCGTGGTTTGATACATTAGTAAAATACTGTCACAGGCTTACACCGTAATGTCGGTACATAAACATAAGAAAAAATCTTTCGAGAACTCGGGGAAAAAATGAAGAATCAATCAATCAGTAGTAAGAATTTTAAATCTTGGATGTCACAAATAAATCTGGCAAGTCGCCTTCGCCTTCTTCCGTTGTGTCCGTTGTACCGGTAGTATTACGAGCTTGAGGGTCTTGTCGAGGCATAGTAACAACAAAAAAGGCCATCTGCAAGCCTGAACGGTTTACGACAACACGCAAACCTGATTTTAAATTTTTATTTGACTACGGTACTACTTCGTACGATCCAGTACTAGGATCTACGAGGAGCCTAATCAGAACTGAAGAATTCACACCGGTTAACGCGTATTAACACTGTGACAATAGATACAGGAAATAACATAATTTTTCATTTTTACACCCCCAAAAAAATCATGTTACTTCTCTAGTAGATTAGTGACTGGATCAATGCAAGTGAGGGCATTGACTACCAATACTATCTTGTCTAGCAAGACCACTTTCCAAGGGCCTATGAAGTCGACAAAGAGGACCTCCTCCTCATTCCATGGCATGAGATGAGGGACCTTCTTCTCTCAGGCAGGGGGCGGGAAGCTGACAGTATCCTTGACCCTGCTGTTTAAACCGATGGAAATCTTCAGGGCATTGATACTCCTTGCACTTCTGGCTGAGTCTAGGGGCATAGAATCTAGCACTCATTGTGTTGTTTAGATGTGCTGCTCCATAGTGCCCAAACAGGAGATGATACCATCCTCAGAGTGTTCTGTCTACTACTACTAGACCAATGGGTAGATAGATTTTCCAAGTGTTGTTGTCTGTGGAATTCCTCCTTTCAGTAGTAAGTATTACGGTGAGTAATTCAAAGGTTCCCGTTTTCCTTTTCACATACTAGTTTGTTGGGTTTGATTGGTGTCTGAGCTGACATTGAGGGTCAGTTAGCTGATAGACATAGATGGATTTGCATGTGAGTGGATTGTTCATTTCTGAGACTGGAGGTAGATTGAGTAGGCACTCTTATAGTTCTGGCTCCAAGTAAAAGATGTCTTCAGTATCAATGAGGGCTGTTGTTCCTTAGTAAAGTCCACCACACCAGTTCCCTTGTTTTGCTCATACATTTTTCTTTCTTGTTGGCACTCTAGAGAAACAATCTGCAAGTACATTTTGGTTGCCAGGGATATATTTCCAGGTTAGGTCAAAGTCTTCAATTTCTACTAGTCTCTATCTGAGGGCACAGGATTGAGACAAGGTTTTGAATGTAAGATTCTTATGGTTGGTGTATATATTCAGCTGGCCTCTGTATAGCATGTTTCAGTATTCCTTGATGCAAAGGATGATCACTGCAAGGAGTTCTTTTTCCATAGAATAATTCCTCTGGGTCTTGTTCAGCTGGGACTTGCTCAGCTTTTTGGACCAGTAGGCTACTATTGGTTGCTGAGCCTGAAGAATAGCTGTACCAAGCTGATAATCAGATGCATCAGTGTAAATGTCAAAGGGGAGATTCAAATCTGGGAAGATCTTGATAGCATCAAGAGCTTCTAGGGCCTTCATCTCTTTGAAAGCCTTATCACAGGCAGGGGTCCATATATAGGCTGTGAGTGGGCTTAGTACATGGGACTTCCAGGGCCACATGGACTTGTAGTATTTTACAGCACCAGTCCAAGAAGGACCAAACACACTCTTGGTTCCATGGAACTCCCATTTTCAGGATGCTGTCTGCCTTCCTTTGCCAAGGCTTGACAACAACTGGTGTGAGCCAATAGCCCAGAAAATCAGACTCCTTTACAGCCCATTCACATTTGAGTGGGTTGCATTTCATGTTATTTTCCACTAGTAAGCGCTGAAGGATTGGATCCACTAGTGCTAGGTGTTTTGCAAAGGGGCCCCAAGTCCAGACATCCATATCATCAATGTATAGCTCAACAATGTCATCCAAGCCATGGAGGATCTTAGTGATGAAGGCCTGGTGGTCATAGTCTGGAGCTGATTTGAGTACCATTGGTAGTCGTACCAGGTATCTGTAGTTGCTATTCTCACCAGTGGTGAGGGTGCAACTCTTCTGGCTCTCCTCATCCGGTTCAAAACAACAAGAAAACATCACAGAAAGATCAATCTTGGTGAAGTGATCATATCCTTGTTGGTGGTTTATGGTGATGTCAGGAATTCTGGGGAGAGAGAACTTGGGTCTTTTAACTAGCTTGTTCAATTCCCTGAGGTCAACAAGCAGTTTAGTATGCACTAAGTACAGTAGGAAGTCAGAGGAGTTTTGATAACTACCTTGATCAATGTGAAATTTCATGTTTTTGAACAGTTGTATGGTGATCCTCAGAATACAGTAAGGAAGCACCTTCTTGTTTGTTCCCATAACATTGGCTCCAATCCACTTTGTATGCTTGGACCACAAGGTGATGGCAACTGAAGTAACTGGTGGTTTCACTGCTGTTACCAGAAGTACAAGATAAAGTACAACAAAGGTATGTTTTCTTGTGTGGATTTTTGATTACATAGTATTGCGCAACTTGGAATTTCTGTACAGTACCCTTGAATTGGATGGTACGAGTACTGTGTAGTATGTACCTTTTACTGGAGGTGGTGCAATGGGTTAAATGTGAAATAGCGAGCTCAGGAATAACCTAACTCTTTTACTACCATGTTTCACAGCAGATCATGAGCAAGAAAAGGCAAACCTTGCACCATCACCTTATCATTTTTGAAAAGATAGCAATTCAAAGGAGTAGTGTGCAGTTGAAGAATTGGCTGATCATTATTTTGAAATTAAGAAAGAGGAATTCGTGGTTGTTGAGCCTGCTCATTCAAGTAGTAGTAGTACAACTACTAGCTTCGGACATAGTAGTAGTGGTGGTGGTTAGTACAAGTAGTAAATGATTATTAATATAATTTTTACATGATGCTCAACCATACTAGTACTAGTACTAGTACTAGTAATAGGCAACACCAACATAATGCCAATGGAGAATAATTTGGCTTGCCTGCTTCTAGTGTTAATCGGTGAATGTGAAATTATTTTCCATGTCCTTTTGAAAATCACGGCGCCAATGTTGCTTCCAACTTTTATTCTTTTGACTCAATTGCATAATCTTGCAAATCCCAGTACATTTGTGAGAATTAAAAAAGAGTTGGATCCCTTTTTGGCCTTTGTCTGTTCGTCCAAATATCGCTCTTCCTTTATTAGAACGATAATGGATTGCCGGATCACTCAACTCAAAAGTGGGAGGCTTCATTTCGGTATTGTAAACACCTTGCAAATCACAAACAAGGACCTTCCTATTCGTGAAAAGATAGGTGAAATGACTGAAAGCCTGAAGATAATCCGAAGGCTTTAACTCTGCATTCGTGTCATTGTTCTCAGCACAATATCCGCAACCTTCGTCATAGTCATCATCGTCATCATCGCTATCTTCTTCTTCCGATCCTTCTTCAATTATCATCATATCCCCCAACGATTTTCCGGTGTCAGGGTTTTCCAGTTTGGCAAGTTCGCGATCAACATCCATTGGACGATGGAAAATCTTTCCATCAACGGCACCGACATTGTTGTTCCACTTCCTCCATTCAAACTTGTTTGTATCTAATTGTTTTTCAACAAGGACTCCACGTTTGCCATTTTGCCATTCAGGGTCCTCAAGTACCAAAACCGAACACTTCAAAAAGGAAACATTCGGAGTGTTCTCTGATGAGTAATTCGGAAGTCCCTGGAGTCTCTTATTGAATTCAACAGCCAGGTGCGCAGCCAGGCTTTGGGTCTCACAAAAGGTTTTATGAAATTCAATATGCTCCTCGATTCGATCCACTCGAAGGGTTTCTTTAGCGATCATAGGAGCAAGCTTCTTTCGTTTTTCCTCGTCCGAAAGATGGCAGCGATATGCAACTCTTTCTGCTCCGGTTCCAAGATACCCTTTGTTGATTGAAATATAAGGTGGGAACCGCTGTTGAATGTGCATGAGTTTGGCCTCTTCGATGTTTTCCGCTCGTAGGGCCCCCAGAGGAAGTCCCCCAAACGCAACAAACTGATTTTTCGAAGGATCATAAACATAGTGTTCCAAGATTCTAAATCGGACCCATTCGTTCGACTCCTCGGGCTTGATATCAGTTCGTGTGTTCTTCTTAGTCCGTCTCTCTCCATTCAATAGACAGGTGCGTGTCAGTGTCGTGCTCTCCGCGAGGGAGCTTATCGCATCTCCTATGGCATTCGCGATCTTGTTGCAGTAGACGAATTCTGCCACCTTGGTTCCTACCGCCTCGTTCGCTGCGTCGGCCATCGATTTCAGCGTCGAAAAATCCTTCGATGACCCACCAAAACCAACAAATGACACGTTGAGTTGGTAGTCAAATCTTGTTGCAATTTTGGCGCATTTATCGTTTATGAGACGGCGTGCTGCTACGGGAAGGAGGCCTGGTCGCAAAGCATCGGTGGGTTGGCCATCGGATATAAAGAACATCGATAGGGCACAATCTTCGTGGTTGTCTAGACCCAACAGCTTCTCTGCCTCATCTAACGCAGGAAGGTAGTTACTGTCCGAATGAATTATGTCACGAAGTAAAGCGGACTGTCTGCTATTGTAACCAGAAGTATCCCGACGCGAAAGGAGTTTGTTGTACAATACCCAGCTGGTTGGTTCTCTTTCAAAGACGATCTTTGCCTCGTTGCTGAATTCAACAAGCGACACGACGTCTTTGTTGTTCGCAGTTCCGTTGAACAACTGTTCCGCAATATATTCTAAAGCCATGGTAGAAAAAGCAGCAGTCTGTCGATCTCGATGCAGGGGGATATCGTGAACCATCATCGAGCCGCTGTTGTCCACAACAAGTACTGTGTGAGAAGTGCACAGGTCCGGCTTCCTGGAAATAATTTTCTTGGCTTTCAAGTGTTCAGTGTATTCGTTGTCGTCTACGGGTGCTTTGCTCAGTGGAGAAGGATAACAGGTGACTTCCCTGGAACTGCTCTGATCGGTGATGAAGACGATTCCATCGTACACGTATTTCCATCGGTTCATATATTTTGCTTTCTCTTTGGTGCCGTATTTCACTGCTTTTTGTAGGTCGCGTTTCCGAATATCGCGTTGATCACGGCGGAGCCTTCCGTGCTCGGACGACAAGATCGAAATGAGACTGGTGTTCATGCTATGATATGGGTCAAAAGTCGAAAAATGTTTTGCAGGTTTGTAGAAACGTGAATTGTAGGAACAAGTAGATCACTTTCATAACGAATTTACTGCTTGCGAAGTCACGATCAGTTGCTTGGAGGTGAGAAAAGATCCTTTTCCAAATGATTCGTCGACGCAAAATTTTCATTGTAGTAGAGCTGTACCAAGCATTTCCGTTTTGTACCATGAATTCAGGTTTTTCACGTACCAAACGAAAATTTCGTAACCCTACTGTATTGAAGTAGAAGTAGGTAAAATAAGTACAGCACGTATTGCACCGTACGTTACGTACCTTACCGTTACAACGCCTGGTACGAGAACTTTCAAATGAGCAGATGTTCTGAAATTGCGCGTATTTGTGCGAGGTTCACCCATATAAGCCTCCCAAGGTTTGGACCTTCGTACCCCAGAGGTACCGGTATAGGTATGTACGTACCCTGCGGAATTGTTTCTTGTTTTTCAAGTTTATTTCAGGGGGATTTTGATGCAATATTCGGGGCAAGAAAGGTCAAAGAATATTGATTGATTGGTTTCAAGGCGTCTGCCGCCTAGCACCTGCGTCCCACACGGACACCGAGTTCGAATTCGTAGTGTTCGTATCGTACGACTGAGAGAGTACGAGTATTGTCTCGTACATTTGGATCTACTGATTCGTCACCAAGGCCTCAAACCTGCGTTGTTCATGAAGGGAGGTGATTGACTTATTGATCCGTCCATTCGTTCGTTTATTCCCGAGATTTGATGAAGACAGATTACCACCCCCGCAGCAGCATCGTTTCGGCCACCGCATACATGAATCACGCCCATTTCTGCTGGACAAACTACTCATTGGCATTCGCAATCCTGTGCATGTTGAGCGTCACCGCACGAAGATCTGTGGTCTCCTCGTTTGTCGCATCCAGCAGCCACCAGTTCCTAGGAAGCCGGCCCGTTGCAGCAACGCACAGGTCGTTCAGAGTTAGTAGCAGTAGCAGCAGGATGAATAGCAGCAGTGTCGCCGTGGAAGACGGCGTGGACATTGAGGGAAACCTCCGGCACGTTCGCGGCAGCATCGAAGCCGCCTGCGAGAGCGCCGGTCGTCCGGTGGACAGCGTCCGGCTCGTGGCGGTTAGCAAAACGAAACCCTTCTCGTACATTCAGGAGGCATACTACAAGTGCGGCCAAAAGGTCTTTGGCGAAAACTACGCACAGGAACTGGAGGAAAAGGCGAAGGAAATGGGGGCCGACGAGAACTACCAGCGGGACATTTCGTGGCACTTCATCGGAGGCCTCCAGAGCAACAAGGCGGCCAAGCTGGTCAAGAACGTCGTTCCCTACGGGAAACTCGTAGTGGAAACCGTCAACAGCGAAAAGGTGGCCAACAAACTCGACAATGCCATGGCCAACAACTTTCCCGAGGATGACACACCGCCCCTGGACGTCTTTGTCCAGGTCAACACCAGCGGAGAAGCCTCCAAGAGCGGAGTGAGCGTCGACGAATCCATCGATCTGAGCAAGCACATTGCCGAAAACTGCAAGCGCCTCAACCTGAAGGGCGTCATGACGATCGGGGCTCCGGGGGACGTCGACTGCCTGGAGCAACTCGGGATCTGTCGGGAAAAGGTGGCGGAAGCACTCTCTCTCGAGACCGGTGACCTGGAACTGAGCATGGGAATGTCGGGCGATTACGAAACCGCCATTGCCAAGGGCTCGACCAACGTTCGTGTGGGAAGCACGATTTTCGGACAGCGAGACTATTCCAACAAGGCGTGATGAGTGGAGCGCTGCATGGGAGCAAAAGATTGGATTGGATTTGGTATTTGGGAAGCCTGCCTCGACCTTGTTCGGAATTTGTCGTCATTGAGTTCTTCCTTGCGCTCTTGCCGTCGGATTTTTCCCACATCATAGAGAGGTTGCTTCAGCACTTATTTTATCAAAATCAGACCTACGCTTGTTGGATCGGAATTGGATGTGTGTACCAGAGTGCGATGCTGCCGCGCGACTCCAATCAAATGATTCCTTCGACGCAACACATGAAACACCCGCATGGGATTTACCAATATAGACCACGCTAGACAACTCGAAATAATACACTATCGTCAACAATAGAAAATATGTGTAGGAATTTAGAAATTTATGGTCCCTAGCATATTTCAGAAGAATGGATTTGGTGTCCATTCGTAGGAGGAGGAACAAAACGCTCCTCCGTGATTGTTTGGTGGCTTCGCCCGAACGTGTCGTTGGGGGCACACGGTTTTTTGCATCCGATTCCATCACACCAAGCACTGTTTAGGCAATCAGCTACGGCGTGACATCCACGGACACCGATTCTATTATATAGTAGTATTAGTATTTGAGGAAATACGAACAACAACGCATTCCACCCCATCCTGCCCATAGCTTTTTGTTTAAAGTCCGGCGTTGAAGTTGGATGGCTGTCCGCAGAGAGCGTTGATGATGTAAGGCTCGCCGGTAAGTTCTTCGTGAACCATAAGTCCAAGGATTCCCATCATGGCAGCTCGTCCGTTGTTCAATTCGATGGCGCGTTTTTGCATCTGTTCCTCGGGGGAAGCCTTCCACGTGAACATTCCGTTTCGGAGGTCACCGGGGAATTCTCCGGCTCCCTTGTCCTTCATGATGAACAACTCAAGGAATCCGATAAATCCAAACAGCTGGATGAGTCCGGCGTTGGGAATGTCGGAAAGACCGGCGATACCGGTTTTGATCGAGGCAAAGGAGGTACCGGAGTAGTCAATGTTTCCGGGGACACGAGCTCCGAAGGCTGTGTGGATGTGTCCAAGAACGGCAAGCATAGCAATGCGTCCGTGCTTGATCTCAACGTATCGAAGGCGGTCGAATCGCTCTTGGTCGACGCCATCCAACATGTTCAGAGGATCCCTATATGCGTGGAAGCGATTTTGTTTGTTCACATTGATTCGAGTGGTCCGGCAGCGTGCAAAACGAAGCGATGAGATACGATGGCAAACGAAGCTGATACTGGATCTTTTTATCGGATCCATCCAAACCACGCAGATCGCACAGAAAAGACTTGTTGTTTACTTACCAGAATCCAAGAGGGGGCTGGGCGCCAAGTTCGGACTCGAAGGCGGCAAGAGAGGTCGACGCCCGGGATGCTTGCTGGGGAGCAAAGGCAGCGGCAGAGCCGACAAGAAGGGTAAGGACAGCAGCGGTCTTCATGGTATTGCACTTATATAGTTTATTATGTTTGGACTGGGGTGGAGTGTGTGATACGAGCGTGGTTGCATCAACAAGAAAGGTGGAGGGGGAGACGACAAAAGAAAGGAAAAACCGACGATCCATCATGGCAAGAAGAAGATGGCCTTCTACCGTATTTTAACGCGTTTATCGCGACGACGATGGCGATCTAAGATACTTCAACTCGAAGTTTCGTTCAAAACTAGAGATAGGGATAACTAAGTCTTGGATAAATTTGAATCATGACTGACGCTGATTCAATCGTATTTTGGTGTGACTGGAACACAAACAAAGAGTTTTTACGCGTAGGTGGAGACGACACATGACGCAACCACAACAAAACTAAGAATTTCTTTTTCGGTTTTTCTGTTGTGTTCATCGATCATCAGTGTCACAAATGCATCTGTCTTTCTCCATGCCATACCGTATCATATTTACATAATTCCAACAGGCGATCGGAGAAGGGAACGACCACCACATAAATTCCACTCGACAAATCTGAAACAGCAACGATGAATAGAATAGGAACAAAGGAATACCAGCGAGCGCACAGGTGGATTTTCCACCTTTGTTCAATTTACATGGCATCTGCCTTTGTACAACAGGCACCGCTGACGACGCCGCTGCAACAGCATCGAAGGACGAGCCATTCACTCGGGTCGCTCGGGGAAACAAGGAGATTGAATAGTGCTATTTGGTCCACCGTCAAGACCGATGGGTTAGCGGACAACAAAGACAAAACTTTTGATGAACTCTTGGGGGACCCATCCAATTTTGCCAAGGCTATCCGTTTTTTCAGATCGCACCCCGAAGACATTGAACTGACGCGCGATCGATTCGGAAAAATATTCGATGCGATCGAGGAACGAACCTTCCAGGACGACACCGACAACAGCGGCCAGCGGCAACAGCAACAGCAACCAGCATTTTCTCAATCGAGAAAAGAAATGGCGGAGATGTATTCGTTGCTCAAGGAACAGGGGCACCTGCGCCTGTTTGGCGCCATCACGAAAGAAAACATGCCTGCCTCTGGTTCGCACAACGTGCGACCGAAGATGCTCGAGGCCATCACGTCGCTGTCCATGAGCTCGCTGACGCCCCAGCCGTCCAACACGCTGCTCTACGCTGGTATGGGGGTGGCCCTCCTGGAGTCGATCGCCAGTGGATTCTTGGGACTGGACCTGAACGCGGTCTTTTTTGCCACCTTTGGTGTGGCCCTGTGCGACCAGGTGTTCCTGAACGGTGCCGTCAGCGAAACCTGCGTGAAGATGCTCTCTCCCGAGACGCAACCGAAGATTACCCGCCACGAGGCCGGGCATTTCCTCTGTTCGTATATCCTGGGCTGTCCCGTCGAGGGTTACGTCTTGTCGTCGTGGGGGGCTCTCGAGGACCCTCGCTTTCGGGGGCTCGGTGTCTCTGCGGGCACATCGGTGAGTCTTGTTCGAAACTATCTCCACGGTTGCATCTCGAAACTTCGCTTGCTACCGTTGCGATGCCTTGTTCTAACGTACTAATTCACAAATCCTTCATACATTGCAGTTCTTTGATCCTGATTTATCCAGTCAGATCGAAAATTCGAAAATCACCCGTTCCGCCATCGATCGATATTCAATCATTGTTATGGCTGGTATCGCTGCAGAGGCCGTCATGTACGGAAAAGCGGACGGAGGAGCCGGCGACGAACAAGCGTTGATTGGTACGTATATGTTCGTACATTTTTTGGTCTTGTTTTGATCAAAATTTTGCTGCTGCTCATAGAATCGTTCTTCTTTGTTGGGTATTCTTTGCTGTTTTTAGCCTTTCTTTCAAATCTGAACGGCGGACCATCGCTGTCATCGGCACCCGTTTGGAATGAACAAACGATAAGAAATCAGGCTCGCTGGTACGTAGATGGTCAAAACCTCTGAATATATTGTGTTCCGTATGTAGGAAGCGTTTTTATTGGCATGCCTAGGCAATCGATTCTGATGTATTGAGACTATTTTTTTGTTTTTGTTTTTTCAGGGGTGCACTGCAATCGGTGCTGATCCTCAGGGAATACAAAGAATGCTATGATGCGCTCGTTGACACCCTGGAACGCAACGGATCTCTTGGAGACTGCATATATGCTATCGAGAACGCGGCTCGGGAACACGACCTACAGCCGCTTCGGATACCACTCGGGTACATTTCGGAAGAGGGAGACACCGAAATATGGAACAAGATCGTTCCGAGCCAGCCGAGCGACGAGAACACGGTACAGGAAGCCGCCGCAAAAACTCAGGTTTCTGCTCCAGAAGTAAAAAAGACCACCGCAGATCCCGAGGAATCGCTAGCATCGCTACGAGCATACAAAGAAACAATTACCAACAAGCTCAGAGACATCGATGAGAAACTGGAAGGATTGTAAAATAAAAACGCTAGCTAGCTATTGTAGACCATTAAAAAATAAAATACATCACTGACTTAAAAACGTTTGTTGGTTTCTTTCTCGAACTCTTACTGATACACGGTACGCCTCCTTCAATCCAGATCGTCCATATCACCTCCGGACGGAGGATCCGCCGGATTGGTTTCTGCGGCGGCTTCGGCGTCGCCAGCATTCCCAATCTCTGTGGCGGTGGCCTCGACAACCGGTTCGTCTGCTTCGGCAGGCACGACTACGGCATCGCCCTCCTCGCTGCCGCTTTGCACCGGAGGATTCTCTGGGTCGCCCTCCGCCTCATTTGTCTCCCCGCCCAGCGTGTCGGGTTCCGCTCCGAAGATCAGCATCGCGCAGCAACAGCCCGTCAATCCAAAGATCAGGAAGAAGGGAAAGAGAATCCAAAATACGCTGAACCCGGTGTCGTCCGGGTCTGCGCCGTCGTAGCTCTGCTCGATCTTGGCGACCACCAGACAGAGTATTATGATCTGGAACACGATACCGCACGAGTCGGAGCAGGCGTTGGCCATTTCGTTCTTGGCATCGGCAGTTGCTTCTTCGTAGGCGCTCTCCCACTGCTGGTAGGTGTCTTCGTCGACAAAAAAATCGTCGTCTTCGGCGCCGCCTTCGGATTGGATATTGTGAGGGAGGCCTTCCGTCCGTCCTCCTTCCGGACTCTCGTCCGATGTAGATGCTGTGGGTTCGTTAATTTGTTGTTTCATTGTTGAACTTCCGGTCGCGTTTCCTGCACCTTCTTCTACAGTTGCATATGCCTCCAGGGGACTCTCCTCTCCGGCACTTGCGCCGCTCGGCAGATTGTTTGCATCGTCCTTGTTCTCGGTGGTTGATGTCTCGTCGTTCTTTCCTTCCTCCATTGTAGCGAAGCCCTCATCGCCATCGCTACCGTCCCCATCCCCGGCAGGAACACCGGACCCCGCATACACGACAACCTCTTCTCCGGCGATGCCACCGCAAACGCACTTAGAAAAGAGTTTCGCCAAGCGGGTTCCGCGCTCGATAAAGAGTGGGGCGAAGACGGCCCACCAGCTCGCGCCATCGCCCAGACGGTCGTCCAGCTTTAGGGTCAGCAGAACTAGAAAGGTCACCCCATAGACCAGGGAACGCAACAGGCTGTAGAATGTTTCGCCGTAGATTTCCATTGCGCTCCGGTACTCCGGCGACGACTCCACCTGTTCCTCCTCGAGTTCTTCGGCAGTCAGATCCGGAGCGGTTGGCTCGAATTCCGGTTCCACGGAAACCACCAGAAAGGCTTCCTTCAGGTCCTTCTGTTCGTCTTCTGGAAGGTCTTCCATGGATCTTCCTTTCAAGAATTCGTTTTCTATATAGTCCGAAGTGACCATTCGGTTGACATCCTTCCGAATTTTGTGCAGAGTCAAAACTGAAAGATTCGGTATCAAATACGTCGATGGAAAGGTTTTCGTCACGAGAGAGTAAAAAAGTTGAGAAACGAAAGGCAGTGTATGCTGTGCGGTACACAAGAGTGCGCGCAGTCCAAGCCCCAGATACACACAGGAATCGATGCAATTCTGTAGCACCACTTGCTAGTTTCATTCCACTCGTGCGGTACGGTTCGATACTTACACGAACGGGACCACCTCACAATCATCGCCATGTACACCGGGACAAACACCTGGCGGTAGGGCACCGAGTCGTCCCACGTTCCGTCCCACCTGAGGCTGAACCAAGACGCATCGGGAAGGCAACCAAAACAAAAATCGGGATGAGAGTTCGAATCGGTGGGGCCGGCAGGCCGGTGCTGCACGCGTGTTGGAAACCCCGCGGCAAGAACGATTCGGTACGTACCACAGAAACACAACGGCCAGGTACCAACCGAACTGTTCCAGGGCCATCAGACCCATCGTGACCCGGCTTTCCACCGGCACCAAAAAGGCCGCTGCGACCGCCAGGACGATCCCCAGGCCCCCGAAGATCCAGTACGGGACCAGGACCGCGAACCACGAGGCGTCCGCCAGGGGCCCCCGCTCGGCGAGCACCTGGTTGATCTTGGCGGCCACGAGGATGGGCTGCAGGAGGACCAGGAGGATCGCCGCCAGGTAGAGCCCGACCAGGCGCGACTTGTCCCTCGCCGGGGCGCTGGTCAGGTTGGCGTAGAGCGACGGGGGATCCGCAAAGGCCCCCCGTTCGACGAACCGGTACCGTTCCGGCGTCTCGAGGACATCGTACCGGTTCCGCTTGTCCCCGTCGACCAGGACGTGGTAGGCCTCCTGGATCTTCTCGTACTCGGCGGCGGCTTTTTCCCTGGCGGAGGCGTCGCCCCCGCGCTGGGCGATCTTGTCCGGGTGGAGCCTCAGGCTGAGCTTGCGGTAGGCCCTGCGGAGTTCCTCGTCGGTGGCCGTTGGTTCCACCCCGAGGACCTCGTAGAAGCCCGCCTCGGCGTCGTCGCCGCCGTCGCGGGGGGGCAGCAGGGCCGAGAACAGGAAGCTCCCGAGGGCGTGCATTCCGAAGTATTTCATCATCGTTTTGTTTCTTTGGTTGTTGTCGTTCGTTGTGCGGCCGTTTTTGGTTTTGGTGTCAGTCGAACCCAACCCGGCAGCTATAAGTTCTGGGGCTCGTGCAACAGGGCCTTCGCGCTCGAAGTAATACAATGCCCGCAACACCCGATCGGCAGTATTCGATTATGGAATGCTGGATTAGGGATTTGCCCCGACTTCAGAGTATCGAATAATTTTGTTGCCATTTTCTAGTGAAATTACTGGTCATACCCGTAGCCATCATCTATCAGAATCCGTCACACGACCAACAATCAAATGCTCCGTACGAGCACGTACCGCACGATACTTTCTCTGTTCGTACGGTGTGTATGTATTACGGCATACGTACAACGCTCGAGAAGAAGAAATTTTGTTTTTGCTGAAGCATATGGTATTGCTCGAGGTTGTTGTACGAACGTTACCATACAACGGTACAGCACTTAGTAGCGTTCTCGTTCACAAAATACGAGTCCGTCGTCAGGAGGGTCAACTCACGCATACTCTCAGATGTTACTTCTTACTTCTTGTTGTCCTCACCCAAACAAACGACAAAAAAACAATTGCAGGGCAAAGAAATACTAGAAATATTCATATTTGTCAAGCTCTGCAATACTAAAGTACGCGTCATGGCATGGTCCAGCTCCATCAGCAAACAAGCACATACTGCACATACTGCACATACTACTAGTACTGCTAGTATACCTTCCTCCTGCAGTACTATCCATCAAAAAGGCGATTTGACCGTGTTGTCTAGTACCACACGCATGTAAAATGATGCATGAAATCCTGGTTTCGCACGGGTGCTGCTACTAGAACTACCGAAGACGCCAAAAAGAAAAAAGCAAGCGCCCGCGCGCGTTCTTTCGTCGTCGCTGCGGGTCTTGGATCTTGGCTCGCCCCGGTGCCTCAGCCCCCGGCCCCGGGCCGGACCGGCCCGCCCCGGGTCCCCCCCCCGCAGGGACAGCAGGCCTCGCTGGCCCGCGTGGTGCCGGTGGCGTCCCCCGTGGCGCACTCGTCCCCTCCCGCTCGCTCGTACCCGGAGCAGTCGTAGCCCTCCCCGTCGACAAAGTACCGGTCGACGCACAGCTCGGCACCGGGCGCCTCGTAGTCCTCCCCGCCCGGGCCGAACCAGCAGGGGTCCCTGCGCCGGGTATGGTCGAGGACGTGCCCGGCCTTGTTCGCCTCGAGCCAGTCGTCCGACCGGGCCATCCGGCAGAAGCACGGCATGGCGGGGTCCAGGGCTTCCAGGAATCCGGGCGAAAGGGACAGGGCAGCGTTTTTCAGGGCCCCGGCGGCCGCCCACGGAACAATGTTCGGGGACCGGTCGTCCCTCCCGGCCACGGCGTGCTCGCCGGGAAAGGGATTCCCCGGGCCCTCCGTTCCCGAGACGGGGCCCCTACAGGCGTGCCCGGCAAGCGCCCGCACGAGGTCGGGGTCGTCCAGGATCTGCCGCCGGGCCTCCGATCCATCGGAGATCATCGGGAGGGAGGAATTCTTGATCACCAGTACGGGGCGGTCCAGGGCTTTCTTGTCCCACCGCCAGTAGCATCGGCCGTTGCCCTCCGTGTCGCAGTAGCTCGCCGCAAGGTTCTGCAGAGCGGCGGCCGCCCACATGGCCTGGATCGGCTCCGAGGCCTCGGACTTGACGAGAGCACCGAGCGCACCGACGGCACCGTGCTCGACAAAGGCCCGGTGGTTTTTGGCATTGGAAAAGGTAGCGATGTAGATCAGGTGGCTCGCCATGGCAGAAGCACGGACGTCGGGGGACGCGACGAGCCCGACCACGGCGGCGTGGATCCCTTCGTGCTGGCCGAGCCGCGCTCGCTGCCGAGGATTGTCCGTGATGCAAAAGGTTGCGAATTCGCAGGCAAGGGCCTTGTGACCGTCCGACGCCCCCACCCCCCGGCCCTCCGACGCAACGGCGTCCAGTGCCCGGGGGAGCTCGTCGCAGCCGCCACGGCGCTGTTTCTTTCGGGTGTGCTTGGTAGCGTCCCATCGCACCAATCGATGGTCGTCGCCGCGCAACTCGTCGATGAGCCTGCCCAGCTCCTCCGGCGAAATGAGGTCGTGCCGGTCGCTCGTGCCGGTGTCGATTTTGGTGGGTGGTTGGGCCGGTTCCGGCTTTTCGACCCTGGTGGTCTCGTCGATGGTTCGATGGTTGGTGGTGGAACTCTCGGCACCGATGCTATACATCCCGTTGCTCGGGTAAAGAGAGGAGCGAGACCACATAAATAGCACGAGCGTGGTTCCTACCAAGAACAACTTGCTCCGAACCAATGGAAGAGACGAGCGACCGAGGAAGAATGGCATCGAGTCGTCTTTTCTCGATACGGGCTTAGGCAGCACCATGGTTGTTTACGGTGCCGTAGAAGTGAAGTAAAATCAATGAAGGTAGTGAACCTAGTTCGTTTTCACCATCCAGACTTAGCGAGCGAGCGGCCGAGTAACCAAGTGTATATCTGGGCTCGAGCTACGCCACCATTGGAATGGGAAGATGTCACGGGGGATGGAACAGCGGTCGTGTTTTTTCGACGCTCGGAGATTTGATTCCTTCGCGAAGTAAAGGAAAGTGTCGGGAATCGGGAGCGACGAAGAACTCGCTGGTGTCTGAATACAACACAAAATATTGCAATAGCGCCAAGTTGCTTCTTGAACAAAAAGGAGGGTTCGCAAGGCCAGCCCTTTCTGTAACAAACAACAATGTATCGAATGGAAAGTTCCTACGGACTTGCTTCCGTTGAGAGATGCTGCACGGAGTACTATCATGCAAAGTCTTCCTTAGGATAATTGTTTCATTTCCAAACATGCATTATCATGCACGACTGTCATTATGAGAGAGCACGTGCGACAGCACCACAAGCACATACAGGCAGGGGTCATAATTTAGAGGGGTATGCATCGCGTCGAAACACATATTCCACGTGTGGTCCAAATTCCCCAGAAGTCCCACAAGGATTTTTTTCATTCTCATTTTTACTACTGCATAATACTAGTAAAACTATCCAACCCTCAAGCAGTTACATATATACAGTTCTGTTCATATGGTTTTTAATATATGGGGGGAGGCAAGCAGTAAGAAAAGACAAACAACAAAAAACATGAAGAAGCATTGACAATGACTAGTAGGAGACTGCTGAGCCTTGGCGCAAGTGGTGATGACCCGGCCCATCCCATTGGCTTCATGGGAGCCATTGCTCTAAGGATATAGGAGGCACGCTTCCCTGGACCACCATAGACAGAATAGATTCTTTGGATTGCTAATTCTGAAGTAGTACCGGCCTGAATCAATCTTTCCATGACATTCCAGAACTTCTTTCTCCTGCTACACCGCCACTTGGTCTTCACCCACGGCCTCTCTCAGCAGTAGTAAAGTCCTTTGCAGGATTTTTCAGACCAGCACCCACTTCCCATCCATTCAAGAGAACATAAAGATCATTAGAACACTTTGTAAGCTCAGCTACTCTGCCAGTTCCTACACCAGCTTCCAACACACCACTGTTTACAGCCTGGGTTGGCCTCCTTCTTGTACTAAGAAACAAGGACATTGCAGCTCTTTGGGACAACTCGATCATGGTTTTGCTCAGCTTTCAATGAAACTTTGCTTCAGTGGCAATCTGCCCATTCTTGGTATCATTCAATTGATTAGCTGTGGCAAGCAGCATAGAGAACACTGCAACTGAATCCTACAAATTCCAACAGCAGATGCTCCACCAGCAGCAGCTCCAGCCTCCACCACCACCAGGACCACCACCATCCAGCAGATCATCTGGATCAGCAAGCTCATCAAAGTGAACCTGGTCTCCAATCTCATTGGCAATCAGCTCCACACATTTAATAGGATTCAAATCAGCATCTAATCTGTAGCCAACTGGGCAACTGTAATTCAGTTGAACCCAAGAAGCAATAACGATGTCAATCTTCACATCCTCTGGAATCAAGCCAGATGCTTGTATTGCTGGATTGAAGCAAGCCCAAAGTAACATCTTTCCTAGAATTGCTGCTACTTGGTTACCAAAAACATGAGAAAATGTTGGTGCAACTGAAGAAGCAAGCCATTTGTCAGTCCTTCCTGTTCCTTGCAGGGGCTTGAACAGATGGATTCCTCCAAAGCATAGCTTGCCTGCAACATTGATGTTAGGCCAGGCAAGCTATGCTTTAGTATACCAGTCCTGCAATTGACATGACTTCCATCTGGCTCTAAAATCCACCACATCATCCATTGAGCAACCACACTGTCTAGCATAAGTTGTGCTAAACTGTTGAATGGAGTGACAACCAAGCTTGTTGCCTTCTGAAGGTGGCCTTTCAGGAACAAAGACAGGATTCTTAAACACATAGCACTCAATGAAACTACTAGAGTACCCAGTCTTTCCTTTATTAATCTCTTTTGCAATGTCCTTTAGTAGTGATCTCCTATCTGCTGTAATTCCTTCATTGAATAGCCATTAACTTGTTGCTGCTCCATCACATTTGCTCCACTTTTCAAGATACAAGGCAAGCCCCAGTACCACCACACACGATCAATGGTCCATGGACCCAAGCAAGATCTATTTTGGACAGTCCCTCTCTTCTCTTGTGTTCTTAGACCACTTCATTTTTTCTGTAAGGAATTTAGGAAACTCAAGCAGATTTTTCCAAGCTGTCCTTTCCAACATGTGCTGTATCATCATTCTGACCAATCAGATGGAACTGGAACTTAATCATTGCAAGATATCCATGCTGTTTAATTGAGATGTCCATGGTTCCCCATTAGTTCAAGCCTTTACAAGAACTCATCCTTGGTAAGAGGTCAATCCATCTTACTCACTTGTCCAAGGCCTCTGGTTTCCTTGTAATTACAACAGAAATCAAAATTGTTCACTCAAGATACTCTATTTCATTAGACTATTCATCATAACATCCATACATTGTATTCTGTTCCCTTCGTCTAGTTATCCTCTTGATGGGACTATCTCAGTACTGTGCCTCGCCCGGCTTGTAATCTCCTGCCCTGCAATATCAGTCTTATCGTACGCGCCAGGCGATTCCCAGTTCAACAAGAACGATCTAGTTCTTGATGCGGTCAACAACTCGTTCCTTGATGCGGTCAACAACTCGATCCTTGATGTGGTCAACTCGTCTCTCCAGGAGATGGTTTGTCATGAAATTGATGACGGGATCTTTCACCATTTCTTTCGCAGTCTCACCATCAAGAAGCTCTTTAGCTTCTGCAACGAATTTTTTGACGAGAGCGGCGGCTTTCCTAATGTCAAGGTCAGCTTTGAATTCTGTGCCATCAGCGTAGGCTACTGTTCGATCAAAAAGGGATTTTCCATCGGGATACTCGTGCTTGATGTTCATGCTATGAAACCACAAGTCTGCATGACCTTCCCACTCTTTTCGATCGACGACCTCCGGTGCAGTAGACCACACGTTCCATGCGACCAACGAACCTTCAGCAAGAATATTTCCTGACGCCATATTGAACAATCCAAGTAGCATTTCGTCAAATTTGTCAACCAAAGAGATTCCCTTGTTAATTCTCTTTCCCATTTCGACTTGGAGGTGGTACGCAGAGAAGGCATCGTCGTCGTAATGTCTTTTTGACAAGGGCTGGAATATGGTAGGATCGGTCCCGTTCGCCATTGGCCAGACTTTTTCCCAAGGCTTGCCGACCTGGAAAGCGTCAACTTTGATGGAGTTCTTCTTCGAGAAAGGGAAGGGGACTCCAGGGAGATGGTTATCAAAGATACGTTTTAGAGCCTGGACTAGAGGGTTGCCGAGGGCCGGCTCGATCCAGAGGTTACCAATAACAGAAACGTCAGCGTAACAGCTATGAGTTTCCTCATCAATCCAGCCGCGGACACCCGTCACGGTTACCTCGATAAATGCGGTCCCTAAAATCGACAGCGGGATGCCACGCTGGGGGCAGACGAAGGACCAGAATACGGCCATCATCGTCGTATCCGATGCGGGAGACGTCCTGCGCAAAGGTGGCGTAAACGCGGGAGGCTTCGTTTCCGATCTCTGATAACCAGGAGAACTTGGGCCAAATAATTTTCTGCATGCGGGTGATCTTGTGAATGTTGTCCAGGTTTTTCGTCATCGGAATGTCGGAGAGGTCCGGCTTGCCGGTTTCATAGGCAAAGCCAGGGTTCGAGTCCTTGAACGTGGCGCCCTTCCACTCAGGCAGCTCGGAATCGCAGCTTGCGTTGGTAGCAGCGGAGGAAATGACGGAGGGCGCAATCGCAACCAGCACGGCGGCAAAGAGGTATCTTGGAGAGATCATCGTTTCAACAAGGTGTATTCAATATTATGAACAAGTATACTATGAGATCTACTATGAGATCTACTATGAGATACTTCTTCTTAGCTCCAAACAAATTTAAATTTAGGAGTCAATAAAGATACTTTCCTCCGGAGATTATTAGAGAAGTAGAAGTAAACACGAACTTGGTAGTAATGTGCTAGTTTTTGGTGGCGTAAAGTTTTCGTTTTGCTACGAAGTGCGGAACCAATACAGATGGCACATTTTTGGCATTTCAAATGCTGTCAATTTTTTTTATCTTAGACCTCTTAGATCCCCCGGTATAGTGTATCATATGATACATATATATGAGCGGTACCCTATGATACCTAGACACGAATCACGAATGGTACACTTGGCTCGTATTCGTACGTTCGTGTTCATACGTATGTTCCTATGCATTCGTTTGTATACGTACGTTCTTATTTCTTATACGTATGTTCCTACGCATGTCCGTTGCACTATTGGAAATTTTGAAGGAAATGAAATTAACTCTCCTACGCGGCGACAAAAATGCAAATTTGCATTTACGTACAAATTTAGTCCCTTACGTTTTAAAATGCATGTAAGAAACTGCACAATCTACAGTGCAAACTTAATTGTGGTGTAAAAAAGGATCTAAGCATCCAATAAAGACCTAGTTTTTTGTAGAATTCATCTTAACATTCTAATGAACATGTTGGGTTCAGTGGGTAGTTGGGACATACAATTTTTATACTGAAACTACTGGTATAAGTAGGAGGTCCTACTAGTAGTAGTAGTAGTACTACTACTACTAGGAGCCCCCCCAAGTAGTAGTAGTAGTATTACTAGTGCTAGTGCTAGCAGTGCTAGTAGCAGGAGTATTACTAGTACTAGTACAACTAGTACTATATACAGCTTGGTTTCTAGTGACAATGAGGGATATGTATTACTAATAGTAAGTCCTAGTAGTAACCCCCCATACTAGTAGTAGTAGTAGTAGTACTACTACTACTAGTATTTCTAGTCATGCTAGTGCTAGTAGTGCTAGTAGCAGGAGTATTACTACTACTACAACTAGTACTATAMACAGCTTAGTTTCTAGTGACAATGAGGAATATGTATTACTAATAGCTAGTACAATAGTTGGTAATAGTATAAATAGTATTGTTT